GTCAGGCAGTGGGTTGGGGAGCGGGCGTCAGCGTACTCTTGAAGGCAGGACATCCCCGGGGTAACCAGTGGTGCAGTAGGAATCTCACAGATCACGAATTGAGACCAAGAGCACCGAAGGTCATTCCACTTGCCGGCATGTGTATCCCACAGCGTTACGCATGGGGCATTTTGAAACGGCTCGTTTGGTGCCCAGTTGGTGTACTGACACACCTGTCCTCCCTCGCCAGGATACACCCATTGGTCATTCTTGAATATGCAGCCGATCCAAACACCTCCACCGAAGATCGTGTCTGTGAACATCTCCCAGATGAACTGTTGCTCCTGCAGGGAGTCAGGTATCGCCAAGCCACCGCCCATGTCTGAGCAGACTATGGAGCCGTTCTGCCACGGCATCTGCTCATCTAAGAGGCAGAAACGGGAGTCGTGAAACCACCTCTGATCTCGACAGATGGTTTCTGCCCCGACACCGATGACCACCACCAACAAATATGCCAGGAGTTTTTCCATTGTAATTCCCGTGATAATGTTTCTAAACTAACTTAGCGTGCGAGGACAAATCGGTAGGCCTTCGACTTTCTGGCGGAGAGTCAGTACAGTTTCCCAATACGTTCATCGGACTGATACGTCGTGACGACTTCTGGGCTTGTAAGCCTTGTCATTTATGCTCGTGGAATAAAAAGATGCCACGTATCATCTCTTCAAAGGAATATCGATCACGCGAACTTCTAGTAAAATCTTTTAATATCGAGGTTGATTCTGACCTCACAAATAGAAGCGCGCTGATCTTCTATTAATAATTGCGTCACACGCTTGACAAAATTTCAATATATATATATATTTTTTTTTTGCTAAAGCAATACACGCAGTGAAACAAGGTCAGCTAAAATTCATTAAAATATCCTGAACAGCGTTGCCTGATGGGGATGCGAGGCAGCGGTGGTCGGTAAAAACGGTGGTTCAAAGATGAATACCCCATGCCCTTTAAAATATAAAATCCTAACAACTTTTCAATATGTATGTTTTGTTTTTACGTAAAAACTTCTTTGTTCCGATTTGGGGCATCTACGAATCTCCCAAAAGGGTTTTCATTTTGTGCACAAATAACCCGCCCTGCGAGAACGGAGTTATTGTCTGGCAGCCAATAAATTAAATTCTGTGAAGAAATAATTCAATACAAAACTAAACGTCGTTGTATTTATTTCGTTCCATGTTTCATTCAAAGTGAATAACTTTTATACTGCTGTAGGAAATTAGCACTTTGAAACAAATCTATTTTTCGAGGTGAAACTCGAAAATACCACGTGGAATCATCTTGAAGATTTCGTAGGTATATGCATCGGGATGGTTGCACTGTGGTAGCCTATACGCTTTTTTTGTGAGCTTTGATGATTGGGTTCGTGGAGCGGTAAATGTTTTTGGTATTTGGTTGCGTGAGGGCTAATAAAGAAACGCCATTTGAAGTAAAAATCATCTCTGCCCCAAATCACAATAGGCCATTGTTTTAAGCGATTGGGGACGCTGCAAATACGTTGACTTACTTTTTAAAAACTCTACAACTGTACACATTTTTTTCCATACTAGGCCTACATATATACAGAATTTTGGTGCTTTTTGATAGAAACAATTTGATCGCAACGGTACGCAACCATATCATAGCAATCTCGAGATTGTGAACATGAACTTCAAATGCAAGTAAATGAATTAATAACAATTAACATCAAATGAAAACAATGCAATATACAGGTAAACTGTGGGAAAAGTCCGATAGAGTCCGATACAGCCTAAAAGCATACCTTAGATTGTGTACAAGATGAAACAATGTTATTCGAGCATAAACACATAATAGTGCAGCATTCAGTGTTTTCGATTGAACTATTTTGCTCGTATACACACCATACCAATTTCGAGATTGCAAAAAATCAAAATCAAATGCAAATAACTTAATCTATAAAAAATAACACTTATTGGAAAAATACAAATCCGTTAGAATGGACCCTGTGCATGCTACTAGCTATATACTGAGACCAAAAGCATAAAGTAGATGGTGTACAAGATGAAACAATGTTATTCGCGCAGAAACACAAAGTAAAGTTGATGAGTTCTTTTTTTCTTCAAACTACAGTGATGTGTTAAAATCAAAAGTCACATCTGATGCGATATGTTCTTGACATTTTCCCATCATATCCTTTCGATGGTAATCGTCTATATTTATTGTCAACTAATAAGCTGTACTTTATTAGACAGTCAAATTAAAATAATCGCAAGCACTGTCCAGTTTCATGTCCTTTTCCTGGGCTTGATAGCGACTGATGTCATTCAACTGGCAGATCTTTTCTCCGGGGCTGCGCCGACGCAGTTGAAAGGAGCGGCATCGAGGCTCGTCCCGGCACGCCGAACCACAGGCGATGGCACCCTTGACGGGGAACTCCTTGATGACGTGACCGGTCAGGCAGTGGGTTGGGGAGCGTACGTAAGCATGCGCTTGCATGCAGGACATCCGCGGGGTAACCAGTGGAACAGTAGGAATCTCACAGATCACGAATTGAGACCAAGAGCACGGAAGGTCATTCCACTCGCCGGCATGTCTACGCCACAGATGTACGCACCATTCATTCTGTATCGGCTCGTTTGGTGCCCAGTTGGTGTATCCACACACCTGGCCTCCCTCGCCAGGGTACACCCATTGGTCATTCTTGAATATGCAGCCGATCCAAACATCTTCCGTGGAGATCGTGTCTGTGAACATCTCCCAGATAAACTGTTGCTCCTCCGGGGAGTCAGGTATCGCCAAGCCACCGCCCATGTCTGAGCAGATTGTGAAGCCGTTCTGCCACGGCATCTGCGCATCTATGAGGCAGTAACGGGAGTCGTGAAACCATCTCTGATCTCGACAGATGGTTTCTGCCCCGACACCGATGACCACCACCAAGAAATACGCTACAGATTTTCCCATCTCTCTAAAACTAAGCTCACTCGTGATGAGAATTGTATATCCCGTGAAGATGGTTGCTCTGTTTACGGATAACGGTTCTGAAAGCACTCAGCGTTCTAAGACAAATCAGTAGGCTATGTCTTTCTGGTGGAGATAACTATCAGGACAGTTTCACAACACTCATCGGACTGATATACCGTGACGAGTTCTTAGCTTTAAAACCTTAATTGTCATCCACATCATTGAATAAAGCTATGCCACGTATCTTCTCACGTCGACTCCAAGAGTAATTGGTATCTTTTAAACCTTAATTGTCCTCCACGCAAGTGAATAAAAATCATGCCACGTATCGTCTCGTGACGGGAAAATCGAACAGTAAACCTTCAAGAGTTGGTATCTTTTCTTATATCCCGATTGGTTCTGACATTATTAGAAGTAAACACGCGCCAATCTCATATTAATGAATCGCCATACACATGACGATATTCTAATGTGCATTTTCAATTTTTGCTAACGCAATACACGCAGCGACTACTCGTTAAATCTGCACCATCATGAAACATTAAAAACAAAATGTTATCACGAACACGTTTTCAAAACGAAAACTTGCTTGAGATATGAGGCAGGGTTAGTTGTCAAAGGAGCAGGCTCAGTTTTCGGCACAAATACGTGATTTTCATAATGCATGACTTTCAATGCGTCTATGTAAAAAGACAGAAACCCCACAAAACACTAGGGACTTTTAGCTTGGCTATTGGCACATATCGGATCAGATGGATGCACGCGTCACAACCAAGGAGACCTATATCATACGATGACAACAGTGTTTTATTTCACTAAAGTCTTTTAACAGTATAGTAGAATTCAAATTATATTACAGTCTTTTAAACAAAACAATATACATAAAAATATTTCTTAAAGGGAATATTCAGCATTTGCAAACATCCAAAAAATAAAACTACCAAATTGTTATGAAATACCTTACTTAAGCATCCTGTAAAATCATGGCACCTGGTGTGCTGTCATTTTTAAGAAAAGTGGTATTTTTGTACCAATTTTCAACGCTGGTCCGCATTTTGTTTGCAATCGATTGCACACCTTTGAGCGGGTACAAGCCAGCTAAAAGACTGTTTCCCTGACCTTACAATTCCCCGACGTCTATAAATTGCTCTGTTTCATTTAAAGAGGAATCAGGGAACTAGACTACAAGAACATGATTGTTTTTCGTGATTTGTCCAGCATCTACGAACACAAAACTACATACAAGTCAGTGTATTAATATTTGCTGTAAAATACTACCCCCCCCCCCCCATCCGTCCATTTCTGAAAATTACAGGAAAAGCACATGTTGTATATAATAATAACAGAAGAAGTTCAAGATGTGAAATGAATTTGATTTAGTAATTAACAAAACTCCCATTTAAAGGGAAGATACAACATTTGCAATCACGAAATACCTTTTACTGGATTTTTAGGAGATGACAGTCTCAAGCATCCTGTAAAATCGTGGCTCCTAGTGTGCTGACATCTTCAAGAGAAATTGTGTTTTTCCAACGCTGGTCGGCCGACCAGTGTTGGAGAAAACTGTTTTTTTTTTCTTCAAAAATTGCTCCTAGTTTTTCATAATTAGTTATCCTGAATTTCGGTGCAATTGATTACACACCTGTGAAGGGGTACAAGCCCTCCGGACTGATTCTCTGACCTTACAATTCCCCAAAGTGTACGAACTACTCCGTTTCATTTTAAATGGGGTCAGAGAACCAGACTACAAGAACATGGGTTTTCTTGTTTTTCCCCCAGCATCTACAAGCCCAAAACGTAAAACAAGTCAGTTTCTAATCATCCAAATCCATTTATTTCTGAAAATTTGTACATTCCCTTTAAATAAACCTAAGACATAGTGACGTCACGCTTTGTTTACACGTGCGCTTTCCTATGGGAGCCAGCTGGGTACGAGAGCCAACTCTCGTCCCCAGCTGGCTCCCATAGGAAAGCGCACATGTACACAACAACGCGTGACTACATTATGTCTAATAGGTCTATTAGTGCCCCCCCCCCCCCCCAAAGGCCTCAAGGCCGGTTCATAGTGCAGGTAAAAACGACGAAAAAATCCTGATCTTGTGGGCCTACTGTCTTTTCTATTTTCACTGCTATAGGCCTACCCTGGCGAATTCGCAGGGCAGTTTATAATCTCGTTTTACTTGATATATCATAACTTGCCTCCGTCACCAACTCAGTGGAAACATTGATTGCGGAAAACGATTCTTCTGCAATTATAAGGGGATAGTGGTGACATTATAATACGCAAAGCTTCAAGTATAAGGCCGACCTTTGCTTTTGCGAAAGATTTCTCCATACATCGCAACGTTAGTGCTTTTTACGTCTAACAGCAGCCGACTGGTAGGTTATTTTGGTAATGGTGAGCTGTAGGCCCACAAATGACGATTTTAGTCACGGATTCTTTCAGAATACTCCTGGCTGTGCTTGGTGATGGATGATCACCATATCGTCTGCATAGGATGGGTTGTGACCAGCCGCTATCCCATTCTAGAAAATAAGCAAAATAGAAATGTTTGATTTAGACACTGGTCGATCAAGTTGTTTTCGTTTACATTGTATGTGATTTGCCATACTTCAAATGTTGCAGGCCAGTAAATAGGCCGCAGGGGCGGATCCAGGAAATTGGAAGGGGGGTGGGGGGTGGGGGGGGGTCCCTGGTACCATATTTCAATAGGGGGCGCTGTTCAAATTCGACGATTATTAAACTAGATTACAGAATGGTGTACCGTATTTTGAACAGGCGGACATTATACCAGTATAATTTTTGGGGGTGTCAGGGGGGGGGGGGGTTCGACTTATTTTTTAGGAATTTGTATGATATTTTTTTTTTTTTTACAGAGCTGGGGGGGGGGGGGAGTTTGACCCCCAAAACCCCCCTCTGGATCCACGCATGAGGCCCTAAATTGCATACCGTGCATGACCAATTACGATACTGATCACCGTACTGTCAATTTCTCTCTTCTCACGATACCGTCAATTTCTCGAACGTGCATTCGGACTACCGAACCTTCGGATCAATAAACCTTCGGACTATGAACCTTCGGACTGTCGAGTCGAGCGAACCCCTTATAATCATCAGTGTCGCTTTGGCATTTTATTTAAATTGTCAACTTAATTACACTATCAACCGCGACTCCATAATAATTTTCAACCGACCTGTTGCGACACGTGCGAAGTCGACAGGGTGTCGGCGCAGTGTTGCACCCTGGGTAAGACAAAGGATGACGGGGCGGTCTGCATGAAATGCTGCTCCTCGATGGAGAACATGGAGCCTGAGCCTTTGGAGGGCGAAGCGGTGAGATTGGAGTGGGGCTTGGCAGGTCTCTCTTGAAAGACTCGCAGAATGACAAGGCTCTGTGACAAAAAAATGCAATCTGAATAAATGTCGAAAACTAAATTTTAAACGAATTTGGGCGTTTTAAGGACGTAACTTTCTCGATTGCCAACAGGGTCACGTTTATCACACGTCAATAAAAGGAGTTTAACGAATGTTACACAGTGAAAACTGCGTTCGAAGAGTTTAAACATGTTTCTAAACGCTGTCTTAATTGTACCCACTATTTCACATGCTTGAATCTACCACGTTTAAATTTGTTTTTGTCTATGATATGTTTAGGTACACGATGAAATCCTATTAGTACCATCAAGTTTAAAATGTAAAAATACATAAAAAAATAACTGATCGGTTTGTTCAAAGTCGATGGACAGGCTAAATTCACACTTTTATCCCTCTTTGTTTATCACTTGTCTCAGATAAAAGGAATTTTAAAGTAAACTTTGACGTTCTCATAGGCCTATAGGCCTACGTTATAATAATATTGATGGCTCTGACAGCCTTCCATATTGTGCAAAAACCTACACATGTCTTTGTCTACTGTGAAAAATGGGTACAAACTGCTTTTAAAATCTGAACCCTATTTTTAGTGTTACAAAGATGAGGTAATTCTATGATTTTTTGTTACCAGATACAAGGCGATGGAGGTTCCGAGGATGAACCCGGCGAGCACGTCGGACCAGTGGTTCCTGTGCGATGCCGCCCGGGAAAGTCCCCAAATCACGGCGCAGCTCACGTAGGCCAGACAAAACAGCGGCACGGGCAGACGCACGTTACGGAACTGCATTTGCGTAGAGAGATATACCTATATACATGCGAGAACAAAATTACAGAAAAAACACTACATTTTGTATTCAGTTGTGGGCTATATATTTTAAAAGTTGTGTAGAAATACGGTTCTGAGGTGGTACAATTCTAGAAATTACCACAGCAAACTGTTGTGTTAATTTTTTTTTTGTCGAGGTTTTAAACGTATAGGCCCTAATCGATTCTAAAAAGTCTTTACAATAGATTCTATTCTGGAATATAAAAAATTAATCTATTTTTGACCGGAAAAAAGCCACTTCAACACTCTGCACTCCATTTCAACACTCTGCACTCTGCACTCCGTTGCGTTGATTTTTGATGCGCCTGGTGGCTGCTCATACCGTTAGCTCTCCCGATCACGTTATTGTATCCTGGATCTACGGCTCTAATTGAGGAGAAAAATCAACTGGAGTATCAAGTAACGACTTGTCATCATTCCTAGATTCATTTCATGATCAGATTATTTGTCAATTTGTCAATTTGACAAGATTGTGAAATTTTTCATCGAAGTCAAACTGAAGCTAATACTGTCTACTGCACCACACTGTTTGAACAGGAGCTTTCTACATACACCAATGGCCAAGCCTGCATTGTTGGTTCCAGTATTGTGTGCATTGTCCGCACTAATTGCGCCACCAGTTATCTCTCTTGTCACCCATTCAACAGTGACAGTAATGGAATACCAGCCAGCCCACTCCTATTCAAGAGACGAACTGATTCGCCTGAACAATAGACAGCTAAAGCTACCTCTGGATGTGTACAAATGTATACAAAGCCTCAATCTTGGAGTAGTTAAACCAACTAGAAGGGGTTGCAGAGGAGGAATCAAACGACACATGCAGCAACATTTGGCAGTTCCACCTAACCCAGGTTCGAATTTGCCTCATGACAATTCCCCTCATCATACTCAGACAAAGAAAAACACAAAATTCTGTTCAGTTAACCTTCAGTCAATCAGAAATAAAACCACAGCATTCGTGGACTTCATCTTAGACAACAAATTCGACGTTGTCGCAATCTCAGAAACCTGGTTGAAGCCTGGAGATGAAGCAATCATAAATGACATCACCCCGGCTGGCTTCTCAATCCAGCACATCCACCGCCCTTCTTCTAAACGAGGAGGAGGTCTTGCCCTTCTCTACAAGTCCGGATTAACTGTCCGATACCCAAATCATTCGAGTGTTTATATGCTGAACTCATAAGCACTTCAAACTCAATCTCCATAGTGCTTATCTACCGCCCACAGACAAAATCCACTGGTTGCTCTTTCAATGTTTTCATTGATGAATTCTCGTCCATCATTGACCAGCTCTTACTAAACCCAATGCCCATTTTCATCACTGGTGACTTCAATGTTCATGTGGATGACCTAACTGACACAAATGCATGTAGTTTTGCATCGTTGCTCTCAAGCAGTGGCCTACACCAACACATCTCGGATGCTACCCATACTGCCGGTCATACACTTGACTTGCTGATCACACGAACATCGGACATTGCAGTATTCTCCAATCCCCAAATCATTGGTGGACTATCAGATCATAGTGCTATAACCTGTGATCTTTTGCTCGAAAAGCCACGTACTCTCACCAAGGTTATTTTCAAACGCCACATCAACGCCATAGATACTGTTCAATTCTGCAATGACATAGCCGTTTCGGATCTATTCCACTCAACCCCCACGGCTGCGCTAGGAACTAGGGTGGAAAGGTACAACAATACCCTGAAACAACTCCTGGATAAACATGCCCCAAGCAAGAAACGCACAATACAAATTCGACCCAACTGCTTGTGGTATACCGATGATCTTCATACTGAAAAGCAGAAACGGCGACATCTAGAACGTGCCTGGAGACGATCACGTCTCGAAATTGATCGCCTGCTCTACCAAGAACAAAAGCAAAAGGTCAATCACATGATGGCGACCGCTAAGTCTAACTACTACAACAAGCTGTTCTTGGCCAATGCCAAAGACCAAAAACAGCTTTTCAAACTAACTGACCGATTACTTCACAGGTGTCGTGTGTCCCCTCTCCCTGAAAGCAGTGACGAGAATCTGGCAAATGAGTTCTGCTGTTCCTTCACTGAGAAGATCCAGAAGATTCGCCAAGGTTTCAAGCGTGTTACTACTGATTTGCCGCATGAGGAAGAGCTCTGTGCCTCACATCACCTCACATCATTTCAGCCAGTTACAGAAAATGATGTGTCTAACATTCTCAGTAAATCATCATCTAAATCCTGCGAATTAGATCCAATTCCATCATCCCTGTTTAAGAAATGCTCAGCCTCCCTAGTGCCGGTTTTCACTGGCATCATTAATGACAGTTTACTGTTTGGTGATGTACCGGATGATATGAAAGTTGCTCAGATACGACCTCTTTTAAAGAAGCCGCATCTAAACAAAGAGGAAATGAAGAATTACAGACCAGTGTCGAATCTTTCCCTTTTGAGTAAAACCCTTGAGAGGGTAGTCTTAATGCAACTCTCATCTTTCTTAATTGAGAACAATCTACATGACCCGCATCAATCTGCCTTCCGTGCTAATCACAGCGTCGAGTCTGCCACCCTCAAAATCCAAAATGACCTGTTGCAGGCTATGGACAAGCGCAAGATATCATTGCTCGTGTTGCTTGACCTATCAGCAGCTTTTGATACAGTTGACCATCCCACATTATTCAGCCGCCTCAACACTCGTATTGGGATAGATGGAGTTGCATTAGACTGGTTTAAATCATACCTTAATGACCGATCTCAATTTGTCCGGGTCAATGATTCAAGTTCATCTACTGTCTCTCTTGATTTTGGGCTACCTCAAGGATCAGTCCTAGGGCCCGTCTTGTTCTCTCTGTATACAATGCCACTTGGTGAAATCATTCGAAAGCATGGTATATCCTATCATTGTTATGCAGATGATACCCAATTATACATGTCAGTAGACCCTCAACAACACAAGGTTGATTCAGCAATCCAGCAGATGGAAACATGCATTGATGACGTACGTTCTTGGATGACTCAAAACTGGCTTAAATTCAACGATGAAAAGACCGAATTTATCATCATAGGTTCAAAGCAGCAATCGTGCAAAGTTCATGTTCCATCTATAAGGGTTGGTGATTCAACCATCATGCCATCAAATCAAGTCAGAAATCTTGGTATTATCTTTGATTCATCTCTATCCATGGAACCTCACCTTACATCAATCTCTAGATCAGTCTGCATGTCGATCCGTAACATCGGACACATACGAAAATATCTTGACAAACACACAACTGAAATACTTGTTCACGCTTTCATCACATCCAAAATTGACATGGGCAATTCACTATTGTATGGCATTAACCTAAATCAACTAAACCGTTTGCAGCGACTACAAAACATCAGTGCCAGACTAATCTCTCTCACTAGTAAACATTCTCACATCACTCCTGTACTAGCAGATCTCCACTGGCTTCCAGTATCATACAGAATTAAATACAAACTTGGCCTATTCGTGTTCAAAATCCTCCACAGCAATGCGCCGGAGTATCTCATCGACCTCATCCACCCGTACTCAACAGCACGCACCGGACTCCGCTCCAGTGAGCTCATGATGCTTCACGAGCCCAGGACCTCCACTCTGTGGGGTGACAGATCCTTTGCGGCAGCGTCAACCCGAGTGTGGAACCAACTCCCTCTGGCTATCAAATCATCTCCATCCATCACAACATTTAAGACAAACATAAAATCTCACCTGTACAAACAAGCTTACTCTCACAACACACAATCTTAACTTGACTTTCTCCTCGAGCGCCATGAGCGCCTATTTTTGGCGGATACCGGCGCTTTACAAATGTTCTTTTATTATTATTATTTTATTATTTTGTCTCCCAAAATATTGTTTTCATTTTGTAGTTCATGCATGCGAAGATTCAGATAAACTCCCATCTGAACTTTTCAACAATCATAATGAGAAACTGAAATAATTTGTTAATTTCCCATGTCACATCAGAAATCTGACAATTTCGGTAACGCTGGAGAATTTGCTGTTTAATTTGAAACTGTATTTGTCGGGGTGAAACCCCAGAAAGAATTTAAAATTTTGAACCTTCTGCCGAAATTTTCATCTGAGGCAAAGATTTTCCTCAAATGACTTACCGTAGCAAAGACGGAGGAATAGGCACCCAAGGACGCATGGATAGACGGCAAAGACCTCCTGTAAAATAGGACAGCACGGAAGCAAGTTTCAAGTTGATTTTTCCCTTTCATTTGCAATGATGCTTACTAGGGATGTCGTTTCTTTCTCACACTTTTTTGAAATCCGTGCGATATTGGCCCGGGAGGGGGGGGGGGGAGGGGAAGGGGAAGGGGAAGGGGAGGGGGAGGGGTGAGGGGTGCACGCCACCATACAAAATAGTCGCCCCAACCGGAAATTTGGCAACCGGAGACAATCACAGTCCGTGCTTAGCGAGTTTAACATAAAAGTTCCCCTTTTTCACGTGTTCTTTTTATATTTCACGAAAACCCTGTTTTTCGCGATTGGCTGTTTTTAAAAAAAACATCCCATGGAAGTGGAATAGCGCCACCTACGGTCTTACATTGACCGTGATGCACGTTTTAAACGCCCCCATGGGAAGATGGTGTCCAGCCCCCCCCCCCCTCGTCTGAGCCAAACCTTGCTATTCAGAAATCAAATTCGTCTATAATCGATTGATACGAATTCGATCTGTGAATGCTGCCATTCGGCAACAGCTTGGACGCATTCGATCTGTAATGACGAATATTCTCAACCCGGAGACTAAAGAGGACGACCAAGCTTTGAAATTAAATGGAAAATCACTACATTGGTTTTCTTAAAAGCGTGTGAAATTTTCGGGAACGAAATTGAATGATAGAGTTGTTGAATTTGACTGATGAAAAATCTTTTAAAATAGCCGGGAAAACCTATACCATAGCCATTCGAGCAGATGTGAATTTCAAACTAAAGGTTAAAAAAAAAATAGAGGTTAAAAAAAAATCAAAAAGTTATGTGCTGGCCAAGCATTCAGGGGTCGGTCTGAGCCATAACAATGCCCCAGCCAACCCCTTAGGGCTCTTCCGGGATCTCGGCGTTCCCGGCCAATACACACTTCCTTCCCTGTCCATCCATGTAACCCGAGGGCCAGGCACCATGTAAAAGCAAAGAGCTAAGGGAGGAACAGGGCGGCCCCTAAGCCCTGATCCTCCGAGTGGACCACATGCCCTGAACCTGTACGAAGGCGCCAACCTGGACTTCGCAGACAGTCCCAGCAGCAGTGCTTACCGATTAAGCTAAGGTACTGTTGGTGATTTACGATGGGAAATTAAACATCTTATAATGACTGAATGCGAGTGCGTTGTAAAGCAAAAAAGACACCGACGGGATTCGAACCCGGGGCCCCGCGAGTGTGGACGACGAATCGTAACCACTCGGCCATTTCGTTACCTTGGTTCTCTTTAACAAACAAAAAACGTTGTCTTTATAGTTGAGGAAACACGCCGGGAAGATTACTTGGTCCATTTGCTTTAGCTCCGTGGACGAAAACAAGTCGACATATTTGAGGAATAATGAGCCCAGTGTGTTTGATTTGTAGGAAGTTGTAAACCGCAGCCATTGTGCGAAATAACCGCGTGCCAGGTGGATCATTACGCAACAATGAACACTGCAATTATTGCGCATTTAAAAAAAGGCAGACGCGTAGATTTCCACACTTTGTATCTGGACACATATACTGTAGATTCTTACAATCCCGAGATTGCCAACATGAACTTTAAACGCAAGTAAATGAATTAATAACAATTAACATCAAATGAAAATCAATGCAAACTTGTGTCCGACGAAAGAAAACCGTCTTCCATTCAGCACGGGTAAAATTGGGCGCCCTAGCTCCACTGTAACATCTATCCCCCCCCCCCCACTCGCTCCCTCGGATGAGAACCCATGGCTACGCTGCTGCAGCAAATTAAAAGACCATCTAAAATGTGTACGTTTCCGTGGGGAACGCCTTGATTTGAATACCTGGCTTGTTTGATGAGGTCGTAGTCTTCATTCAAGCAGGTGTAGTCCGTGACGAATCTCGTGTCGGCCGCGCCGTAGACTGGACTGCAGGCGTCGGGGTCGCACGCAGCGAAGAAGTACGGAGTCATTCGTCCCGTTACGATCTGGATGAAGTCGGTGATAACCCAAGTTGCGAACCCACCCAGGCTAAAAATGCCTAAAAATATGAGGACACTTTTAACTACATGTATATACGATGGTAAAATGTATTAAAACAACAACGTGCATGCTCGATAAACCTATAGGTCCAATAAGTCGAAAATGATGCGCAGCATTGGCGCACGTACGCTCCCACCCGTCCCAGGCCAGACCTCCCACAAAAAATTACCACCTTTCGTCCTTCTGTTGGAAAAGTTTCTAGAGTTGAGAATATACATTTTATTAGCTGACAAAACTGTAGTCCAGATATCCTGCAGGGGATTGGAGCGAAGGGGGAGTTTTTCAGAAAAAGTGACCTATCCCCCTATACTATAGATTTTCGTTTGTAAGAGGTTAAAAAGCGAGAAGAGCAGAGCTGGCACTTCCGTTTCATTAAAAAAAAAATCCGCAATAGAGTTTTGTACAAAGTGTAAATGAAGTATGCGAGTAAGTTCCGATATTTAATTGCATGAATTTGAGGCCTCCCACATTCGTTGAATCCTTGGGGCCAGGCGGCGAGTCGCCTGCCCCGCGAAGTGGGTGGAGATTCCTTGGTCTCATCGATTGGAACAATTTGAAGTCTGTTGATTACTCTGATACTCAGATGTATTTAAATGATTGATAGATGAAGGAGATCTTGTCGTTTTATATCACATGTTCATCGTAATCTTACGGAGGAGTTTATTTTCAAGTTACCCCTAAGGACCAGAAAGATACCTACCAATGAAGCGAAACGCCCTCCTCAAGGGCGTGTACAATTTAAGGCTGCAGCTATGCACCATTTTCAAAGATTCCTTGGTCTTGTCGCACTTACACAGAGCCAACATGCTCTCACCTGAAAGGATCTGCAACCAAACATCCAGTCATTATGAATTTGTTAAGAGGGAAATCAGGCTTCATCCATATCCAGCTTTAAAGTTATATCTATCCCTATCATCGTCCGCGCATGCATTTTTCTTTCTTACAGAGCTATAGGCTGATATCACTATAGTTATCAGGTAGGAGGCTGCAGACGTACGTTTTAACATCAATATAACGAACTTTTTAACAATAGCCTTAGACACCAATTTCTCGGGAACTGACGATTGTCTCTCGACCCTGGAAATACAGGGAGGATTTAAAATGTCAAACGTAGACGCCCACACGATATAAAGTGCATGCTCAAAAATTGGACGGTCATAATTTGAATTATTTATGACTATATTGTATTAAGATGGATGTCTTTATGCATTTGTAGATAATTATGATAGAATTTAGATTAAATCTTGAAATTGGAATTCGGCGGGGGTCCAACCCCGGCCATATTGAGGTAAACCAAACAAAATCGCTCTTTTACAGGGATAAACCAGATTAGTTCAAAAGGGAATATTGTGTCCATTTTAAAGGTTTGACTGATTAACGTCCGAAGTAGCCTTTTTTTTCGAAACCAAAACGTGATCAGATGCATAAAAGAAATTCACAAAGTGCACACGGGGAATTGCTTCCATTGTGCGAAATTGAGAATGAGAGCTTCCTCTTTCGATCCAACTAAAGAAGTTGCAAATCTTCAACAAAACATCCTTGAAATACAGTTTGATACATGTGCAGTATCTGTAAACATATAGTTGCAATTGCGAAAAAAGGATTTTGAAGCTATGGTTTTCCTGCAGACAAAAATTGTCAGACAAATGGGTATGGTCTTTTTCCACTTTTCAACACACCAACCGCCTTACTTTAATTCACATTCTTAACAAAGGTTGGTCAATTTCTATTGCGATCTATCAACAATTGGGATAATTTCATGCTAATGATTGCCAAAGTTTTACTAAACTCAGTGTGAAACAACAGAGTGCAAAACCGTACGCCGTATTGCAGGGTCTGGGAAAAGAATGATATTTTCAGGTTTTTTTTTCTATATTTGTTAATATTTCTTAAGTGTTTCTTTATATACGTGTGTTTTTTTTTAGCATGAATGATTCTCTTTTTTATTTTATGGAATATACTGGAATATACTGGGCCTGTGGGCCGAATAATGAACGCAAATTTACCAAAATTACTGGCGCTGCAAAACTGATGACATAGAGCCCCCTTTCCGGCACAATTTCATCCTCGATGTAAGGCATCATATACTGCCTCTCATTACACCAAAAACCTCTCTTAGCTGGCGCGGGAAGATAGTACGTGAACTCTAGAAGGAACCAGAGGACGCCGACACCAGCGAAGAGTACGTAATCCACACCGAGAAAGCAGGGCACCAGCCAGGTGTTCTTGGATACCAGTCGACCACGCTGGTCTTGGTATGGCTCAGTGGTGCTGCACCAGCGATGGTCGTCCACCATTTTTGTTGGTTACTAGGGGAGTGGCCTGTGGACAAACCTTGAAAAATAATGTCAGATGTAAAACATAAACATTACTTAGTCATCTATATAGGGCGAGTCCGTGGACTATTTGGATAATTCATAAGTGGTGTCCCGTATAGGTTCTATCTAAGATAATTGATGCTGAAATAAAAACTGTAATATGAATGCAGTCATGGCTTATAAAAGGCAGCTAGAATTTCAAAACTAATCAGCCCAAAATCAGAAAACGTACCACTATTAATCAAAACAACATAGGGTAACTTTGGCCTCACAGCTCTGTAGGCCTATAGAACACGTGCCCTGTGACATATTGGGCAACCGATGGGCAACCCAAACATTTAAAGGGAATACACAACATTTGCAAACTACATCGAAAAATAAAACTACCCAGTTTTTACAAAATACGTTACTAGGATGTTGGTAAATGATAGTGTAAAGCATCCTGTAAAATAATGGCACCTGGTGAGAAGTCATTTTCAAGAAAAGGGGTATTTGTGTGTACATTTCCAACGGTGGTCGGCCGACCACCGCTGGAAAAACCTAACTATTTTTCACCTACTGCTCCAAATTTACCAATTTTTTTCAGTCCAATTTTGTTTGCTATTGGTTACATGTACATGAACGGGTTTCCGGCATCTATAAATTGATCCATTTCAACTTTAGTGGAGTCAGGAAACCAGACTACTTGAACATTTTTGTTTTTCTTGGGTTTTTTTTCAGCATTTTCCAACACAAAACTTCAAACATGTCAGTGTAACAATATTTGATCTATTATACTAACCCCTCAAATAGTTCATTTCTGAAAATTACAGGAAAACCCAATGATGTACATTCCCTTTAAGCCTCTTTTGCATGTAACACAGTGTCCCCCCAAACGTTGTGCAAGTAGATATCCTTTGATTTCTCAAAAACTACTTAAAAACGAGTATTTCATCTTGATGGAGCATATTAATTATATTATACTCTGGTGTATATTCAGTAAAAATGTCATGGAATCCGTTCATGCACAACCTTGCTCTGGTTCATGCAAACCAGAGATCTAACAGATAATAAAAGGCTAAGGGGGTTTCTTATTCCAATGGGCCTTATTCACGAGTCGGCCATGTTGAATTTAAAGTGAGGTAAAATCTTCATTTTTTGGAACTTGCGAAAAGAAATGAAAACAAGTACATTACTAAATAATTCAAGTCTGCTTAAATGAAAAATGTGTAATTAAGCATTCCCTGATGTTTAAAGCCAGATTCAAAAAAATGAAAGGCTGCATAAATAGTATGGCACCATCCCATTCAACAGTTAACAATTTATGAAGTACTGTACATTTAGGGAACACGACAAAAATGGCTACCTCGTGGATAAGGTCCATTGGATGGGATTTACACAGTTAACTATCGGAGTGAACAGGCCCATGACAATCTGATGCACTGATATCACTAACTGTGTAAATCCCATTGGAATGGGTGAAAAACCCATAGGTCTAGTCTTTGACAATCTGTTAGATCTCTTGTTTGCATGAACGGATTTTCATGGCATTTTCACTTATTATACACAGAGGATTATTAATAACTTTATAACTTAACACATTTTATAATTGATTAAATTAATAACCACTTCTGTGGTGCAAGCCTCATTTTGCAACAATTTGCCCCAAAGACAGCTGCTCTCGCATTTTTTTTTTTTTTACGGTGTAGGTCTACAAACGAGTGGGACATAAGGAGGTTGCAATCTCCTGAAGGAACAGTGATCAGCAATTACGAAAAAATACGGGAAGAATGTTGCATCCTGACGTCACTTGTTTTTATCATATATTATCTCAATGAAGGTCGGTCATTGCAAAAGTGTTGAAAAGACATGAATCTTGGACTGAGAAGCATTTCCAATTTTGTTAGAAAATACACGCTTTGAAAATGCATTCGACTCTCGACTCTCTTGTACACAACCAAAGAAGTGGCGTCTGGATACTACATTCTTTGCAAATATTCAAATGGCAGGAGATGGATAATCATAATACATTTACTATATCATTTCAAATAAAGTTTCGTTAATCCATGGAGCATATTATTCAATCGCTCATTGATGGGGTTATCAATAAATATCGAGGATGTGACATCCTGGGCACTTGATTGGAACGAGATTGATATTCACCATTTGGCAACTTGTATCTTTTTTTATCAGCACCATGCATAATATTGATAAGCTAAATCCTTGATAGATTGAAAGACGAAACATGGTCGAGATCATTGTGTAGAGCTACATGAATGCGAAATTGATGTTTCCATATTATTCAGCGTTGCACCACGACTGTACTCTTTATAAACTCACTAAAATATTTTTACAAGCGTGTTTGTCACTCAGTCAGTTAGTACGTCATTCTCTCATTCAAAACATTTCCTTTGATAATCTATGTACGACCATCATGCTCGCCATCTCCCGCTCTCAAAAAAAAAATAATGCTCTTTTTTGTTCAAGCACTTATTTTGTACACTGCCTAAAGAGTCTTATTAAAGATGTTTTACGTGTTTTCTTCTTAAATCTCTTCTATTATTTTCTTTGAGAGCAATCATTATCTACTTCGGCATCATTTTGAAACACCTTCCTACACATACGTATCTCCATCCTCCTTACATGACCTTGGGCAAAAATGCATTTCCTCGCAATCTCAGATCACAAACCACTCCCAAATCGTTAACAAAATCAAATATTTCGACACCAAAAAATCAACGATTTTGTACTCACTTTCTTCTGCTGTCTCCTCCTCTTTCAGTCTTTACAATGTACTGCGATCACACGAACTGTGTTTTTTTTTATGGGGTTTGTTTTACATGATCGTCATCATTTTTAACATCCCATGTGTAGCCGTTCCGAAGCGCAGTATCTTCCGCTACAATGAACGCATAATGCCGCCTATCGGTCGCTACACAAAATACCTTCCTTTTATCATTCCAACTCGGAAATTATATTATGTAGAGCCTTGTACGTCAGACGCATACCCGCCCGTGCTGTTTTTGTATGCGTTATTAAAAAAAAGACAGGTGTTTCCAGTACAATGTGCTGGCTGTTTTTTTTTAATCCCTTTGCGTATTCTGATTGGAATAATTGCGCGACGCTCATGAATAAATTCATTCCGTCGCCATGGTGACATTTTCCTCCAGGTGCAAAAGAGACATAAATTATTCTAACTTCGTTCGCCCCATGTTATAAATATACTCATTAATTTCTTTGTTTACCTGTTCCTCGTATCAATATTAAAATATCAGATGAATAAATTAATGTTTTATTTTTTTCATTTTTTTCCACAGTTTTTAAAATCTCTCATGTAGTCCTTATAATATAAGGAGTTCTGGATATTGATAAATTCTTATCTAGTTTTACAAGTCTGTTTGTTTACACTCAGACCACCAACTTTAACAGATTCACCAACTCTAACATTCAATTTTGTCCGAGAAAATTTTCACATGCTTTTCACAATACCAATTTAGTCATTTACCATTCAATTTCAAAGTTTGGTCACCAGGCTTTTTAGTCACCGGGTCGAGAATATTACGTCATTACAGAGATCAAATTCGTCTTATATATAACTCAATTAGACGAATTTGATTTCTGAATAACACGATAACACCGGTTCGAAATCGTGTGCTCATTATTTGAATTTGTTTGCACTAAATTTGAAATTGTCTGACAAAAGACGAAATTAAACATTTAAAGTGCACTCAATCGATGTTGCTGGACGAAATTGAATATACGAAGAATGTTTTAAAATAGCCGGGAAAACTTATATTAAGATGGATGTCTTTATGCATTTGTAGATAATTAAGATATAATTTAGATTAAAACTTGACAAAATGGGTCTACCCGATGTTCCCCAACACCGATGTTCCCCGAAATCCTTAGGATTAGGGTTAGGGTTGGGGAACATCGGTAGGTATGCACCCCTCATATAGTCATACATGAAAACCAGGACTATCATAATAACTGTTCCCCAGCACAAATTATTCACAAATCACTGCTACTCAGGATCAGCCCTCGACCTCGATAATCACACAGGAAAAAAATCCTTGTAGCTGGCTGGATGGAGAATTAAGGCCGCTGCGAAGCGTGCTAAAGAGATGCTTTTGTTATACTAATCCTGTCCACTTTCATACGCCGGTTATACTTTCCAACAATCCTTCGCTTTGTCATTACAATTTCCTTTGTCAAAACGTGTATTGATTTTTTTCCGCGCGAGGCATGAGGATATTATATCTGGTCATCAATATGCAAATACTTGGGCACGTTTTGGTTGTGTTATCCCACGGACCAATAGAGGCTGATTAACATAACAATGGATGAAATTCCCTCAGACCACAGATGGCGGTGCGAAATCTTACAACTGTGGGCCTAACTGCAGACGCAACACAAGGATCGGGTTTGGGTGTGGTGTCGTAATGTGTTGTTGACCAAACGCCAGAGATTCGTAATACATTTTTGTGACCTTTTTTCAGAAACAGGTGTTTCTGGAATAAGAGAAATCGCACTGCCTGAAGTTTAAATATTCGAAGCAGTTTAACTTGGTAAGTCTGTTGTTAAATTTCCTGAACGCCGTCAAAACGTCGTCTACTGCGGTACTTTATTTTTTATTTTATACCACTTTGATTTGTTCCTAATGTTTATGATGTTTGTATTGTAAATATCAGCAGTTCGTTCTAATTGTAAAGTATCATCACCCTATATTTGGTCGAAAGGTTAAAATACAATTGCAGTCAACTGCAGACTGCAGTGTAGATCCAGTAACTGGGGCGCTAGCCTGCCCTCCTCCCCAAATTGTTGTCTCTGGTCAGTCGTGCCTAAGAACAACTTTCAGGACGGCTGAAAAAAAGCTTTCTTTACAACAATTTGAACGAATGCTGCTGTTTAGAAGATGTTATTTCCTTGCAACAATCATTTTAAAAATATCCAGAAAACAAGAATACAAGGAAAATTCTGATTTGCTGTGCACATGTTCCTTCTGTAGTTCATTAAGTAGGGCCCATCACAGTAATAATTGGAAAGATTCCCATATCTGGCCATCACTCATTTTTCCCTTCAGTGACCCATCAGAGAGTGATAATATGTCCTAAAAGTAAAATTTAGCAGGGAAAATATTGAAGTATATACTGCGTGAGAAAACACTTAGAAATTTTCAGATCAGTCTCATAGGGTTTGTGCACAGGGTGACAAGTAATGGCCAGATATGTGAATCTTTCCTTTTTTTTTTTACTTGTGAGGTCAATTTTATGGGAAATCAGAAGTGAACTAAGATTATTTTGATAAAGGTCACTTTAGTTCAAGAATTGCACCGGGCATATCTGACTTTCACAAAAAGGTCTTTCAGTGATTATTGTTCCATTGAATGAAACTCTCGAAGCATGGAAGGCCATTTCTATCAATTATGTTATGGTTTGGTGCACCCATTTTCCCCATCACCATTGGCGAGAAAGTTATTTGTACAAATGTCACATATGATAATTCATTGCTCAGCCACTAGTCCGATTCTTTTTTTTTTTCATTTCAGTTCTAAAGTTGTAAAATAAAATCTCTTTTGAAGTTTTTTCTTAAATGTAGACCCCTGCGCCGGCTTATAGCCATCACTGATTAGGGCAATTTAAAATAAAATTCTAATTTGAAAGAATGGGAAAGATTCCCATATCTGGCCATCACTTTTCACCCTGTGCACAAACCCTATGAGACTGGTCTGAACATTTCTAAGTGTTTTCTCAGTAAATATTATAATATTTTGCCAGCTAACTTTGACTTTTTCAGGGCATATTGACACTTTCTGATGGCTAATAGATCACTCGAGGGAAAAGTTAGTGATAGCCAGATGTGGGAATCTTTCCAAAGAATGTTGCATCCTGATGCTACTTTTTTCATCATATAGATTATCTCAATTAAGGCCAGACATTGTAAAAAATGTTGAAAGAACATGAACCTGGGACTGAGAAACATTTCCAATTTTGTTAGGAAATGAGAAAGAGAAAGCACTCAACTCTCCATAGACTTTGTACACAACAAAAGAATTGGTGTCTGGATACTACATTCTTTCCATTTTATACAGTAATTTGAGCAAGAGTCTGTATTTATGCTAACAAAAATATGAGTTTAGAAAGTTTACTAGAAACAAAAAGTTGCAGGTATTTGATAAACGATTTATCATGAGCAAGTAGCTTTACCTTCTGCTATATGTGAAAGTAAATTTGTGTACTTTTTTGAAATTAATTAATATGAATAAGGCCAGTTGTCCATTATTTGAATAGGCCTAGTTTTGCACAGACATTTCATTGATGGTCAGTCATTTACAATTAAAAAAAAGAAAGAAAAAAAGGACTGGGAAAAATTTCCAAATTCAGTAGAAAATGTTCACAATTTTCCCATAGTCTTTGTACAGGGTGAGAAATCAAAATGTATGATATGAAAGCCCACATAATAAGCTTTCTTTTAGTATAAAACTCATTCAAATGACTCATGTAGTTTTTAAGTTACGGAATTTTGACCACAAACACCGTTTTAAAGTTCTGTCCAAGGATCACAAAAAAAAGTAACTGTTCTTTCAGCAAAACAAACACAATTCACATAGGGACTCGCATGTCAAGATACTTCATTTTTTCTGTTTGACCACTGACTACAGACTAAATTTGTTTGATTTCCCCACAGAAGTCAAGACCATTGATAGTTGCAAAGAGACAGTCACCCCCCTATATCAACAATGAAGGGGCGTTACCTGACCGTGGTCAACAATGCCCTCATCCCTTGTTTCTTCTTTGTCGACTGCCTCTTATTGGCTGGCATCATCGTCCTGTGGTACTTCATGGTGTTCTGGGAGGGGGAAGGATTTTACATGAATCGCCCCTACATCCCCTGCGCCGATATAGCGCATTATAGCTACCCTAATCTGGAGACCAAAGTGCCTGACGTGGTTATATACGTGCTGTGCTTTGCCCTTCCCCCAGTAGTGGTGAGTTTTAATATTCATTTATGCTCATTTTGAAATACATTGTACATACATATATAGAGTACTGTTGCCTTGTGGTCTGAAGCATTGAACTCATTGTCTGCAGGGTAATTCTGAAGTTGTGGGTTCGAGTCCCACCTGGGGTTGGGGTTTGATGGGCAAGACACTTTGTCACTCATTGCTTCTCTCCAGCCAGGAGTAAATGGGTACCTGTGAGGGCAGAGATGGTTATTGTGGTTGATTGTAGCTGCTTTGTGCTGAAATGGCAGCATCGAGCTGTGTACTCCCCAGGGAGCTGAGATGGTATTTGGAATGTTTCACTGGCCCAATGAGCAGGGGTTATAATAATGCAAAGTGCTTTGATCTTAGTTAAACGTGCCATATAAGTATTTTTCTGAACTCATAAAGGCCATGTCCTGTGACTGACTGAGTCATTGACTGACCGACTGCACTGAGTCACCAAGTATAAACCTGAGACTTTCATGTCCTGTTCGACTAAGCATATGCCACATCTTTTTCAACTTTGGTGGATTGTTTATATTGATTACATTGATTGCAAACAACTTCAATTTTTTTTCTGCATTCATTACTTGCACATAATTTGAATCTTCAAAAATGGAAAGAATAAAAGTGAAGAAAAAAACAAAGCAGGCTAAAAGAAGTAGTCATGTTGTCGAATTTTGGGGTAAGTGTTTTGTACATGTATATGATAACATGAAGTTTTTCTAATAAAGTTTGGAATGCATTACCCCTAAAAAAAACATTTATAAACGGTCCGTGGAGGAGTGACCACTGCCTGAATCCTGCAAAATCCTGCGGCAGTGACTGTCAACATGTTGAGGCTTGGCCAGTGACATCCTGGAGCAGAACAAGAGGATTTCAAGCATAATCCAGGCCTAAAGTTATGCATGGCTGAGCAAAAACAACACAAGGGCCGGCCCAATACCTTGACAAAGTACGTCCTACGAAATCAGTAACGCACTTTTGCCATGTAACCTCAATCCTCCAAATTCCTCCACTTTGGTAAAGACAATTTTGAAGGATTCAGGGCGGTTAGGGTTAAAGTTTCATGACCGTTCACATTGTTCACTTTCTTGAAATGGAGATATATCGCGTTTTGGAAATATAAGTCTTCATTTTCTATTCTTCAGATTCTGTTTGGTGAGGCAGCCCTTGCAGTATTCCAGCTTCAAGGCTATGAGAGCCCGGTCTTTGAGAAGACCGTCATCACGTTTGATGTCAAGTTCCATCCGATCGTGAGACGCACCCTGAGATTCATCGGTGAGACATCTGGGCAATCAGTTACAAAATATTTGAGGAATTACACAAGAATACCCATTTTTGTGTAAACCGTAGTTTGGAGGTGAAACTAGCATGATTGTGTGTCCTTAAGTACATGTTATTCCATTTTTTCCCTACAAACCTTTGTATAAAGCATTTTTCAGCATTTTAGTGACTGACAATAATATAAGCATGTCATGATTTCCAAATGATTAAGATATTTTGTTTCTTGAATGAAATGAACATTTCAAAGTGTTGCACTTTCATTGGTGAATTGTGACTGTTACAAAAAAAGATAAGAAAGTTTTCGTATTTGTAGGGTCAAGTAAAACAAATCATCTTTGTGAAATAATGTTGCAACCTAACGCCACTTCAACGGAGAGTCAAGACAATTTTCTGAGTATTTCCTTATAAAATTGGAAATGTTTCTCAGTCCCAGATTCATGTCTGATCATCATTTTTACAATGACTGACCTTCCTTGAGACGATATATGAAGGGAAAAAGTGGCTAGCTGCAACATTCTTTCCCATCTTTGTTTTGAAATGTTGGTTAGTTTTAATACAAAGTTATTATGCAATCTTAATGCAGTTCTTGTGTGAATAATGCATTCTGCAATCATTTTGAAACAGTGAAAAATATGTGGTTTCAGGCAAACACATTTCTTATTAGTGAAAGTGAGGGCAGATGTATCATTTTAATGACAAAGAATATTTGTAATGTTGAGGGGCTTATTAGAATGGTGTTGGTTGTTTTTTTAAATTGCAGGGATTTTTGCCTTGGGTGGATTTGTGACATGGATTGTTTCTCGGGCTGCTCAGCTGATGCTCGGGTATCCGGCCCCGTACTTCTTCAGTGTGTGTTTGCTGCCCTCAACGCAGTGCACCGGCACAGACCTGGTGACGCAGCTCCCAGAATGCACCGGGACTAACGACAATTTGGCTAGGTGAGCCTGGTGTTTTTCACAATTTTGTATGGGTTTATGGCTTCTGACTAGTGCCCATTGAACAAAGACATTGACAAAATGAGGAAGTCTTTCACATTGTTAACTAGAAAGTACTCGGAGAGCGCAAATCTCCGCCAAAGCTAAACATTTTCCCGCCATATTGTCAGTACACCCAAAAGAAATATTCGCATTAAATCGTGAAGAATGAATTGAAAAACCTTGGATCCAGACCCAGATCCGAATCACTTCCAAAATTAATCAATTTGTGCCAAGGACGACCCCTAAAAACAATTTTCTTGCAAATCCGCCAATAACTTTTTGAGTTATCTTGTTAACAGACAACCACAACCAACCAACCCACCAACCAACCAACCAACAAAATCAAAGAAAAAGATAACCTCCTTTGCAGAGGTAATAAAAAAGAGACACAGATAAAATTCTGAAGTAAATTAAAAGTCCTTTACCCCTGTAAATTGTTTCATATTTCAGCTCCTAACTTTAATACAAGTTAGAACTTTCGTTGACAGTCCTTCCCTCAGTTTCTTCTTTGACGCGTTACTAGTGAAGTTGTGAACAAATTTGATAAAAATCCAATTTATACATTTACTTTGAATTTACAGGCAGTCCTTTCCTTCAGTGTTTGCTGCACTGAGTGCATACTCTGCCATCTACACAGGGGTAAGTGACAATGTCTGTAGAAATATTGAAATTGATGAGGGATTTTAGGGGTAAAAGTGTGGATCCTTAAAGGCAAGGTTTAAGAACAAATTCTGGAAGGACCACAGATGGTTAGATTTCATGAGACACAAACACCACCTAGCTGCCAGAACATATGTGTACAATGTACAGGTGAATTTGAGAGATTTGGGAGAGTTAGGGTTAATGCTTGACTGTTAATTCTTGTACCGCCCCAAACTGCCCTGCCCGTTACTTCCTGTACTGCCCCAAACTGCCCTGCCTGTTACTCCCTGTACTGCCCCAAACTGCCCTGCCTGTTCCTTTCTGTACTGCCCCAAACTACCCTGCCTGTTACTCCTTGTACTGCCCCAACTGCCCTAGCTACCTGTTACTCCCTGCACTGCCCTGCCTGTTACTTCCTATACTGCCCCAAACTGCCCTGCCTGTTACTCCCTGCACTACCCTGCCCGTTACTTCCTGTACTGCCCCAAACTGCCCTGCCTGTTACTCCCTGCCCTGCCCGTTACCTCCTGTACTGCCCCAAACTGCCCTGCCTGTTACTCCCTGTACTGCCCTGCCTGTTACTCCCTGTATACTGCCCCAACTGTCCTGCCTGTTACTTCCTGTATACTGCCCCAACTGCCCTGCCTGTTACTCCTTGTACTGCCCCATTAACTTCTTGTATCCTGTCCCAAGCAAACTTTACTGCCTGTTAGTTTTTTGTACTGCCCGAAATACCGCCCCAAACTGCCCGAGCACTCAATGGTTTTATGGATTCCTCAGGGATTAAATAAAGTGTTATACAATGTAGTCAGAACAAACGAGGACATTCCAAACCTCCACAGACTTTGCACATTTTTTCAATTTGTTACGACATTCATGAGAAGTAGAAAAAGACGAGGAAATCAGCGGATCCAAGGAAAGATGCTGCCTGTGAAGTACAAGTACTAATGCGATATACCTGAATACACCCAGCACAATATGAGATGAAGGTACCCCCTAATCTCCCTATACCCCATGCAAACCCTAGACTATTGTTATCTAACACATCCCCCTAGTTATCTCAAAAGAATACCTGAGATTCTGGTAACACAATGACCAACACAAAGAAGGGTTTCCCTCTGTCTCATATCAGGCTACATAATGTACCTGAAACTGCCTACTGTGCTGCATGCCAACTACTTCCTTGTCAATTTACATGTACAACAAAGGTGTACGTGAGCAAGGTCTTCGTCATCAAGTCAGCCAAGACCCTGCAGCCCCTCATTGTCCTCTCCTTCCTGGCGTTGTCTCTCCTCACTGGCCTAGAACAGCTGGCATTCTACAAGGCCAGCTGGTATGATGTCATCGCTGGTTGGCTGCTCGGTGCACTCATTGCCGCCTACTTGGTAAGCCATACTTTTTCTTAATCTCCAAATATCTACACTAATTTCCTATAAACAAAGTTGCTATATACTTAATCCACAAGTACCAAGTAAACGGTGAAATGGAAAAGAATACTGGTATTAAAGGACTATGCCATTGCAGGCCCGTACCCAAGGCATATGGTTGTGCTGGGTATGGTTGTACACATTAATCAAAAACCCCCCCCCCCCCCCCCCCCCCCAGGCATGAGAATCTTCCTGTTTGAACAGGAATTTCTGTTTTTGTTGTCCAAATTGTTTTCTCTTCTTATCTATTTTGAGCATGTTTTGGGGCTTTTTTGCCTGATTTCACATTTTTTTCCTGTTTTTGCACAAGTTTCCTGGGTTTTTTTAATGAAAGTTGTTCACATGCCTGCCCCCCCCCCCCGAAAAAATAGTAAAATAAAAAACAAATAAGAATAAATATAAATACAAAATAAAAAGGTCAAAATTTTTGAAGTTTTCTTTGTCATCAGGTTACCTTGCTATAATCTATCCTTTCAAATCTGCGTATTAGTTTAAAAGTATGTTGATTCTTTTTCAACAAAGATGAAAAAGGAACATGTTTAAAAGTTGAAAAGGAAATTTGTTTCGAACCATACTGTAGCTTCAAGATGTCGATAGTTCACCGCCAATTTCATGTAATTTAAATGAAACATACTGCAGAGAATGATCATTACAATGTTTTACTATTATAAAAGTAACTTAATTTACATTCAAATGACATGTGAAAAGGTCTACACAAAGAAGGGAGTACAAAGAAAAAGATTTCTAAGGAGGGTCCTAACACCAGTACAGTTAACCAGTTTGCGCCGGATGATGTGTATATACACGAAAAGGTTTTGCGGTATTCGGAATGGAATGAGGGATAAACACGCAAAGAGTGATGCCGGAAATATCTATCAGCGACCCGCTCGCAGCGAGCGAGGTCGGAAATATGAGTGTTCTACCCGAGGCCAATGGCTTCAACCCGCCTGGCTTGTGGTCGAGTGAAAAATAATCCCGCGCGTCGTTCTGTTCTTGTCAAAATAACCCCGGCGCGAAATAGATTCATCACATTCAGTTGCTTTCTTTTTCTTTCAGAGCGTGGTCGTCCTGAATAGTTTCCTCGGCCACATCTTTCACTTCCAGCCACGCCTGGTGGGCATGCCCAGGCCCAAGACGCCCGAAATGAACGGCAATGGCCGGCAGTATTCTGAACGGCCGGCTTACATCGACAGAAATGTAGAGGTACGTCATCTTTAAAAATTATTTGTCTATTTTTCCTAGCTTGAAAAAAACCAAACTTTAATACTGGAGTCTCAAAAAATACAAATTCTTTATAGGAGACTTTTTCTAAAGGTTCATGTTTATATATAGGATCATTTGCATTTATCCCAAAAGTGATCTACCGAACTATTGTCAAAAAGCTTTCTTGAATTAAAGATAGTACTGGTACTAAAAATCCCGTGCAATTATTCCGTCTGGCTTGTTGTCTTTTTTAAGAAATCGAGAAACATGATTTCAAACTATCAGTCAATTGAGTTTTGGAAATAAAGTGTAGGCCTACTTGTAGATGAAACCATGTTTCGTTATCATAAGGTTGTGCATGGGTTTTCTTGAAAAGTGTAATATCCACTGAGATGAAACTTCAACGGGTTAGGTTTTGAGCATTCGTCTTTGGAATTTTGAATTGTTGTGCTGGGTTTTCTTGAAAAATGTGATATCCACTGAGCTGAAACTTCAAACGGGTTAGGTTTTGAGCATTCGTCTTTGGAATTTGAATTGTTGTGCTGGGTTTTCTTGAAAAATGTGATATCCACTGAGCTGAAACTTCAACGGGTTAGGTTTCGAACATTTTTCTCTGGATTTTGAGTGGTGGTATTGCATCAAGTACAGATGATCCTATGTACATGTACATGACTTTAAACACCTACTAGTATTAGGGGATGCAACATATCATGGTTTGCTATGTTTACATTCAGTATCATGTAAAGCTCAGAGTGTATGGAATGTTTAGGTTGTGTATACTGTCTTAAGGCCAAAAAAAAAAATAAGTCGGTCTCTGGTCAGCGTGCGCGTCGATTTTAATCATGCGCGTCGATCTTTTTTTTTTCCAAAATGTTCCGCGGTAGCTCCAACAGCGCCCTCTATTTCCGCACCTCCTCAATTTTTTTTTACCAAAGAGCACCAAGGAATGGGAAATTGCACCAAGGCAAATGATCGAAAGCACCAAGGCAAATTATGGAGGACACCAATGTACATGAGGACACCAAAAAAGCAAAATAGTACCCCACCTTGTCTGTACAATCCAAGCTTGAAGAAAAAGAAAAAAAAGCAAAAAAAAAAAAAAAAGCCGCGACTGGCCGCGTCAATTCCGGAACTTTGGTCTGACCAGAGACCGAATATTTTTTTTGGGGGCCTAATATCCATTTCCAAAGTGCCAGACTGATTTTCTCCCCCAATTTGTTCAGTGGAAAAAGAAATGGTTGGCCAACTCAGTGCCGAACGACAAGAACACTTCAGGTGCTTTTGAAGAGCTTTGATTCACAGCACCATTTTGTTATAAACAGCAAACTTGTTAATTTTTGTTTATAGTAATTGCCTTCTTCCATTTTATGTGTAGTCAAACCTTCATTTCTTTTTTACAAGAGGACATTTTGTTTTGTGTGTTAATGCTTTTAATAAAATTCTGTTCCCTACTTTTGAGTCGTACATTGACAAATTAACCCCATTACATGTATACTAAAAATCTGGTTTTGTATTAGTTTTGGGTCTGTACTGCTTGCTCATTATTGCTGTACTTTGGGCAATTCAAATAAAAATTGTCATAGGTGTAAATTTGGATTATTCAAGAAACTTCCACGTTGCCACTACAGCTAGAGTTGACATTATTCCATTCTTTCCATTCCCCGTCTATAGTTTGTCAATTAATCCACAGTCATTAATTAACCTGTATTTGTGACTTTTTTTTTGGTCTCCCATCACATTAACACACAGACCCATAACTCAGGTAAAAACATTGAATTTATCATAGTCGCTGTCATTGCTGACTGATTTCATGCACACAGTAGAAAGTGTTTTTGTAAAACTGTGAATGGCAACTTCACACATCCTCATACAATGTACCTACTTGTCTATTGCTACTACTTTTCCATGTCCGGGGCAGTGGCATATCTGGTTGGGCTGGCAAGCACCTCAACGCACTTGATGCATGATCTCCTCCTTCGCGGGCTGGTTCATCCTCAGTGCCAAAGCGAATGCGAATTTGTGACGTCAAATGTTCGCACTGCGAATTCGCAAAAGTTGAACAAATTTCAACTCTGGCAATTTGCGCAGTAATTTCCTGACATCATTAAGCTTCGCATTTGCACGAAGTATGAACTGGCCCTAAGATCAGCATGTGAGTGTCACCTTCACTTTTGCGGTGATTTCTGATTCTATCTTTTCAATCCCTGAACTGTCTTTACTCCATCTTACACCAGAGAATTTGAGGTAGTTTTTCCTGATGGTCTTTTAGCCTGTTCCCTTGTACCATCCTTCAAATATCTTAGGCGATGTCCAAATTACTCGGGTACGGGTACAGCTGAAAGTATTAAATGTAAGTGTCTATGGAAAGTAGATTTAGCCGCTAACTTTGGCCCATGTACATGTACTATTGCAAGGTTTAGCCAGTACATGTAAAATTCCGACCCTGCTTTCTACTGGAGAGGGTTCCACACACTTTGAATTGGGTAGAATACTAGAACCCCCTCCCCCCCCCCCCCCCCCCACCAATACAAAATAAAGCAAAAACAAACTTAAAGTAATGTCCATAAAAATGTGCGGATTTTTGCTTTAAAAATGTATTCATAAATACCTAAGACAGTTTATTTATTCCTGTTGGTCGAGAGCCCGTCACGTGGCCGGCCTTTTAGGGTTGATAAACACCGGCTGGCTGGTGTTAAACACTTTTCCAGTGTCACATGAAATTTGGACTCTATGAAATCCAGTGCCTTTTACAATTTTTTTGGTTGAACGTTAACAATCCTCACGTAGGCATGCGCACAGTGAGTCAGTATTTCATAGTCCTAAATTTACAATACACAGCCGAAGCTTCGTTCTGCACCACATCGTACAATACGTGTGATGCGTGCTCCAATCTCCATATAAGGAGATGTTAACGTCTACTCGCAAGAGGGACACACACTAATAAAGCTAGAGGGGTGTTTCGAAAAACATGAAGTGAAACTGTTGAACAAAATCGTTGGAAATAAATAATTTTTGACCTTTGGACCAACATTTTTTGAGTTTTTGACCAAAAAGGTATACGTCTACTCGCAAGAGGGACATACACTACTCGCAAGAGGGACATACACTAATAAGGCTAGAGGGGTGTTTCGAAAAACATGAGGTAAAACTGTTCAACAAAATCGTTGGAAATATATAATTTTTGACCTTTGGACCAATTTGTTTTGAGTTTTTGACCGAAAAGGTATACATAAATGGGAATAAATATGTACTTGGCCGGTATTGAACACTATGTTTAAGACTGGTTGGAGTCTGGATGCTGATAATTTTCGGCTCGGCATGCAGACTCCAAACAGTCTTAAGCATAGTGTTTAAAACCGGCCAAGCACACATTTATTATTAAAAACCAATCACTTTTCATGGTCATCTTTACTACACACATCATCACCTTTTAATGACTAACATCTTCTTCACTCTTTTCCTTTTTCTTATTTACTAACCCCGGCACTGCAGTTGTCCAAGCACAGCGTGCAGCTCATCAACTAAACAAACGGCAGGGCTTCTTTACCTACGACGGGGTCAGGGGTCGCGTGGCGCGAAAGGTGTCCGGCGCCCACCGCGCCACGATCCGACCAGTGCCGCAATCGCACAGCGAGCCGGAATCCGCAGTGGGAACCAACTACTTTTGATGAACGCTAAATTTATTGCCATTTTGTGCATGACTAATTGTAAGCACTTGAAAGTCTGGCACACGACTGGATTAATATTGATTTTTGTCCACATCCACAGTAGCATCATGACATTGAATTGTGTTACAGCTTTCCTGCTGAATAAAGCACTCCCTCATTATCATTGCACGTATTGAATTGTAAAACAACAAACAAAATTCAGCTGCCAGCAAAATGCCAGTGCAAAACACAAGGGGTCACGATTTTCACATGGTAGGGCTGTGCTAGATTTATCTAATATCCAAATATTCAAGCATTTTTCGAATAGAATATTTGAAAAATGTGTCATCTAGAGAAGATGATGAAATGTGTCCATGATGAAATTTTGTTCGCACATAAAGTTGAGTGGTTTCATTGTTCGTTTCATTTTTTGCCTCTTAACACACACGATGTAAAAGCTTCCGTGGGGAGTATTAATCCAAATTAGCATCTTTAAGAACTGTGAAATATCAGTAAGTCAGGTATCTCGAAAAAAGATATCGATACACACATGATATTCATAAAGTCTTTATGTCAATGTCAGTGTTAAAATATTCGATCAAATTCAAGTTCCAATAATCAAACACTAAATTATTTGCACATGCACAGCAATATCACTTGGATAGAAATCTTTACTTATTTCTTCTTAGGACAGAGCTAAGTTTTTTAAGAACACTTAAAATACATTCAATTTATTCTATTCATTTTATTTTTGCAGAATCGTCGTTGAAAAGACCGATGTCCTACCGCTACAGAACTGACAATCGTCGGATGTGAGTCTAGAATAGCATGGGTACCAGTATATGGATTCGGCTAGGAAATATATACAGATCCAGGCGTGTGACCACTGTACACGCACACCAAGGGCGAATCCAGAACACAATTTTTTGGGGGGCCCAAAAAAATTTTTGGTCCCCCAAAAAAGTGGGTCCCGAAAATTTTTTGGATTCTAGATGCTCTGTGGTGCGATCTGAGGCAATTTCTGACCACTTTAACCAATGTTTTTTGAGGAAAAGATGGTGGTGTACTCATTGCCTGCCTTTATTGCGATGTCACATAAAAAAAAATAAAAAAATTGGTTTCGTTTTTGGGGGGGCCATGGCCCCCTTTGGCCCCCCCCCCTGGATCCGCCCTTGACGCACACGGCCCCCTTCGATGGAGAAACCATTAGGCAAGTTATTGCACAGAGCAACGGCCCGTGATGGATCATCTGAACAATAGCTAGCACAATGCTTTCGCCATTGAAGGGGGCCTTCGTGATAAAAGTAATACATTATAGCAAGGCCGGATTAGTGTATACTGGAAGAAACCAAAAAGGCAGGGACCAGCCAAGTATTGTAAAAAAGACTATTCTTTTTAAACTGATTATTTTTAGTTGTATATTTAACCCACCTCAGATTTAAATAATTGAAACTTAATTAATAAACTGTATAGAAAGCATATTTTAGAGGAAATTAAAGTTCTCTTGTACATGGTGCATCTAACATTAAACCTTTTGAGAGCATTAGAATCAGTTGATGAAATTGTTGGGTGCACTGCGAAGTGATGGATCGTCTATGGACTTTGTGCATACGATGGCGTGACCGACAAAATGATCAGGTTTTTTTTTTTATCAATACCATTTGAATTATCGTGTTACTTTTGTAGAATTGCAATATACTGTACATATATGCATCAGCTTAAACAGACAGGAACATTTGTTTTTCTTCTTCCAGTGGTTGTGACTTTCAGATCATTTTTTTGCTTTTAGAGGGGCACTAACATGTTTTCAAATTATGATATCTTAAATAATAGGCGTAGAATTTTTGATGTAATTATTTTAAAATATTTTTAAAATCTACTTATTTAAACAATATGTGTACTTTTAAAACTATGTTCAAATTACCTTGATGTTTTTATGCAGAAAAATTAAATACATGTATTCACTAAAAAGCAAAAGGTTTTCATATGGAGTGTACTTCACTATATTGATTGACTGCCTTTACTTGTACACGCACCTCTTTGACGCAGATCAGCGAGTGTTAAAAAAAACTCAGGGATAGGAATGTCTCACTGGAGCATTCCATAAAAAGCAGCAAAACAGTTTGTTCACAATTTTTTTGAACTCTAGGTACCCATATGTATTTCGCATACTCAATTGAAATCTTTCTTCTGTTATTAAAATGTTTGGCCAGAATTTCAAAATGCATGCTGGTACGGGTAGTGACAAAAACGTACTTTCTAATTCATTGAACAACTAACGGACAACAACAAACGTTCATGTTTCATAAATGAAATGAGCAAATTGGTCACCGATAGTCCATCAAAGAAGTTAAGCTAGGAGTCATTGCTTGACACTACAAGGTTGATTGCTACCTATTCAAGAATGCATGAGGATCGAGCACAGATGAAGAAGACAATGGACGTTATGTACTATGTGCAATGTGCAGTACCCCGTCAACGGTGACAAGCAGTGAAGGGCACCAGAGTGCCTGCGCAACAGGTTGCCAATGCACAGATAGCACAACAGGCAAGCAGTGGGCAACCTAAATATTTCAGGCATCTTTTGCATGTTATTTTGCCTAATTTGAGCAGTTTATGCCAACACTGCAAGAGAAATACATGCAATGCAGAAAAATTTTGAAACAAGTACCAAGTGGTACAACCCACGGCGGCCAGGTAGCAGCAAGGCTGGTTAACGTTTTCAGACGGCTATAAGGCACCGTCCATGCACCCGGGACGTACCGGTACCGCGAGAGTACAGAAAACAAATGGGGCGTGATCTAGTATGCAAATTAGACAAATGAGCAACAGTGTCTGCAAAACTGGTCTTCGAATGCAAAGCTGAAATACTTGAGTTGTATGAATAAAATATATGGCCGAGTAAAGTGTCCACCAACCAACCAACCCAGCCACCAAGCAAACAACATAAGCAGCTCAAGCCCACGGCGTGTTTCACACCGCCGTGGGAAAAAGAGACGTGCTCTATATGTGGATGAACCAGAGCATACTGACCTGAAGACGGTCAGAGCATACTGACCGGAACATCAAGTTTATACCTCTGGTTCTTTTCAGAACCATTCTCTTAGTTGAGAAATTATTCGCACATGGTGTGTCCGCAAACCTTTCATTATCTAGTATCTCCACCATGCAAAGCCTCAAATCTCACTTAACCAGAGCAGTGTCGTACTTTACCGATGTCCGAGGACAAGGCATTGTCTTTCCCTTTGTTCCTATAAAATAACCTCTCCAGTAGACTAAGCACAAACACTTGCATTCGAGGACAAAATATGTGCGTTCAACAAAGAATTTGTTCTCTTGTTGTCTTGCTGCTTCCTGCAACATGTCCTTCACACACCGTCCCTTAAGACTGACCACATGTCTTCTACAGTTTCTGTATGGAATCACGAACCATTTACACTGGTCCGTGATGGAATCCACACACTACATCCTCAAATGGAACAGAAAATTTGGCACTCCCGGGCTTCAAATTAACCAGTTAGGAGGACATGTAAACACGATCTGATACACTGTGCCCTCTGGAGACATGCACACAATAGGGAACAAAAGATTGTATATGTCTTCACGAAACAGATATATGGATTTTACTCGAAAACTAGGAATTTCCAAGGTGGGTTGATCGGTCGCAAATGGAAGAGTTTTAGAAAAGGGATATTAAGCCAAGAAAATTAATTCTGGTTAAAATAGGAGCATTTTGAAACTTCACTTTCAAACTCAAAAAGTTTACTACACGAGAACAAAGAAATGTCTCCACAAGGATATGTATGATTTGGTAATGTATGTATTCGCAGGGGCCAGTGACGGGTTGAATCGTCAAGCTTTCCACAAGTCTCCGCGTGGGGAAGTGTATACACCGTGTGTTTAACGGCCTGGTGTCGTATGGTCACTCATACCAAATATTGCTCCATGGTGGATCCTTGGAGTGTTGCAAAATATGAAGTTTCGGTTATAAATATCGTACAAATGTTGTACAAATGACTCCAGAGTCAGCAGTTGTGGTTTTGACTTCATTTGAAAATTTAGCCGATATATTATGTCTTTTTGGAAAATTGTGTTTTTTGGCAAAACCAAATCCTGTTGTCAACTGGTTCATGTTGCAGATTAATGTTACATTCATTTTAAAAACTAAAACTAGAACTCCATATTAAACCATGTCGGAAGATAACTCCAAATTGTTGTAATGATTACATGTTATATTTAATTGATGATTAAATAAAATTGTACAGTGTCTATACTTTAGGTTTTTTGTTACTACTGTCTATTTTTTTTGGTGCTAGGTGCGGACGTGTTACGAATATGTACACAGCACTGCCAAGACACATTGAATATATTCAATACTTTCAAGTGCCCTTTAATTTAGGAATTTATTGGTTCATACATGTACATAAATTTATTACAAACACTACCTGACCATTTATCACACATGGGGTATTATTACATGTATACGCATCGTCTCACTTTTTTTTTTTAAATCATACATGTACCTCTATTCATCACATGGACTGTACCATTACACGCAGACCAGCAATTAAAATCTTTTACAGCATACAGTATACAAAAACGCTTTTTAAAACAAATTTTCAAAGCAAACATTTACTATGTATATTTTTCTTAAATTTGAAACTATTGAAATGTTTACTACTGGTGCTTTGCATTTTGATACATTGCTTTTGGAACACAAACTTATTGTATTAAATGCCTTTGAAAATTCCCTTTTGGTAAAATGACATCACTTAGTACTGCATACATGTACATATGCATACATATTCACACAAACTCAAAAGTATGTATTCAGCTTTTGTCCAATAAGCCATTCGCGAGTTAAATGTGAATAAAATTTGGAACGCTGACTTAATCCAATGCTTTGCACGTTTTAACTTAGCATTCTCTCGACCAAAGAGACTGTTACTACATCACGTGATTCGGGGCAAGCATCCTGCTAGCAACCCCCAGCTCCGGTATGGTCAGTCTTTGTGCCATTCTCACCCACTGTGAACAATGTATTAGTGCTGAGCGTCTCTTACGTAACTATGCAAGAGCTCGCCCCGAATCATGTGATTAGCAACAGTGTCTTTGGTCTGGAGAATTGAAAATTAAAACGTGCCAAGCATTCTGAGCAAGTCAGTGTACCAGATGTTTTTCAAATGTAAATCCCTAAGGGTATAGGTTACTTGCAAATGGCTTATGAATGTTTCACAGCATATGATACAGTGACAAGCTCAATACATGTACATGTACATGTAGATGTATGAAGCCAATATTTGCGTAATGAGACATTCATGACACGAAAGGACATTTTCATAAATTAAAATATGATTAAGTCTTCACAGTAACTTTAATACAAATAAGTTTTTATCATGCAAGATCTGTTTGATGGCTTGAAATTAGAAATTTACCAGACTGTATACTCATCCCGAGTAAAAATAAATATCTGTTATTTATTATCTAGGTCATGGGCCCTTGTGAAGCGTAAATGGAGAAATTTTAAAAAAATGGATACACATTAGGATTTTCTTGAGACAAGAGTTACACAAAAGTACTGAACAAATTGGGCTTGATCACATTTTAATGTTCACATGTACAAGCTTTGTACCAAGCGTGTTGAAGTTGCCATGCAAAACTTTCAGCACATAACAGTGGTGGGAACCAGCTGCTGTGAAACAGGTCTGGCGACCGGTAACCGTCCATCATCCATCTCATGAACTTCAAACTTGCTTGCTGTTTGTTTTTTAATTTATGATCACTTCTAAGCCAAGATTAGAAAAGTCTTTAGCATCTTTTGTCTTTACAATATGACAGTTATATTCTATATTATTCAAGTACGGGTAAGTTATAGTCTGTCTACATGTAGTCGTCGTTCCAAATGGTGTTCCACGAAGTTGAGGGCAGGAAATGGGGGCCTGCATTCACTCATTTTTTTGATACAAATATACATGTATGGTAGTAATAAACATATTTTAAACACATACATGTACATGAATTTTGGTCTATTTTTGTTCATCGGGAGAAGTCCTTGTATATGTACATGATGTAGCATTGTAATTGAGGGATCTTGTTAATTTGTTAAATTACAATTAGTATTCATTATTAAATACAAATGTACCTCCAACAATCACAATCTACAACGCACTCTATGACAGCACATATCCTGTTTTACATATGTAACAATGTAAGAAAAACAAAACAAAGAAAACATGCAAATTCCTAGAGTCACCAAGTTTTTCTTTTTCTGCCAATTTCACTCAGCAATCATTTCCCACAATTTCTAAATTTTTTACACAATTATTGATATCCATGTACAACAATTTTTACAAGTCCACATAGTATACTTTGTGATGAGAGTTTTCTCTACATATTCATCTGGGAATTTAGAACAGTGGAGAAGTTGATGTCTACTGTGGACACATGTCCACCCATCCTATCTTTATTGCTAAACCAAACTTGTACGTAGAAGAATGTATAAACATTTAAACACTGCTAATGCACTTATACATACACTGAAACCTTTAAAGGTAGAGTACATCATTTGTCATTTGTGCATTTTTTTGTTTCGTTTGAAGCAAAGAAAGTGCTCACAATCTAAAGAAGGGTGCTTGACAACTAACCTGATGAAGTTTAAGCTCTTGATTTTAATTCAAAAGTTGCCGAGTCTAATTGAATTGCGCCTGACATCAGCGTCCGGGACACGTTCTCATTCAGCCAATTGCAGCTACGCAATGTCACGCACTGAACCGACGATTTATAGCAATCACGCGCACCCATACACGGCGTCGCCGAATTAAAAACAAACTACGAACAGAAATTTCCAAAAATGCATCTTTAGACGCACCTTTGGAAATGACCTTCTTTTATTGTTTTCTTCAAAATGACAAAATGCCAGAAAGAATAATTTCATAGGGAGTTTAGTGAAATTACTATCTATTAAACCAAATATGCTTTTCAACAATGATTTCATCAATTAATTTTTGGGAAGCTGCAAATGATGTACTCTACCTTAAACTTGACGATTTCTATAAATGATCGTAAGAAAAGTATATTAAATAATGATAAATGTTGACCATTTACATTTGAGAAATATGATCAATTTTAATACAAAGGAATGTTTAAGCGATATTTTGAAGTTCATTTTCAACAGACCAGCTTTGAGATAGTCCCTCGAACTCATCCATCTAAATATATATCATTTTTCGTCAGTCTTTCACTACAGAAAGACCACAAACAACAGAAAATCTCAAACAATTAAAGGGGAAACAACTTACTAAAAGTTGGAAGAATGGAGTTGGTGGATTAAGCTGAAGAAGCGATGGAGGGCTTCACTCACTCAAGAATCTGAAGGCATTACACTGCATTGGAAAAAGAAAATTAAAAAAAAATTACATTCAACGTTTCTCTACTAACTATTTTTAATCATTCTCCTATTAAAAAGGTCTCCAATTTGCTTTTCTTTTCAATGACTCAAAATCGTATAGCCCCACTGCCATTTGTTTACTTGACTACACGCAGACAGCTCCATGCGATCGTAAACAAAAAAAATTACGAAAAAAAACAACAATTCCCTACAAAACCTACCCAATTTTTAAATGTCATGTAATCGGAAGCAAAAGTATTGACTCGTGAACTCGATCAATATTCTCTGTAAATAGTGACTGTTTTCTTTGTTCTTAAGAGCTTGAATGTTCGTGTCTCACCTGCAAAATGCCAACAATGACACCAAACAGCCCGATGGCACTGCCAAAGATCTCAATAATCAGGACTTTCACAAAGAGGCTCGGGTTCTGCGCATCCGCGAGGGCCGCAGCGCTACCGACCAGCCCGACGCAAATACCGCAGGCCAGGTTGGACAGGCCTACGGTCAGTCCGGCTCCAAACATAGCGTAACCTGCAATGGAATGGTAGACAGGGATAACGGAAAAAGAAATTAATAATAATAATGCGGTGCTTCTATAGCGCTTTATACCAACGGTCTCAAAGCGCTTTACAATTATTACCCAGGTTCATCAGGCCATGAGACCAGTTTTTGCAGCAGCTCAAGATCAGCGCATTCTGGCCTCTACCTTCATAGGAACCCATTCATACACCTGGGTGGAGAAAGGCAACTGTAGTAAAGTGTCTTGCCCAAGCACACACGCTTCATGTTCCCTGTCAGGGTTTCGAACCCACGTACCATGGAACGCGAGTCGAACACCGTAACCATTGGATCACAGCGCTCCACAAGTCACAGTTGTGGTCGAGGTACTTGCGATGGATCACAAGCCATCACAAGCCAATCACAGGTCATACAGTCCAAAGTCAACTTTAAAGTTATTCAAATTAACTTTGGCATTCCTTTGTTATTGTTAATCCCTCGTTACTTGTTACTTGTAAGTCAACTTGTGATTTACTTGGGACCAGGCTTCTGATGTTCATGTGAACTATCACAAACTACCTTGACGATGACACTGTGCAAAATTATACCCACATGTTGTAAACATGAGAGTGTTATAACACCTTCCTAACTCCCTAGGTAGTTTTGTCAGGATGCAACCTCAATCCTGCAAATCCTCCAACTGCCTCCATGTAAAAATTGCATACAGCCTCAATCCTGCAAAATCCTCCGTTATTTCTGAATGTGGTCCTTGGAGGAGTGACCACTGCCTCAATCCTGCAAAATCCCCCAGCAATCACTGTCAATATGCTGAGACACAGCCATTGACATCCTGGAGCAGTGCGGAGGATTTCAAGTATAATCTAGGCCTAAATATATGTACCGGAATGGCTGAGCATAAACAACACAAAGTCCGGCCCAAGAACTTGGCACAGTGCATATTCCAAAATCAGCCACATATTTTTGCCACCTTTGAAAAACAGTGTTCCACTGAAAGGTTTCCCCAGGATAAATAATAAATATATAGCCTCAACCCTAGAAAAAAAACTCCATTTTGCAAAGAGGATTTTGGAGGATTTGGGCAGGGTGGGGTTAATATAATGGCCCCATATGCAAACTGTGGTAACTAGAACAGTGTATGGACTTTGTGAACAAGTAATCCATCAATGATGACAAAGAGAGAGTTAAGCTACACCTTTGATCCAAATTGTCTGCATTTACCTGACGAGGATGCTACGGGTTAGTGCACACTGAGGTGACAACTTGGTCAGGCATTCTTTAAGCCATATGCTGGCATGTGCATTGAGCCCTCATGAAGCACCAACTGCAATCCGTGCAGGGGTCCCAAGGGCATAGGATTTTTAGTCTTGCACCATCTCTTACTGTACAATGTATGTTCTCATATTGGGTAACACTTAACTGAAGGACCACTCAGGAATGCAAAGAACTTTAAAAGCGGCAGACAAATGTTTGATATCAAAATGAAAACCATATTTTGTGCGGCCTACCTGCTAAGTAGTTGTTCCTCAGTGTGTTCTCTGAAACAGTCGCTGGGTTGTAATCTTCAAGTAGATTGGAGATGACAATGGCAAGGATGATCCCGTAAATGGCCACTGCCTCGCAGAAGATAATACTATTGACAAAAAAAAAGAGATAAAGTTTAGTAAACTGTGGCCCAGGTTACAAATTGACCCTTTCTTCCTGTCAATCAAGCAGAGCACATTGACCAATTAGATCAAGCTTTTTTAGTCAGGTGACCATGATTGCTCAGTCAAACTTGGTCACAGGAACAGTGATTGTACAAAAACCAAAGGTAGGAGGGGCTTATGGCTAATTACTATACCTCATACATATTCATGATCGAGAGCCAAACTCTCACTGGTCCATTCACCATCACCTGCCAGATGCTATTTTTGCTGTTTACCAAGCGCGCGCGAGTATTCACGCACTGGTAATTATGCAGGCGTAGTAGACTATCGCACGGGTTAGATAGTATACAAATATAACATGGTTCGAGGGTGGACAGTCGATATTCGCTTCCCGATGTTCGCGCATGCGTACAACACCCGTGCGACAGTTCCACGATTGCCTTGTAAAGCGCATGCGTAGTAGACTGTCGCAAGGGTAACCCATGCGACAGTCTACGGTACTACGCATGCGTATTTACCCTGTGCATGAATCCTCACGCGCGCGCTTGGTAAACACCAAAAATAACATCTGGCACGTGATGGTGAATTGACCAGTGAGAGTTCAGCTCTCGATCATGAATATGTATGAGGTATAGTAATCTACTATACGTCAACATGTATCAGGTGATAGATTTTAACAGGTCTGTAAACTGGCCTCATATTGGTACAATTGACAGGCTGTGGTAGTTTTGTTAACTGAGGGTACCGTGCCTTGACTGACATTGATAGATGTGGTGGGTCAGCACTGGTGAGTGCCTGTCAAACTGGCCTGATATTGGTACAATTGACAGGCTGTGGTAGTTATGTTAACTGAGGGTACCATGCCTTGACTGACATTGATAGATGTGGGCCAGCACTGGTGAGTGCCTGTCAAACTGGCCTCATATTGGTACAATTGACAGGCTGTGGTAGGTATGTTAACTGAGGGTACCATGCCTTGACTGACATTGATAGATGTGGTGGGTCAGTGCTGGTGAGTGCCAGTCAATGATGGATTGAGCTCAGTAACAATGAAGACACAAAAGGTTCACTCATGCATTCCAGCCAAACAAAGGCATCACCCTTTAAAATGGCTGCTACACAATCTGTACCAGTATTTATGGTCACCCTATCTATCAAACTCCTTCAACAGGCTTCGACGGTTACACGGTTTAATCCATAGGGGTTTCTGGTAGTTGGTGACCAGCCTGTACAAAAGCTATTGAGAGAGGTAGGGGTTAGGCTTTTTGACAATTTGGGATAGTTATGTAAGTATAGGAGGGTTAATTAATGGAGTTTTGGGGAAAACATGATGGTATTTGAGATAATGCTCGACTCACCTGAGTAAGTTCTTTGTCCTGATTCTTGGCGTCTTGACACCTCCACCTAATATACTTGTGCCTGTGTTGAATATGCCCCTGAAAATTCAGGAAAAAAAGAAGAAAAGACAGTGAAGGAACTTCAAACTCAGACTTTAGAAAGACTATCATTCTATTGTTTTCATAAGGGATTTTGCAGATATGGTACTAACTTAGTAGTCTCTAACCTATATAACAAGCCTGGCGGACTGCCATTTTTTTGGCAACTGTCGTCAAGCTTACAATGTAGAAAGTTGCCGCCACCCTTTAAAGCCAACTTTAAAATTCAACGACTTTATCTTTATAACAGAAAATATTTAAGTGTTATATACTTTTCATAAGATGAATTTGTGTTGGGGTGATGTAAATCAATATCAGGTTTTGCCCTTCACCGACGTATAAACACTGTATACTCAATGTGTTACCTCCCGAGTGAAAGTTGGAAAAAATCACTGGGGTGGGACTGGAACCCGCGACCTTCTGCTGTCTAGTGCATACGTCTAATAACCCAATATTGATTTACATCACCTCAATGCAAAATTCCATCTTATGAACAAACTAACCTTGTTTGCAAAAATACCGTCACCTGTCTAGTCTAACCTTAAATTTTCCAATGTTGGGGAACACTGGGTGATGTAAGACAATTCTCTTTGAGTCATGATAGCTCATAAAAAAAATCCTTGGTCCAATTTAATGAGACTGAAAATACTGCTAACAAGAGCAAAACTATTACAAGCAACCCATAGCATTTTTTAACAGTAGCTTGGTGGAAACAGGCTTCCAGTCCAATAAAATGTTTAACAAAACGTTGCAAAACTTCAAGAATTCTTACCATGCAGCACCGACAACAGAGAGCGATATGGAGAAGCCAATGCCCAGATTGGCCCACATCACAGGTGAGATTGACATAAGGAGCCTAGATGGTAACAAATAGAAACCAGTATTTTAGAATTCAATGTTTTAACATCATTTGACCTAAGGATTCCCACAAGGCTGAGGAAACCTGCAGTTAGAAGAGTTAAGAAAAGTCAAGTTGGCTCACTAAATGTTCCATGCTTTCCAATAAACTGCTGCTATTTCAGCAGTCACAGACAGCCAAAATTCACTTCCCCTGCTATACTTCTAACAAAGGCTGGTCACCAGCAGTCAGATCATAATGTTAAGCAAGTACTTTGTTTAGTAAAACTGGGTCAATAGACAAAGCAGGCAAGTTGTGGTCACTGCTGTGACTCAGATGGACATGTCAACTGAGATTTGAGTCCCAAAATCTATCTTATAGTTTTCAAAAGAGTATTTTTCTCTGAATTGGTTCTTTGTTTTTCTCCTGACCGGGTGGGGATACATGTATGCCAGTGGATTAAAGTCAATGGGTCAGGTTGGGTACGTGGTACTTTCTCTGCCTTCTACCTCCTGTGGCCCAGGTTCACATCTCACCCCTGCTGACTTGGTTTATCAGTCAAACCAGAATTCATGTTTTTTTTCTGAGAATAGTTTTTTTTTCTTTAAGAGGGGAATGCCTCACATAGTTTTCATTAACCCTAACATTCCAAAATACTCCAAATCTTCTTTGCAAAATGGAGGATTTTGCAGGATTGACACTACGTGGACCTATGCTCAGCCGTGCATAAATTCAGGTCTATATTTTACTTGAAATCCTCCGCACTGCTCCAGGATGTCACTGGCTCTGCCTCATACTGACAGTGTTTGCCGGAGGATTTTGCAGGATTGAGGCTGTATGCTATTTTTACACGGAGGCAGTTGGAGGACTTTGCAGGATTCAGGTTACATCCTAGCAAAAATGCCTAGGGAGTTTGGGTTAATAAATTGGATGCTACGACAGGAGGGTTGACATTTGAAATACTCTTATCTTACCATCCGAAGTCTAGCCGATACAGCTGGTTCGTGAATATATATGCAAAAACTGCAAACAAGAAGAAAAGAGGAAAAGAAAAACAGAATTAAGACACAAAGGATACAAAATATGACAAGGCTCAGTGCCTGGTTCCCTGACTGATGATAGTCAATCACAAGTAAAAGGGTTCATTGAGAAACAAAAAATGCATTGGTGCCTGACTGGCTGGATGACCTCATAAACTTCCTGTACTGTGGGTCACTGAAACCACACTGATCTATTTCAGGGAACTTGCTAATTTGATCAGAATTTTTTTTGACAATTTCCTGCCAAATATGCACACGTAACATGATTCACCAACTAAATCATGTCCTAAACCATAACTAAATCATAAAGCAATGTACACATGTTTTTGTTTGTCTTAAAAAGGGAAACAATAAACACTATTGTGTAAAAATTAACTCCTGCAATTTTTATTTAATCTAGGTTTTTTTGTATCTTCAAACAAACCACAAAGGGTAACTTTACTTCCCATTAAACAAATCCTACAGGACCATTTAAAAACAATTAAAAGTAACAAATAGATGTTTTGGGGAATCTAAACAAGAAAGGGTTTTTACTGAGATTTGAAACTTAAGTCTTCGACACTCTAACATGTCTAAACACACTGTGTCTTCCCTACTTATGGAGCCATGGAAGCACTTCAAATTCAATCATCGCAGGAATTAAAAACCTCATATTCGCAATGAAAAGTTTAATGTTGCACTTCCTACAATTAAGGCTTACACCTAAACCATATTGCTGTTGCAGAAACGTGTTACGACTTCTGTAAAAAACCACTGCATATAAAAATTGTGTTTAGGTAGTGGATATTTGACCGATGTTGTACCGGCAGAGATTATGATCGATCGATGATTTTCGGTTTGCTCGGAGCGCGCTGCGGGGGGTATGGTACAAGCGAAATGATAGCATGCGCATGCGTACAAGTGCAAGTACTGTACCCCCCACGGCGCGATCCGATCGAGCGAACAGAATCATCGATCGATCATAATCTCTCCGTGCACGTTTCAAGTGTCAGGTTGGCTCAGTGCGGCAAGGGCATATTTTTCATCATTTTGGCCTAAAAACCGACAGAATCCAGTGATGTTTGTTAGGTGCAACTAACATGAGTATGTCAAGAGGTTTAGTATGAAGTTTAGGGGCAAATGTCTCTGTTTTGATGGACGTTTTTGTACTTAATTGGTGTTTGGTGTTGTAAACAATTTTGCGGGGTTTTGTGTCTATGAGGCTCCGCTCTGCGGAGCATCATACATGTAGTTGTAGGAGTAGGAGTATGCAAAAATGATGATAAGACATGAATCTGGGACTGAGAAACATTTCCAATTTTGTTAGGAAAAACTTTCTTGACTCTCCATAGACTTCGTACACAATCGCGGAAGTGACGTCACGTTGCAACATTTTTTCCGTCAGACCTATTCCAATTTCGGAGTTTATTTTCCTTTTAAAAACATCCCCCAGAGCAACCAATCATAAAAAGAAGATGAAATACTCTGCAATTAAAGTAAGATTCAATTTTAAAACCATAAAAGAAGACATTTGTATTTTTTGGGACACAAAAAATAAAGTTTCAAAAACATTGTTCACCATGCGCAGGGAGTGGGACTCAAATCGAGTTGGGTTGCTTGCGAGGCAGGCGTGCTAACCCATACGTTTGCTCGACAAGAAATGGTAATTTAATAAATAAGTTTTGCGTAGGCCTTCTCGTATACACTTTCATGAAAGATAAGAACAAAAAAACATGCGATACCAGTTCAGGGCTAAATAAACACTTCAAAGTTCAATTTTGGGTATTTATGAATATGAAAAAAAATATACATTTTCGTGACTACTCGTCACAGGATACGCACATTTTCATACGCAATTATTCTTCACAAATGACAATTAAGTTTTCAAAAACCAATTGATAGATAGGGCCCTACTTTTAACATAATCAATATTCTTTTTCACGAACATGACAAGTCGAACATGTCGAACATGTCGAATGAAATTGATAAATGCCAAATTGCCATCATTCATAATCATATGGCACACATTTACGTAAATTTTCATATCAAATACTCACATATTCCGATAAAAATCCCCGACAGTAGGTACGTCGTGATGTACCCGTGGTAGCCCATTGTGACTTTTGAGGTTTAATCTTGCCCTAGGTGCCAAAAAATGAAGAAATAAACACCACACTACATACTCTTCACTGCACAGGAATTACACCATGTAGTAATCAGACTGGTACCGAGAGACAGAATTGAGTCATATCCTTCAAGCGGAAATCATCCTAGTTTCGAGGGTTGGAGTCTAGGAACTAGTCATTGAAATCCCGTGATGTGACGTATTGCTAGACTCCCTCTCGAGCGGCTGATTGCGGGGAAGCTTGAATGGAGACTAATGCACGCTTTTAAAGGGACTATGATTGAATAAGACTTAATTAAAGGGTTTGCATGGTGGACATGATCAATGAATGGGAGGTTTGAAAGATACGAGTTGTGAGCATTCTGTTCGAATGTCGAGTTCCTTGCTCTATGGTTAAACCAACTTGTTTTTATTAGAACCACGCAACTCACTAGTAAGAGACATCTTTCATTATTCACTTGGTGTTTTAATAACCACAAACCTCCCATTCATTGACTCTGATTGAGTTTGTGACACGTTCTTGAAACAACTGAAGCAATTTTTTCAAGGGGGTTGGGTTGTTTGTTTGGGGTGTTTTTTTTGGGGGGGGGGCATGGTTGTTCCTTTGAAAAGTTCAGTTATCTAGCTTGTTCGCTTAATGTCTGATGTCTGTCTGTCAGGCTTTTTGTATGTTTGTTGCTTTTATAATGCAACAAATATTAAACACACATGACAAAGACAAATGCATTTTCTTAGAAATATTTAATGCAAAAATGTTAAGTCTTTTAAATGGAACCATTTAAAAAATCAAGATTAAACAATTAACTTTCCTGAATGAAAATTAAAAATCACACACCTAAGCCTTGGGTTTTGGGTCAAATAGGATAAGATGCCAGCAAGCTTATATCAATTAAAAACAAAATGGTAGAAAATCACGAGAAATAACAGGAAATAATTGCTGAATCTTATACACAATGCACAGCGGCGTAGCCACGGGGGGCGTGGGGGGCAGACAGCCCCCCCCCCCCCCATGAAACCTTGTCGCCCCCCCCCCCACTGAGATTTTGAGTTTCTAAAAAAATTATCATTGATCTACATGACGCCCCCCATGAAATGTTCCAGCCCCCCCCCCCCCCCCCCCCCCCACTGAAAAATTCCTGGCTACGCCACTGACAATGCACATTGGCACAGCAACTGACAATTTGTTGCAAAATGGAATGTATTTTAACAATGCCATCTTAAACTGCAGGGTGAGTAAAAAAAAGAAACCCAAATGTCGGGGCCACTGTTTTAGTGAAATTCTGCATGTAGCACTTTCAAAATCTAGGATACATTCATAAGCTTTCTTTTAGTAAAGGAATTATTCAAATCACTCGTGCAAATTTCAAGTTACAGCATTTTAAACACAACCACCATTTTAAAGTTCTGCATGTCCAGGGATCACAAAAAGGTAAGTTTTCTTTTGAGCAAATAGAAAACAAATCACATAGGGATGTGTGTGAATTATTTTCGTTTTGCTAAAAGAACACACACCTTTCTTTGTGATCAGTGGACAGAACTTTAAAACGTTGCAAAAATTCCGTAACTTGAAAGGTACATGAGTGGTTTGAATGATTCTTGTACTAAAAGAAAGCTTACGAATTGGGCTTTCATATCCTAGATTTGGAAAGTGCTACATGCAGAACTTCACAAAAACAATAGTCCCGACATTTGGGTTTCTTTTTTTTTTTTTTTTACTCGCCCTGTATAGACGAACCCGGGCACGCGATCACTGAACAGTCATGAAGGCCCCCTTCAATGGGGAAAGCATTGTACTAGCTATTGTTCAGATTATCTGTCAATGGCGAAGATGTTTTGTACAATAGCTAACACAATGCTTTCACCATTGGAGGGGGCCTCGCCGCCTCGGTGAATGTACAATGTACATGCGTGGATTTGTTTATGCATATAATACAAAGTCATTTAGTCATAAGAACAATATTCCCAACCTTAAATTAAAAACCAAAGACTTCAAAATAAAATTGTGTTGAATTTTTAAATTACAAATAAAAAACAGAAGATAAATTCTACAAGATTCTCTTGAAAAAGAGACAATTGAGCATGTACAAAGTCTTAACAACTATATACAGACTGTACAACACAGTTACTGAAAACTAACTGCAGGGTAATACAGGGTGGTTCCCCCCTCCCCCCCCCCCCAAAAAAACTGCTAACCTAAGAGAGTCCCTGTTTATTTCTATGGTTCTCTCTTCTTCTGTTTTTGGCTCTGACGTAGGATCAGTCAGTCAGCAAAATATAAAAATCTATAGAAATACCTTTTTTTTTCCTGCTGTTGAACCCGTATAGATAGCTAACTTAAATGATGTGTATTGTCTCTTGTTTTGTTTAATGTAATGAGATTATCGTGATCAAGTTGATACACTTGGAAAAAAGGCCATCTTCTTCAAGAATCAAGATGTAGTTGACCTACATTGGTACCATGCGGCTTATTTAAACATTTTGGCTGTAGTAGCAGCTATGACATAAAACAGTTAAGTTAAGGCCAAAAAAAAAAGGCTCCGATTTCTGGTCTGCGCGCGCGTCGCCGTAGCCATGCGCGTCGGCAAAATTTAAAAAGTTTGAGAAAAACAAACATTGACGCGCATGATCAAAATCGACGCGCGCACTGACCAGAGACCGACTATTTTTTCTTAGCCTTACTGATGAGGTGTTAAATTATTTCTTCAAAAAACGTGTTATCGGTTATGATACAGAATTTGCGGCTTTAAATAAACACAAGTTTATGATTAAAAACATAAGTTAGTTAACCCAATACACACATACAATTTAAATCACCAAACGCAAAAATTAATACAAAGCTAAATTTACAATTCATTCAAAAATCTTTTGAAACGATTATAAAAATATGCGATTCATCTTCATACCTACATGTATTTACATTTGAAAGACAACCTAACTATTAAGATGATGATCATGATAAAATTTATATCGTATCTGCAAAATACAAAACTCGATGTTTTTATAATCACACACATTAAAGTTTAAATGGATTGGACTTTGCACGGTAATTGGACAACAGTGTGTTAAAGTATTTTAAGCTTGTTTCCCATGTGAAAGTCTTGGTACCAAGCACTGACTATTCTGGCCACATACTCCTCTGCTTGATGATACAGAGTCCACCTAAAAAAAGATACAGAGTCCACCTAAAAAAAAAAAAGAAGACCCCCCCCCAAAAAAAACCAAAGCCCCAACAAAACAAAACTTTCTTCAAAAATTCAATTTATGAAAAATTTTCGTGTGCGTTTCTTTCAGCAATATAAACAGTCCATAAATATACAAAAACATATACAAATTCTAATAAAATCAAACTGTGAAAGTTTTTCATTTGAAATATTGTTGATGAATCCTAACATGGCGCGGCCCCTAATGTGGCGCACTTTGATTTTTCGCCTGTAGCGCCTATCTAGAGCAAAGGTTTTAACTGAAATTTCACAGAAAGTGAAATTTTATCAAGTTCTAAACACTCCTGTTTATAAATCACGAGTTTATCTACCTGTTACAAAGTTAGAAGAAAAATTTATTTCAGCGTGACTTTCCGATTTTTTATTTCGAAGTGCACAGTGAACCCTTTGAAAATGTCCCAAAATATTAGAAAATAATTTTCTGACAAACTTCTAGTTGGGTATGTAAGTAGAAATAATAATGGTTTATCAAAATTTATCAACTTTACAGAAATTTTTAAATGTTAATTTGGAATTTTCCAAGATTTATTCAAGTGTGCCATGTTGGGAAGACTCAGCTGATTTGTGCCCAATTTCCGAACGCCACCGTTGTTGAATTTCCGATTAAATTTCATGACACCGAAATTTCATGACACCAGAGGTTAAATAGCAAGCATTAATAAGGTAAAAGTACCAGTATTTCACTGAATGAATTTGAAGTTTGTCAACAAAGAAGTTTGGCAATACTGTTGTGGAAAGTCGGGGTAAACGTCCAAGTGCGCCACGTTAGGGAACACCACTATACATGTAGTTACCAATTCGGTAATACACCACACAAGTGTTTTTGCCCGAGTTTTCGGACGTATTATAAAAATGCCAATTACAAAATTTGCAGAGTTCTGATTGGCTCACAGTTCTCCAGTCACAGTAGGACCTCCATGACCTCCGAAAGACTTTAAACATCATAAATGTCCTTGCCGAAAACTCAAAGGGAAGTTAGAAGTGTTCCTGAAAAAGACTACTGCTATTATGCAGCTCCTCCCCGGTTCCCAGCATCACAATGCCTCCTTCTGTACAGAGTACCAGCTAAGCTGTAGCCTCCTGTCAATGCCTCAGCGTCCTCTAGCCTCCTTCTCAAGGAGTCGCCAGAAGTTGTCCTTGTCATAAATTGTCCATGGACATGCTCGGGTAGAGGCGTGACATGCGTTGACTGATGGGCGTCATGACGGTGGGACTGCCCACTTTGTTCCATGTACTCATCCGGAGACTAGACGGTCTGGGCTGAATCGGCCTGTTCACAAAGACATATCACAAAATGATGATTAATAAAACAGGTTATTCCTTTTTAAAGGTGAGTAACAGAAGACAGTCTTTCAAATAAAGATTGTGTAAAAGGTTTACTGTCATCTTGAACTTTGGATAAATAAAATAATATCACTAGAAAATTAGATAATGGTTGTTTAACTACAATTTCTTCTTTTAAACAACAATTTCTTCTTTAAAAAAAAGTTCCATTAACGTATAGCATCAACATTTTGTCACTCTAATGCTAAGATTGTTTATACCTAGGAATGATTAAATGCATATGATATGAATTGACCTATCACCGTTTGCGAGTTGGCCAGGCCCCTTAGACAACCCTATGGAATTTTTGTACGCTAAGTTTTGTTTGTCTCAGATGTTGCGCGTTCCGCGTCCGTTTGTATATCATGTAATTGGACAATATTTCACAAGCGGCATTGACGCGATTCTGACATGATTCTACAGCAATAGGTCAATTGTGATAACTCTCATCAACATTATCAGAATTTAAAGAAAAATGACAAATTTTAATTGAGACAGCATTCACAGTACTGAGTATATTACTCAGGTTGGCATAGCAGATCTGTTCCTACAATCATCGAATCCTACAACATTTTTTTTACTTTACATTGTGCAAGTTTTTATTTAAAACCATGGTTTTCAGCATTTCTGCCTCTAAATTCCCTTATAGGCATATAGGATCATTTGCTTTTCATGCATTTTGTTTGTTTCAAATAATAACACCACTCAAAATCCAAAGAAGAAAGTTCAAAACCTATAACCTTCAGCTCAGTGGATATTACACTTTTTGAGAAAACAGTGAAAAATCACGAACAACCTTTCGATCACGAAACACACAATTTTGTCAATAGCACTCTTTATTCCAAAAGTCAACACTTGACGGATCATTGGATATCACCAAAATTTGTGATTTCTTTTAAATGACAGCAAGCCAGACGAAATAGTTTCACAGGGTGTTTTGCCCAGTACGATCTTTAATCCAAGTAAGCCTTTTGATAAGAATTTGGTAGGTTTCTTTTGGGATAATTGCAAATGATCCTATATGTCTTTAAACAAGAAATATTACTCAATTTACTGACCTCTGGACTGGTCCGTCGCCCATGGCAACCGCCGGTGGCCCTTGACCTTTGGCCTCTGCGGCAAACTGATAGACAATCAGAAGACAGTCGCGGCAGAGCTGCACGATGCGACGGCTGCAGCTCATCTCAGTGCTGGATATGACGTCCGAGCTCTTACTGAAAATCATCTCCCAAGAATTGCTGCTGGATAAGATGTAAAGTAGGAAATTAATACAGTGGGTTTTTTTTTCAACACAAATGGGAACATTTTGGAATAAATGAGAACGACACTTTTCTTTTGACACTTCATTTTGGATTGTGAATTTGAATGAAGGATGAAGCCTATTAACATTTAAATCACTTGGAATTTTAACAGTAAAATTCAAACTTTTCCTGAGTATCTACTTTGTCGTTTAAGACAAACCAAGGCAACGGCACAGATATATCAGCACGCTACGCATCAGTGTGAAACGAGGAGGTTTTTTATCATGTATGATTAGATTGAGAGAGGATGAATTGCTGAACATACATGTGCCATTTGTCTGTGTTTCAACGCAGGATATGCCGCATATATACGAGGCTTTCATTGGAGGCTGCCATTTTGGATAACTGCTTTGGTTCTATTAACAAAGCATTTAGGCGTACCCGTACACGATGCGAAAACAAGGAACGGTCGATACCTGTTAACAGATAGCTAAACGTATGTGTTAACGTACCTGTTATGATGCCAAACCTCCCTAATAATGGCTTAAAACTCTTGATTAAAGGGAAGATACAACATTTGCAAACATCAAAAAACAAAATGATCAAATTATCACGAAATACCTTACTGGATTGTTAGGGAATGAGAGTCCAAAGCATCCTGTAAAATTGTGGCTCCTGGTGTGCTGACATTTTCAAGTAAAGTTGTGTTTTTGCAACGCTGGTCAGCCGACCAGCGTTGGAGAAAACGGGCTTTTTTCAAAAACTGCTCCTAATTTTTCATATTTAGTTATTGCGTATATTCTTTGCACTGGATTACACACCTGTGAAGGGGTACAAACCTGCTAGACTGATTCTCTGACCTTACTTCCCCAAAGTCTATAAATTGCTCCGTTTCATCTTAGTGGGGTTAGGGAACCAGACTACAAGAACATGATTGGTTTTCTTGGTTTTTCCAGCATCTACAGGCCCAAAACGTGAAACAAGTCAGTTGAACAACATTTGCTATAACATACTTAATCCTCCAAATCCATTTATTTCTGAAAATTACAGGCAAATGTTGTACATTCCCTTTAACTAATCAAAAACTCTCTCTTTAAAGAATGAGTACTCACCCCGTGCTTGAAAAGCAATTCCACAATCCCTGACCATGGCTCCACAGGAGTCGATTAAACACGCGGGTGAAGATACGGAACAACCGCAGGTTATCTACGTCGTTGGAATGCCACGTTCGCTGGAGGAGGGCTCGGACATTGGACCGCACGATTTCAATGACCTTCCGGCGTTTGATGGAGTCTAGTTTGACCAGCCAGTAGGACGCTATCCGTGGCTTGTGGAATCTCCAGTTTTCCTGGATCTGATCGTAAAAACATATATAACAACCACGGGTATTTGTATGGCATTTTCAACAAAGTGATTTATACAATGATTACCCTTGGTTGTAGTGCTCATAAAGATACCATTGAGCTCTATTTGGGGGGGGGGTGACATGTACAAAGCTCGATGTTGCCATTGGATTGCGCCAAAAAAGCAGCTCAATACTATTTCTGCCCTCACTAGTACCATTTTACTCCTGGGTCGGGAGTGCTAATTCAGGGTTCCCAGTACATTATGAAAACAACACTCCCTGATATTTCCCTGAGAAATTGCCAAAAATGAATGAGAAATATTTTCACATGTAGGTCAAGAGGTGTTGTAGCACAGCCAATTAATATTATCTGGAGAGGTGTGTAATATTCATTCACACAGCACAAACATTAAAAAGCCACCATAGCCAGTTAGTCAATGGTTAGTCAATGGACACATGGCAAAGACACACATAGGCCAAACTGGCAAAAACCTTTCCCTTCTGGGCCACTGTAGAATTCTTGACTGGAAAAAGGAAACTTCAGTTTCAAGTTTTCCCTGGTTTCCAGGTCGACTGGGAACCCAGATTGGCTGGGAAATGGCAAAGTGTCTTGCCCAAGGACACAGCTTTTGTTTGTTTCTTTGGCTTTTAACCATTGACTATTTCTACCCTTGTTTGCGGGTGGGGTGGATTCTATTAAAAAATTCACTTACCTGAGACAATATCCATTCAGCCTCTTCGTCGGTCTTTCCAGGAAACTTGATCCTCATGTCGTTGAGTGCATTCAGTGTTCGCTTCGTTGTTTCTTCTTCTCTCTCTTTGGCTGCTGCTGTGGCAAGTGCCTCATCCTAAACATAGAGTAAAAACACAGATGAAATTAGCTCGAGTTGAGATAAGTGATGTGCGCATGTGTCAATATCTGTCATTGAACCAATTTTTTTAGTATCAGACACAAACAAAAAATATAAGGCTGTACGGTAAGATTAAGCATTTGTGATCAGAGAACTAAGTTTTTTGGATTCAGGCTAAGAATCTGAGTACCAGTAAGGCAACTTAAAGTGGAAATACTCCATTTTTTTATAACCAGTTTGCGTCGGAGGTCGTGATAACACGCACTGGCTGATTTTATAAACAAGCACCAATGACGGGTTAATACGTCAAGCGTGTCTCGACTCACCTCTGGGTGACGTCTAAACACGCTAATCCCTCGTGTCTTTTGTACACGCACACAAAGTCTGTGAAGTCGGACTGTGTGTTGATCTTGAATTGGCCGTTGTGCACGGCCAATTGTTCTACAATTTACGCTCCAGTGCACACCCCGGAGTAGTGAAACATATGAGGTTTCGGCAAGAAATATCATACAAATAGTGTTGAAATTACTCTTGTGAATCAGTATTTGTGGCGTTTGGCTGTATATCAGAAGTTGGCTGGACAATTTTGCCTTTTGCAAAAATCGAAATTTTCAGCAAAAATAATCCCGGCGCAAAGTGGTTAAGCATGAGCTTTGACCCCTTGAGATAATTTCAAAGCGCTCGCAGGCTAACTCGGAACAGCATGTTAAACACGCCATTTTTAGCAAATAAAGGCACTGTAATATTACATTTATTGGAGCAATTCGGCAACTTTAATTCAGTCTTGTATTTAAAGATCGCAAAATATAATTATAGCGGCATGAATTCTTTCATCAACTGAAAACAAGCCTGCAGCACTTCTTGCTCCCACCAGGAATGTGCCATGTTAAAAACAATGTTACCCAACTAAACAAAACAAGACATTAACTAGACAAAAACAAAAACGTAACTTCAAACATTTTGAAATGCTCCTTTACGCAAACAATGCATTACCATTGCTTGGCTGAGGCTCATTCCCGACAACTTCCGGTTAACGGAGGACATCGGCCGGGTCAGCGAGCGGGCCCTCGTCCCCGATGACGTCTTGACCGCCGACTGGGGCCGGGACCTGAGCCCCTTGGCCGACTGAGGGCGCTGTTTGAGGGTCGGGGAGGCCTGGGTGGCCCGGGTGAGGGATCGGGAGGGGCGCGGGGGCTGGTGGTTGCTGAGGGTCGAGTTGGTGCTGCTTAGGGAGTCCTGGGTAGAGTCTGGGAGGGACATGTCACATGACATGCTCTCGTCGTATTCCTCTGCCTCGTCCTCCGGGGCTTGGTCAGCACTACTTGGCATACTGGAGAGAGGCTAGGAGAAAAAAAGCAGAAGTCTTTAAAGTTAAGATTAACATTTCAGAGTTGGATTTTTTTCCCCATTACATGTATCTACATTGACTGTTAAGCTAATGACTGCATGCATGTAAAGTAGTTGGCATTTTGCAACCACGCAAGCCCTAACAGCTTTTAAGACCAATCCCAAATTGATCCAGCAGCAAAGTGTATACAGGGTGTATCAAAAAACAGTCTACATTCAGAAAAAAATGTCCCAAAAATGCAAATTGCAATATTCTTGGAATATGTGTCCATACATATGGGTAGAAGACCTTTCATGCTTTAAAATGACACCATGATCATTTGGCGCACTTCATGCATGACTGATCAGGGGCTACAATTGCCACCCTTGTCAAATACGGCTTGCACACAAAAATGCATAACCGCTGAGGTTGCGATCATCAAACAGGACAGAGGAATGGTCAGGCGTGGCGGAAGTCTGTATCCAAAGGAATGGTGGTCATGTTGAAGATTAATCTGTAATTAAATTTCCACAGTCAGTGGTGATTAAGTAGGCACATGTTAGATTTGTCTTTTATTGAATTTGATCTAGTTAAAAAATCCGCATTTGAGTGCGCAAGCCGTTTTTTGACAAGGTTTGCAAATGAATCAGTCATGCATGAAGTGTGTCAAATGATCATAGTGCCATGCTAAAGCCTGAAATGTCTTCTACCCACCCATATGTATGAAGCCATATTCCAAGAATAATAAAATTTTCACGTTTAGGACACTTTCCTGAATGTATACATCTTTTTGATACACCCTGTTTTATTGCATAAAGCATGACACCCTAATGGTTGAATTACATTAAAGCACTGCAGCATTAGAGCTCAGAAGAAACAAAATTCAACTGAAACGCCTTTAATGGTAGAAACTTGTTTAAAACAGGTGTCAAGATGTACTCCTATATGTCTATTGTCATCATGTAGTTGTTACGTTCAAAGACCTAAACCGTAGCCTTATACAAGAGATTCAGATGCAACGTAACTTTTGCCATTTTCCTGAGAGGAGAGTAAAATGCACACAGAACCCAATGAAATGGAATTGAAGAAGGTCTGTATGTTTACCTTTGGACCTCTTGCAGCCATGCCCTGCAATCCTGGTGATGCCTCACACTGCTGCAGCATGTCCAATATTTCCTCCTCCTGTGTGCATACAAAGTGAGTGGTCATTACCAAGATGTTCTGTGACTAAAGGGATAAGTTGTATGCGTTAGCACCATGTGGTAAATCTCTTTTGTGAGTATGTGTGGTTCTGAAAAGAACCGGAGGGAACTCAACATTTCGGGCAGTATGCAATTCTCTACCTTCACAGGTACCCATTTATACTCTTGGGAGGAGAGAGGCAATTGTAGTAATGTGTCTTGCTTAAGAACACAGGCACCATTTCCGAGGCACATGTAACCATCAGACGACGACCCAGTGGTCCCTGCTAACTTTCTCTTAGTAACTGCTGAGGTACAGGGAGACCTAGTCCAAAAATCTACATTCACTCTCAATCCTGTGTATGAGAGTCCCAAGACGTAAGGTATTGAAAACATGCAATACAAGAAAATGGACTGGCACCTGAAACAACCAGTCCAACAACCCTTCAGTACTGCACCAATCAACTGTGCCAAAAGAAGGCATGTCGGAAACTAGTCTCTATTTCTACACATTTCTCCATAGTCAGTCACCAGACTAATGACACTGAATGATGAGGCCCGTCTTTTCAAAAAGTTGGACCGTGGTTGGACATGTACCAGTCTAGTCTTTAGCCTCATTTTGAAATCACTTGACTTCCCTATCATGTGTAAAATATTGAAGAAAAGTCTCCTTTAAAAATTGAATCAAGCCTTCAAACTTGGTTGGTGAAATACTGAGGACCTTTTCTTTGCCCGATGAAACTTTTGGAGAATGTTGCTGGCTAAAGAATGAGTAAAGTTGGCCTGATTTTGCTTTGCATGTTTTTCAGCACTCAATGTCCCAGTCTGAGGGTTGCAGACCAGTAAATAAACTGCCATAGACCCCAATGATAAATGCCCCTACTTCAGAAATTCAAGAAAAATACTCACGACTCTGAGGCGTTCGAGACACACATCAAATTGAAGCTTATTTCATCATCTTTCATTTTCTTTTCAATTTTTTTGGGTAATCCAATGACTTTTGGGAGAAATTTCCATCCGAAGATGATCACCCCTTAAAATAGTCCTGAAGCCCATCGCCATTTTGAAAAACGATGCCTACACTCCATTGCAAAATAGAGCACTTTTAGGGCCCAATTTCATCCAAATTGCACAGAACTACAAGCTCACATTCCTGTGCATGGCTTCCACCCATATTTTCTACAAACCCTCAAGTTCATGAATATGCTCAAATACCGAAGAAATTGAGGGCATGCAAATCATGATTTGGCTGGCGTAGGCAATTTCGGACCATTTTACTGGCCTGCAATCTGATGGAGACCATACTAACCCTGAGGCCGGTGTTGTACATCTTGGTGGCATCTCGCTGCAGAGCAGCCGCCCTGCCAGAGAGGAACAACTGGAAGGCGTCTGTCAGCAGCGTGTAGTAGTTGTCCTGGCTCAGCTTGTCCTGTGGCGGGTAGATACGTCGGAAGGAGCCTATGTTGCGATTCTCGTAGTCTTCGCGGGCGTTGTCGCGTCGGACCTGCACCAGCTTCTCCTTCAGTTCCTGCTTCCGCTTCTCGATGGCTGCCTTTTGCTTTTCTTCCTCCTGCATGATGCAGAACAAAATATTACGAAAAATGGAAAAATGGTCTAAGAAACAATGGTGTAGTCAAGTCCATCATGAGTCCTCATAATTCCATTATAGGGCCACAGCAAGTCCCCTAGTCTCAATTCAAGTCACAAGCTATTCACTGTGATCACGTGGTTAGACTCACGCAAGAACTTGTGATTTACTTTTGGTCGGACTTGAGATAAACTCATGATGGACTGTTCATGGACTTGTCTACAACACTGCAAAGAGAAACAGGGTCCACAAATTGAAAAGCCAGATTTTCATAATGATTGTGAACATACAAGTAATGGGCAAATTTGCACACCCAATTATTGTATCTTGACTAAGACCTGGTTTTATTAATACTATTATTATTGTTATTAAAGGTATAGTCCATCATTTGCAGCCATCCGAAAAGTAACTGGCGTAATTATTGTTGAAAAACAAACTTGGTTGAAAGATAGTCAGGGGACTAAACTCCCTGTGAAATTATTCTTTCTGGGAAGCTGTCATTTTGAAGTAATCAACGAAAGAAGGCATTTCCAACGGTGATTCTTAAGAAGCACCGTAGGAAAATTTAAAGTAGTAGTTCGTTTTGTTATTCAGCGCAGCGCGCACAAGTATTGGAACGACGCACACGCGTGCGCGGTTGTTATAATTCGTCGGATCAGTGCGCGACGTCGCGTATAGCTGCAATTCAAAACAATTCAAAACATGATTCAGTAACTTTGGATTTGAAATTGAGATCTTAGCATGCTGTTTTTCTCGGAATGTACAGCTGAAGCTTAGCTGAAACTTCATCAGGTTAGTTGCTCAGTATCCTTCATTAGATTTTGAACTCTTTTGTTGCTTCAAACGAACAAAATGCACAAATTACAAATGATGGACTGTAGCTTTAAGGCAATATAGCTCGCAGGCCTGAAGAGTCATGTAGAGAGGAGACAATGAGTAGAAATTACAGTATTAGAGGTGGGAGGAAAACCCCAGAAGAATATTCTGGGAAAAACCCATGGAATCAGGTAGGGACTGAAAACCCAATCCACATGTTGACCAAGGCGGGATTCGAACCCGGGTCACAGCGGTGGAAGTCGAGGAAAGTACCGCTAAACCAACCTGACCCTGGGAAATTTGGTAATATTGAAAGTTATAAAGAATACACTCAAACATTGCATCCATTCTTCTTTCTGTTTTAACTCTTTTATAACTCTTTGGCCAAGCTACATGTAAATGCATCTTAAGCCTTGTCATGACTGTACTTGGTCAAACTGTTAAAAATATGATCAAGCACAAGAGCAAAAGACTTATTGTTCTCCAATAATTTTTAGTTCCATCAGCAGTTTGATCATTTCTATGCTGTCCATCTCTGCAAAAGTTGGTTGTTTGGAAGTGTTCAGAATCTTCGCTTACTGAAATTTCCACGCCTGGTCTCTTTGCAGGTCTGAAGAGCCGTTTCTGTGCCTCGGCCTTCTGAGCGGCCAGCCCTCTTCTCTTGTCGGATTGCTTCATGTTCAGGAGACGGAAGGTATCTGTCAGGACGCCATTTTTGATGTCAAAGTCGATTTTCTCATCTGTGCCAAAGCTGGGTGCTCGATTAATCTGAAATGTAGAAACACAAATTGTTTTTGTACACTCAGAGTGGTGCAAGGCTTATCATGAACCTAGCCGCTTTGTGTGAGAATTGGAGTATACTTTATATGGTTCTGGTTTTCCCAAATCTTGTGCACTTTGGTATTAGTGGCACTCACAGAATTTTGAACTTTGATGATGTATGACCAGAATAAAGGACAATTTGATCACAACTCTTCCAAAATTGGAGGTCAAAGGTCATCTAGGGGTCATTTGAGGTAAATATGAATTTGGCCTAGTAAGGTTCATAACATAAGGTACAAACGTCAAGCTTTAAGTTTCCAAATGTGTCCACGGAGCTATAATGTACCACCATTGCAAGAAAATAAATACATTATTTGCAACCTGTAAAGCCTAATTGACATTTTTTATTTCCCGACACAAGGTGATCCGCGGATCGCACGTGTCACCCGTTTATTTTTTTATGCATTTGTAAACGACCTCAAATCACCCCTAGATGACCTTTGACCTCCAATTTTGGAAGAGTTGTGATGAACCCCCACCCAAGGATCACTCCATCCAAGTTACATGAAAATAAATCAAATTCTGTAGACAAAGAAATATTGAAGCATATATGAACAATGACCTCTAATGACCCCCTATGTGACCTTTGACCTCAGTAATCCGACGACGAATTGTGTCTTCCCCCCCCCCCCCAAAGGTCACTGCATCCAAGTTTCATCAAAATCCATGAAAGCATGTAGAAGTTATACATTTTTTTCAAAAATTTACCTAAACTTTAACACACATACATGTACATGTATACTACGGTCAAACAGTCATATGGGAATACGTGGATACAGAATTTAGGACTGGTAAGTGTCCCCAAAAACTTTGTTTAAGCAACACAAAAATGAGTGCCTATGGCCACTGACTGCTGTCAAACAGTCTCCATTTTTGGAACATGAAAACTGGTCGAATGTAGAAACTTCACACTCATGCTAACAATGTCTATGCAAGCAGGCTTCAGCCGCTTCCACAGACATGTACTTGCAAGCCAACGCAACCTAATTTGGAAGAGCTATTAATTTTGTCTCCTGTCAACAAAAGCTAGAAAATCTTACTTCAATTAGCCACGGTTTAAGCTTCCGATCCAACATGACGTCAAAACCCAGAATCTCAAAGCAGCAGCTGTCACCGCCCGACGCCTGCCCGGGCCGACACATGCGATACGAGTGAAGCACATGAGGCTCGGCAACAATCATGGTCTTGATGATCACGTCCTGTGGGATTGGACAATACCAAAACACTACTATAAAAATGGTGACAGAAAAATGTTGAAGCTTGCACGAATATGAGCTCTGATCGAGAATTGCTTTTCATGAGGGTCAAAGGTCCGGATTTGGCCAGTTCATAATCCTGTACTACTCCACTCACCAGTGACAGTGAGTAATTCAGTGATGTACATTTGTACAAAGTTAACTGTTGGCCTGCCCTCTCACACCAGCAAAATGTTACATATATTTATTCTAATGAAACGATGCATGATATTTTGGCTAAAAACTATTTTCTACTGAGCAAAGTTTTCTGCCCTTAGCAAATGCTCTCAGCAGCTAAGCGAAATTGGCGCCTGGATGGCTTAACATGGTGATCGGCAGATCGCCTTTTTTTTCTGGATATGTTTTGTGTTCTTAAAAAAAGTCAATTTTTGTGCATTTTTAAACAATGACCTCAAATGACCCCTCCATGAAGTTTGGAAGAGTTGTGATAACCCCCACACAAGGATCATTCCATCAAGTTTCATTAAAATCCATCAAATTCTGTAGACAAAGAATTTGAACAATGACCCCTACATGACCTTCGACCTCAGTAATCCAATGAAGAATCGTGTCTTCCCACCCAAGGGTCACTGCATCCAAGTCTCATCAAAATCCATGAAAGCATGTAGAAGTTATACATTTTTTCACTGAACCAAAACTTTTAACCTACATATGGAGATATGGACGACTTCACAGTTAGGACTTGTGGGGTAGGAGCATTGTTGTCTTTTTATCCTTTTTTTTAAAGATTTCACTTGTGGGGTACCATTTTTCTAAAGATTTTACTTGTGGGGTACCGTTTTTCTAAAGATTTCACTTGTGGGGTACCATTCCCTTTGTACCCCACTAGTGGTCCTGGTCAGTACGGTTATACAGAATTTAGGACTGGTAAGTGTCCCCCAAAACTTTTGTTTAGGCGACACGAAACTGTCTGAAGCCATCCATGCAATTTTTCACATTGTATTTTAAGGGTAGTACCGGTAGGTGCAAGAAAAACAATCTGCCATAAGCCACAGGAAATGCAGAGAAAACGTTTTGCACTCACAGCAATCTTTTTCCACATGAGCGCCACGTCGTAATCATTCTTACGCAGGTACTCGTTCAGGAATTTGATAGAGCGCTTACTCCCCGTGTTGACGTCCTCACTTCGCTCAAAGTTACCGCTCCTCTTGTTGATGGAATAGTTGGTCAGGTGCATGTACAGCTGGTCCTGTTAGATACACAAATGTATTTAATTTGACCTGTTCTACATTGTATTACATTGTGTATTAATTCCCTTTTCAAAGGGGGTTACGTTTTCATTGGATTTTGTTGTTTGGTTGGTTTGTCTGTTAACAACTTAACTCAAAAAGTTGTGGATGGATTTGCATGAAAACAAATTTAGGTACACAATTTGTAGAATGTGTGAGCAGATTCGCTGATTAATTATGCAAGACAACTGCCTCTTGACCTCTAGATTTTGACCAATCGGCAGGCGCTTTCTATATATCAGGTCTTTGGTCATTCACCCGTTGTCGCATCATAGACATCGCTGGACATGGATTAAAAAAACCTAGACACAGCAACAAAGGCTGTGCATGTGGTCACGCGCTCTAATGTTACTCAATTAGGTTTTATCGAACTATATGCCCGGCCGTAATTGTTGTATTACAAAACACTGCATTCGAATTGGCCAATCAAACAGTTAGTCCTGATTTGGGAATGAAATGACATCACAATTTAGAAAAGTCGACTCCGAGGCGCGGGATCGTATAAATCTGCATGCTTAGATATATCAGACGTTATACAGGAGACTGGGCTCCGTGGATAACGGGTGATACTCAGACTATACAATTCGTGGAATTGTCCTCATAAGAACACAAAGTGCTTAGGTGGTTTTGGGTGGTACTGGGAGAAACAGCCAGGGCATTTTGGGGAGGTAGAGGGACTAATAGATTAATATGCAAGCATACTTATGTAGTCTCTCTTAGAATTAAATTTTGATTATGAATTTTCAAGTTCATATTAAAACTGGCAAGATTCAAATGAAACCATACCACGTTGCTGTCGTTCGGGTTGCAGTACTTCTCCGTGCTCATTCGGACCAGTCCATCGTTGAAGAGGAATATTCGGAGCGGGTCGCACGACAAGATGAGAACATAGACCCTCAAGTCAAACTTATACCCCTCCAAGAGAAATGGTTTGTCCAGATACTCTTGGACAATCGTCAGCTCCGTAGGAGGGATGCGATCTCCGTTTCGGTATAAGGAGATCCTGGAAGGAGAACATTATTGAATTTACAACTCCAAGCAAAAAACCCAAATTAATCGTACACAATAGTGAAAGTCTGTCAGTGTCGATGTTAACACGCCATACTTCTCAAAACGACAAGCCTGCACAGTGTAGCAATTAAGTTCCATCAGGTGAAAAATTTCAAGGCCAAATGGCCTTATAGTCTGTGGTCACTGTGGTCGACTGTAGCATTGTTGAATGGGACTATGTGCATGTACATGTACATGTAGCTCTCATTATCTCAGAGATGACTGTTTATGCACTGTTGTTGATGGCTTCAATGCAGCAAGGTTCCATTGGACATGTATACACCGTGTTGCGTTACGGTGTTCACAAGCCTATAGGGTTGCAGACCAGTAAATAAACTTCCATAGACCCCAATGGTAAATGCTCCCACTTCAGAAATTCGGGGAAAATACTCACAACTCTCCAAGGTGTTCGAGACACACATCAAATTAAAGCTTATTTCATCATCTTTCATTTTCTTTTCAATTTTCGGGGGGTCAACTGATGACTTTTAGGAGAAATTTCCATCCAAAGATGAACACCCCTGAAGCCCATCGCCATTTTGAAAAACGATGCCTACACTCCAATTTGCAAAATAGAGCGCCTTAAGGGCCCCAATTTCATCCAAATTGAACGGAACTACAAGCTCACAGTCCTGTGCACGGCTTCCACCCATATTTTTTACAAACCCTCAAGTTCATGGCCCACAGCATGCTCAAATACTGAAGATTTTGATGTACGCACTCCGGGCTCCTTCGACCAATAGGAAATAAGAACGCGTGCAGCATGTGCTTGAGCGTGACGTCCACCGCAGTAACTACTTCTAATTCTGATCGCCGGATTCCACTATTGCCATAGAAAGGTGCACAGTAGCAATAGCACCCGAATACCTACGTGTATCATATCTTTCTCTTTGGGAGCATTCCTTTTAGTTCAACCGGGTCGACGCCGGTCAGCCCTGTGCTGTTCAATTAGCACTGACGTCATTCTCAGGGCTCACCTGGGTCAGCCACCACAGACCCTGCTCGTGGAGCAGAGTCACTGGTGGAAATACGTCACACGCATGCATTGTTCATCCCTAGAAACGGACAAATCTGGCAGCCGGACAACGGAAATGTCAAGTGGACCCAAAATTCAACTTTATTTGAAGTCCAAATGTAATTAATTCTTAAGATCATTGTGACTTGGGAGGGGGGGGGGGTTTAGAGGCCAGCTTTTTCAGTTATGCAATGGACTGAACAGCAGTAAATCTTGAAACGAAGACCCAGCACGAAACGGGCGTATTGTCAGTGGCTAGGGCCCGTGGTTGAGCGTTCGATTAGCCCAGCTCTCGTAGCTAACCCATCTGTCTTTAGCTGAGTCGATCTGGGTGAGCTACTCGAACGCACCCATAGGTACTGTTATTTGGGTATTGATGCACAGAGTCAATAGTCTCATTAGGCTCCCATTAACTGTGCAACAAACAATCGCTTATTATCTACACAATAAAAATAAGAGACAGTCTCACCCATTGCCCATGGATCCGTTTGCTGGTTTCACAATGAATGTCCGATGTTTCTTCCGTTTCTTGAGATCCTGGAAATAGTTCTGGAAGGTGTTGTACTCTGAGGGAAAGATCCAGGTCCTGGGGACAAAGTTGTACTCGTCTGGATGGGCTCGAACCATTCTGTAAAAAAAAAAAAGAAACAAAAATAGCGGGTTACAAATCATGAGGGTCCAGGGTTCGAATCCAGCCGCTGGTCATATATTGTGTCCTTGGGCAAGGCACTTCACCCCCACTTGCCCCTCTCCACCCAGGAGTATAAATGGGTACCGGCATTAGCTGGGGAGTAACCTGCGATGGACTAGCATCCCATCCAGGGGGAGTAGAAATATTCTCAGTCGTTTCATGCTACTGAAACCGGAGATAAACTCCGGCCTGATGAGCCACATTGGCTCGGGACAGACTTTACTTACTTTACTTACAAATCATGACATTACAAAACTTTACAATACTAAATTTAAGTACATGACGACCAAATAGTTTTGGCTGGCCGGAGAGGTACCTCGAGTTATTGTTTGCTAAATTTTGCACTTTTTTCCAAGTGGGCACATTCTCTCCAAAGTCTCAGTCCTACAACAGAAGCTGGGTCCTACAGTCTAGAACCATTTAAAACAGATTTTGATGGACTCATAACCGTCTATTGGGTCAACTGAACTTACTTGGCCATATTCCTCGCTAGCGAGTCCTTGCGACAAATCTCCCCCATCCCTGGGAAGTGGTTGATGCGCTGGTATGACTTAAGCTGGGAGATCTGCTCTGACGGGGGCGCCGTGTCACTCCAGAACACAAAACTGACAAAAAAAGTAAAACAAAAATCACAACAATAATAATAATAATAATAATCGGCATTTAAGAACGCTCTTATTAGTAAACGAAATCACAGCACTTACAGTATTATTATTACCCCTGATCATTGGGCCAATTAAACATTCCAAATACCATCTCAGCTCCCTAGGGAGTATACAGCTCGATGCTGCCTGTTAGGCGCAAGCAAGCTTATTCAATCACAATAACATCTCTGCCCTCACAGGTACCCATTTACTCCTGGGTGGAGGGAAGCTATGAGTGACAAAGTGCCTTGCTCAAGGGCACACGCACCATGACCCTGGCTGGACTCGAACCCGCAACCCGCAGCTTTACCCACAGACCACGAATTCACAGCACAACACTGATTAACCAAAGAAACTACACTCACTACGGAAACTGGGGTGACACTTTGTGGCCTACTCATTACAGTCAGCGGCTTTTGAGAGTGGTCACAAAGTATAGTGTTTACTGTTTGAGCATGAAATCCATACACGGTTCCCAGCATGTTAAGAAAAAAAATATCTAGCATGTCCAGGGAATCAAGTTACTCACCAATTTTGGTCATCTTCCTTGGTCGAGTGCACACCAAATTTTTGGGCCACTGCGCGAACTGTTAACAGTAAAAACAAAGTATCATCAGAATGCTATGGCTTTCTTCACAAGTCGGCCATATTAAATTGAAAGCGAGGTAAAATGTTCATTTTTGGAACTTGCGAAGCAAAATGAAAGCAATGACATAAAGTTAATTGCAAATTAATATCAGTCTGCTCTGATGAATAATTTTAAATTTGAGATTAAACATACCCTCGTGTTTTAAGCCATATTAAAAAAATTAATTGAAAGTGAGGCTAGAATGCATAAATAGTCTGGCACCATCCCATTCAGCAGTTCACAATTTATAAAATGCACGCAGGGAACACGACCGAAAATGGCTTCCTTGTGAATAAGGTCCATAGGGTTGCTTTTATGAGAGAAAAGAAATTGCAATGTGTTGAGCTTCTTGGGGCTATGGAAGTATGGAAAGTCCAACTAGGAATAATTCCAGTTCTACTTGGGAATACATATTATTTCCAATTGGAGCACTTTTTTTCTTTTTACCGGTACGTACTTCTGTATGTGCTGTGCATGCCAATTGAAAAAGTCTGTTTAGCTGTGAACATATTGGAAAAACTGCATAACTTCCTGATGAATACATGTCAAGTTATAAGATGAGCATTCTGGTGAAAAAAAGGAATATTCCTCAATACAGACTTATAACCTTTTCGTTCTGTCTCTCTTTTTGAGGATTCTCGATGATGCCACACAACTTCAGATCCCACAAGAAGGATAATTCCTCCTGTGCACAGATGATTTCAGCGAAAACAATTTTCAATTTAGTCAAGCACCCTATGTTCAAAAATACGACATTAGCTCACCCGTTTAGGCTTGGCATGTAAATAAACATGTCTGGAGGTGAGCGGATCTACGCACAACCAACTCTGAAAGCGTCCACATGGGGCTCATAACAGATTGTGTTTGTTTAGTGTAGAACTACTTGATCAAGGATGAGTTGATCAGCGCAGATTACAAAATGTAGACCTTAACGTCACCTTTGTACATGTAAGTATACTCACCGACTTCATACTTGGTGAGGGTCACGTTGATTCCTACAGGTGTCTTCTTCTTCTTGACTTTCTTCTTGGGTTGCAGCGTCTTGGGCGTGTCCTCATCCTCCTCCTGTCCCCCGTCCATCGACGATGACTTCTTGGCAGACGGAGTTGTAGACATTTTCTTCTGACATAATTGAAATCGATAATAATGTTGATAATAGCTCGTTGTATTGAGTGTTCAGCAAATTAGGGACTCACTACATGTACATACAAAGTACCTACAATCTGATAAATATCTTTGGCAACATTCATGCAAATGGGACTGACCGCAGGCCACAAACGTTGTCTCACATTAGCCACAAAAGGCAAACAATTTTCCAAAGTCATTTTGCTAATCTTTCAAAAATGGCTGCCTTTTACGAACTCAGCACCATGCTTCAGTCCCGGGCTAATATTGTCCCTTTTTACGTCAAAACTTCCAAATAAATTGATATCACTTGCTCGTGTTTTGGGGAGAATTTTAGAAGTTACTTTCCTCCATTGCACTGTACCAAAGGTGCTGCCATATTATTTTTTTCAATGACACTATTGTTCAACTTGGGGCGGTCATGTTCGCAAGGGCCTAGCTAAAGTTTGTGTGAGTGGAACACAACCCAAGGCGACAGACTAATGGCCTTTGTGAACATTTTGAACATGTAGGCAAAAAATTTGTCATTGATAACAGCCCTAAATGTACTTGTAATCAAAAGGAATCCATGCATAGAGCACTAATACGTGTACATGTTCCCCTTTCAATGACAAAAAGTCTGTGCCAACACTGAAGAACCCTTTGCCACTCCCACGATGTGTCCATGCTCATAAATACACGCCGTCTCACTCACAAACCCTATTGTGGAGATTACAATACATCATGTCACACAGTTTGTATCTCCATGGCAAATATGTGTGTCAACCAATGCATGCACCTTGGTTTTCGTGAATACATACATTTACATGTATGTATACATACATTTACATGTATGTATACAGAGTATACATGCAGTTCACCCTGTGGGGCAGTGCCAAAGATACCGGTACAGATTACTTCGTTTTACCCTTTCAAGGGCAAAATGTCTTAAAAATACTCGGCGAAATCTCTTTTATTCCAGGCCATTTTCTTCGTACGTGCCTGTTGACTATTTATATAAAAAGTATCGATCTTACGCACAGCTGGTGACCCACAATTAAGTTTATCTCGGTCACCAAACTTTTTGCCGCTTCTTGTGTGGCGCGCTTAGCTTATTACAGGCCCGGACGGGTCCCCACCTTAAAAGGGATAACTATGCAAAGGGCTAAAGTTCACGGGCATGCAAATTGCACTGGAAGAACTTTTAACAATCAGATTTTATGGGTGCGCGTCGAGACGCTGGGTGCTCGGCGGGCTGTATTATATGGCCACTCTGTCACAGCCATCCAAAGCGTGAACAGACACATCATCATCTTTAAAAAACAAACAAATGTGAGGGGTCTAAAGCCTGGTTCATATTCGGCGTGAAAGCGAAAGCGAATGCAAAGTTGTGACGTCATGGCAAATATTCGCACTGCGAATTCGTAAAAGTTGAACATATTTCAACTCGGGCGAATTTCGCAGCAAATGTTTCATGACGTCAAATTCGCTTCGCATTCGCATGAAGTATGAACCGGGCTTCAGGCAAAAAGGTCTGTGTTGCTACCGTATTTGAATGATGTTGCATGGTTTTAATGTTTGTCGAATGTTACATTTTGGTCAACTGTCACGTTACGCACATTGCTTAAGAGCTCCTGCGAGGAACATTAGCTTCATTTGCATTATTTTAATCTTTCAAATATCACAGTCAAATACGGTACCACAACAATACATGATATGATGCGCTTAATTGATAATTCAATAATAATTTGTGGTCCAATTTATTTCCAACAGGCACATAAAATTTAGGCAGGCAATGGCACATGAAAAACATGTACATATCAATTTGTTTATGGCAAAAACCGCTCCTATTTATTTTACCTGATTCAACCCGATTTTGCGCATAGCACGATTGTAACAAAATGTAATACAAATGCGCGTACGCGCAACGTGTACTGTGTGTGGACGTGAGCGGCCGGCCGGCGTGACAAGATTTGAGCGTAGTGTACGCACGTACAACGCAATGCCCACGACGTATTTGAGCAGGGTTATGATTGGCGATCGTCTTCTTCAATCCTCAATGTACGGGCCTTAACAATGTCCAATCAAAATACATGTTAGATAATTAGTTAGACCAGAACTTTCCCTAACAACACTTTTTTTAACAATGCCGTACGGTGGCGCTGTTTGTGTTTACGGCGAGTTGAAGCGGTGCGGGTTTACTGAAAACCTCGATTTACACACAGAATCGTGTTAAATTCTGCTAAAACAACAATATATATCCTGAAAAGTACGGGCTTTGTTTTTAATATAAATTCAATATTTTATATCAGTATGATGTAGAATAACATTATCTGTCTTATATTCTTTTAACAAGTCAAAGCGGTGCTCCGTTTTCCAATGGTGTACAAAAAAAACAATCGAGGCGCCGTTTTTGATGGCAATTCCCATAGCGGAAAAATCAGTTCCTGTGTGGACGCTTGAAAAGGAGCGCTCACGAATTGATATGCCGTATTCACATACTCAAAAAAATTTAGTATTAGATAAATCATTCGCACATTGCACAGCACTAGCACCCAGCGCTATCTACCTTTCTTGCACAGACCTGTGTACAATATTAGATTCAGATAAAACAGGATTGGAATACAACGACTTAAAACCTAATTCATAATTTTCAAACATTTTGCACCAATTAATGGTCAACCAGTCAAGGATGCTCACCTAAACCTGAATATGAGCAATGCTCCTGAAATCTTGTTGGTGTGACGAGTTTCTGTTCCAGATTTGGCTGACGTTGTTCTGGGCCGAAGAGGTACCCATCCCTGGATTAAAGTGGTTGCAGCTCAGCAGACGTTCCTGCAAAATTTAACCCAAAGTCCACATGTACATATATGTAGTACAGTCTGCAAAATGAAACATTCAATACTTAAAGCCCGAGTCCATCATTTGCAGCTATCCAAAAAAGTAACTGGCGTAATTATTGTTGAAAAACATACTGGTTGAAAGATAGTAAGGGGACTAAACTCCCTGTGAAATTATCCTTTCTGGCAAGCTCTCATTTTGAAGAAATCAACGAAAGAAGGCATTTCCAACGGTGCTTCTTTAAAGAAGCACCGTAGGAAAATTTAAATTAGTTGTTCGTTTTGTTATTCGGCGCAGCGCGCACAAGCATTGGAACGACGCACAGGCGCGCGCGGTTGCTATAATTCGTCGGATCAGTGCGCGACATCACGTAAAGCTGCAATTCAAAACAATTCGAAACATGATTTAGCAACTTTTGATTTTAAATTGAGATCCTAGAATGCTGTTTTTCTCGGAATATGAAGCTGAAGCTGAGCTGAAACTTCATCAAGTAAGTTGTTCAGTATCCTTCATTAGATTTTGAACACTTTTGTTGCTTCAAACGAACAAAATGCACTAATTACAAATGATGGACTATAGCTTTAAATATAATACTGGATGGCTTTGAGGGGGATACAAGAATATACTGCATGCGCTATAACAATATTGCTTGAGTCGAAGACAAGTGCAATATTGTTATAGCTAGTGCAATATATTCTTGTATCCCCCTAAAAAAGCCATCAAATATTATTATTATTCATGTTATTTATATCAGGCTGACTTGATCTGCAAGAAATACATACACATTTCAGGACACTGTCTTTATCTCTCAAATTTCGTCATATTATTCTCCGCTTACCGGAGCACATTTCGTGCCGCTTGAAACTGCCATTGTGGTTATTGACAACAGTGCGCATATACCTGGTAGTGCTGCGCGCTGCGTCCACATGCAGGCAAAATGGTTCCGCGCATTTACGCTCTGTTGACTGTGTGTTTCTATCTTAGGAACCATCGAAAATGCCTGCATGACTGCAATATCAAAAATAATATTGCAGTCATCCGGGTACTTATTATGAGAGCATACAATGCGCTGATTTACTTTACCGCTGGAAGGCTGCTATAAATACATTAACACCATCTGTTACTATTTATTGAGGATTGTTTTTTTTGGGGGGGGGGGTTCAAGTTGTCCAGTTTCAAGCTTTGTACCCAAGTGTTTTGATTTTCACATGGTGGTGGTTCTGATCAATTAAAGGTCACTTCACTGGATTGGCCAGTTCTGTCGCCTGGCAACCGATCCACTTGGCGGTTTCCATGAAAGTTCGGCCGCGTTCTTCTGTGCCCTCAGAATGGCAATCAATTTGGTTTCTTGACAGACCAACGTCACTGCGTACATTCGGTTGAGCATGTGAGGGGCTTTTGTGCAACACACTGGGCAGAAGACTAATGTTTGTGTTTACCTGATCACGGACCTCGATCCGGCTTTTTGAAGGATTCTCAAGTATTTGCAAATTGCAGCCTCCATTGTTTGAGCTAGAATTGCTAGGTTAAGTGTTTACCCATGGATGATCAAACATACATGTCTCATCCAATTGTTGGATCACAACTAAAAAACAAGGTTGCAAATCCTGAATTTTACACATGTATGCATTGTACATTGTACGTATATGGGCTCCGTGCACAAGTACCCCTTCAACGGCCAGAAAAGGAGAGTTGGGGGCAGACCTAGACTGGTTCCCAGTCCATCCACTGCGTATTTCGAAAGATACAAAGTTATTGGGGTAGGGGTTAGTCTGGGAGACCATCGCAAGTTAAATTTGAACGTATTCGTGCACCAACGTCACGACGACGCCTGATGCTCACGTGCGACTAATGCTATGGCTTAGCTTTGTGCACACTAGGATCATGGAAGTCGTGTGTACTTCGCGCACGAACTCGTACAGTACACACACGCCAAGGGGCTCTCAAAGGTGGTAAAAACCCACCCTCTTTTGTTGACCAGCCAGCTGGTCCATATCAACCATTTAAAACTGGCCACGTGACGGGCAAACGACCAATAGGAATGGGTTAACTGTCTTAGGTTTTTATGAATTCAGTTTAAGAAACACTTTCTATTACATTTGCCAAACATTTGTAAGAAATCAAAACCAGTACACATGTTCATGTACCTGTACACAAAGTGTTTTTATATCCATTTTCTTTTGGGGAACAAAAAACCTTTAAAATTTTCAAAATTGTATACTTGTTCAGTCTAATCATGTTCAGTCTAATCATGTTCAGTCTAATCATTGCCCAGATGGACTCCCTTACTACACTAACGTTACGGACGTAATGCAATAAAGACGCTGTTACGCCCCAACTATGGCATCGGTCCCAACTATAGTTGGGATGTTGGGATCGTCCCAACTATAGTTAGGACGGTCCCAACTGTATTTCTACAGTTGGGCTAGCCCAACTATAGTTGGGAGTCGAGGGTGGAGGCCGGCGCCTGCATGCAGCCTGTGCGCTGCTACTGCCCAGATGCGACAAGTACCGTCGCGTCATGACCGTACCGCAGTAGTTGTAGCGAGTGCAGCTGGCGAATTGCTGATATGTCCACTGGACAATCATTTAATGGCCTTTTCCTTGTGACTTTATTTTAAATGAACTACACAGTGAACTCCCTTTATGCCAGAACAAGGAAACACTGTACTGAAACGTTGGGGTTTAAACCCACTCATGCACGCGTCAACCCCAGTGGAACTTAAATGAGGTTTTGCACCCCGGCCCCCAATACTTCAGACTTGTTTGTTTTTTATGTAAATATTTTTTTGGCCATCATTTTTAAACCACAATTGGAAGTGAATGCCTGTTTATTACAGTAATTAAATCGACCTGTCTTGATAATTATTTGTGTGCTGATGAGATTTATATTTCCCTATTTTTCTTCTGTACTTTATAATGTTTATATTTCCTGTAGTTGGCCTGGGCCCATCTGCAGTTGGGATACTCCAATCTTTTTATTTTGCGGTCCGAACTATAATTTACGTTGCTGTACAACTATAAAACATTCCCAATAGCTCTGAGCTATGTTCATGTTGGCCGATTCATCCATAAAATCTGATTCATCCAGCGCCAAGCGACGAGCGTCCTAACTACAGTTGGGCCGACCCAACCGTCACACTACAGTTGGGACGCATCCGGACGGACCCAATTATAGTTGGGATCGATGCCATAGTTGGTGCGTAACTACGGCGTCCAACCTGGGCTACAGTTTAATCCACAGACATCAAGTTGTTGGCAGACATGTTTTGGTTCCAACTATAGTTGGAACAAATAATTAGGAATGATCATCACAACTATAAGGAAACCCATGGTTTGATCCTAAGCAACATTGAACAGTTTCGTCACAATGACTTGCTGTGCAAGGGGATATTCCACTAGACTACCGTGGTCCTGGACGCTGAAATGATGTTGGGGTCTTAACATATCAGTCAGTTGCACCAGGAAAAAAAAAACGATTAAAAAGTGGTCATATTTTGGTCAGCTCATTCCTTATACCTCCTGTGTAAGAATTCAATCGGTTTCGGTTCTGCTAGAAAATTGTTCATCGTATGCAATCCTAATGCTTCTGAGTTGCTTAGTTTTTAAGATATTCAGTTCCCAAGATACACGTCACTTTGTAAAACTTGCATTATTGTATTCATACAACACGCGGAATAGTAGCCATGTGGCAGATACGAGGATATCGGTTCGTGAAACGATGAATTCACACTTCTCATGCTGGTGCTGTTTAGTTACATCACAGTATTTGGGAATTAGTGTGCGAAGATACATGTAAGTGGCGTATCGCGATACAACACTTTGTGGTGAAACATTTTATTAATTGTTAGAGATACGCCGCAGTCTAATTAGCCTAGCGTTTTAAGCTAATTAGAACACAGATCATAATAAAACTTTGTGAGGATGAGCACTTTGATGAAATAACAATGTTAATGAAAAACTCAATTTGGCCGAAAAGCAGGATACAACAGTTTGTGGTGCGACTTACGATATGTCTAATATTAATACGGCTTATTTTAACGGTTTGAATATGGGAATTACTTGTATAAAAACTTAAGAATAGTGAGACACAGGTAGAACTTTGTACTGTTGATCAAAACACTACCAATCAATCTGTCAATAGCCATTAAAAGTTCAACTAATGCGACCAATCAGTTCAATTAAACTTGACACACATGCAAAGACATGACACTTTGACAGATGTAAAATCTAACCTTTCTTGAGCAGGCCTAGGCTACTCAAAATCAAATGATCATTTACGACTGGATCTCTACATTTGTACGAAGTGTAGCCTTTTTCCCACTAACTTCCTCGTCCATCATGAAATGCAATGGCAGGAACACAACCGATCGAAGTATTGAACAATGTCGTGAATGTAGGCGCAGTCACCGGAATGTAAACACGTTAACAATACAAACGTCTATGCAGAATGCATAATGCTGTACAATACGTACGTAGATGCATGCACAAAATAGCACAGCTGGATCAGACGACGGTACCGGTGGAATCTGATCACGTGACTTCCCATAGATACAAACAGGTGATTTCCGTTGCTGGTTACTAGACTGGTACCGGTCAGTTAAAGTTACTGTTCATTCTGTCAGGGCGGCCGGGACACGGCCGGCCGGTGAGGCAAAACCCTCGAAAAGTACCCCACTGAAAAAAAATATCGTGTATCGTGTATTTCAATAAAATAGCCAACTATACTTGAATATTTTTCAACCATCATAAATAAAAGCAAGGTACGAATAACGTGCAACAATCCAAAAACATCATATGCCCCTAGCTATGGCGTGTCAAACGTTGCAATATTCAATATTTTGCAATATATATGTTGGATGTTCAATATGTGTTTGTTATCTTTTACATTTATGTGCGATGTTCAATATAAGTGTGCGATGTTTTTCATTATTTGCGCGATGTTTAATATATTTGTGCGATGTTTTACAATATATGTGCGATGTTCAATATATGTGTGCGATGTTTTACATTTATATGCGATTTTCAATTTATATGCGATGTTTTCAATATTATGTTCGATTTTTTGCATTAAATGTGCGATGTTTTTCGATACACTTGTGTGTTGTTTTACAATATATTTGCGATATTCTCAAATATGTGAGCAATGTTTACACATATGTTTGACATTTCGAGCTACTGTTGTATTTGTATTCGATGTTTCATCGGTATGTTTGCATTCGATCTTTTGCAATATGCATTCGATGTTTCGTTAAGAGTCAAAGTCTGGTTACTAGACCGCGAAAGTCTGACTATTTTGCCTAAAGTCAGTGTATGAGACGTCAGGGGATCGCGTAAAGTGATTAGCCAGACCTAAACGGTAAAAACCGGAATTGTGGGTAATTCTGTAAGCATACGCAATGCGTTCATCATTGTTTGGGCAGTACCCCCAGCTGTGCCTGTACTACCCATAGTGTTATGTGCATCATCTATGCATTGAGGAGTGCATGACACATGGTCTGAGCTCCAAGGCCGATGTGCACCTGTCCCGTTTAATGATCCAGTTACCTGATAATTTGTTTGAAAAATTCCAGATGTAAAATTGGGCAAAATTAGATGTTTATGAAAAAAAATCAAATTGTAAGGGGTTAACCTTGCATTTTTTTAGCAAAATCGGGAAAAATCAGATGTTTCTGGAAAATTGCAGATTGTATGGGGTTAGATGTTTATGAAACATTTCAAATTGTAAGGGGTGAACATTGCATATTCTAGCGAAATTGGGCAAAATCAGATGTTTCCGAAAAATTTCAAATGTAAGGGATTATCCTTGCTTTTTTATTGAAATTTGGCAAAGTTAGATGTTTATGAAAAATTTCAAATTATAAGGGTTAACCTTGCATTTTTTAAGCGAAATTGGGAAACAAATCTGATGTTTCTGGGAAAATTGCAGATTGTAAGGGGTTAACCTTGCTTTTTAAATACGATTGGGAAAAATTAGATGTTCATGAAAAAATTCAAATTGTAAGGGGTTAACCTTGCATTTTTTTAAAGCAAAATAGGACACAATCAGATGATTCTGGAAAATTGCAGATTGTTAGGACTTAACCCTGTTTTTCTAGCAAAATTGGGCAAAAAGAAATGTTGATGAAAAATTTTAAATTGTAAGAGGTGTACCTTGTATATTTAGTAAAATTTGGCAAAATCAGATTTGTATGAAAAATCTAAAATGGTAAGGGGTTAACCTTGCTTTTTTAGCAAAATTTGGAGCATATTTTACTAAAATTGGGAAAAAATCAGATGCTTCTAAAAAATCCAGATGTAAAGTTTCCACAAAAACAGCTGTTGAAAAAGAGCCCAATGTTGAACTTTACTGAGTCTGAGGTCTATCGAGGGGACGATCCTTATTTCAACTCCCGGAGATTCGCTGACAGTCTCTATTTTTCTTTTTAAGAAAGTCGAAATAGCTGAAGAGGGAGGTGAGAATCTATATGTGCCCAGATACAAAGAGTAGAAATCTACGCGTCTGCCTTTTGAAAATACACAATTGCGGTGTTCATTGTTGCGTAATGATCCGCCTAGCACACGACTGTTTTGCACATTAGGCTGTACGTGTTATGCAGCTTCCTAACAAACCAAACACACTGGGCTCATTATATCGACTTGTTTTTACCCATTAAGGTAAAGCAAATGGACCCAGCAATCTTCCTGGCGCAGTTGCTCACCTATAAAGACAACTTTCTCAGTTTAAGGAAAATTCTAAGGTAACGAAATGGCCGAGTGGTTACGATTCGTCGTCCACGGTTAGCGGGGTCCCGGGTTCGAATCCCGCTGGTGTCTTTTTGGTTTTTAACGAATGAGTTCAATTATTCACTATAAGAGATTTAATTTCCCGTCGTAAAGTACCAACAGTACCTTAGCTTAATCGGTAAGCACTGCTGCTGGTACTGTCCGCGAGTTCCAGGTTGGCGCCTTCGTACAGGTTCAGGGCATGTGGTCCACTCGGAGGATCAGGGCTTAGGGGCCGCCCTGTTCCTCCCTTAGCTCTTTGCTTTTACATGGTGCCTGGCCCTCCGGGGTTATATGGATGGATAGGGAAGGAAGTGTGTATTGGTCGGGGACGCCGAGACCCCGGAAGAGAACTAAGGGATCGGCTGGGGCATTGTTATGGCTCAGACCGATCCCTGAAAGCTTGACTAGCACATAACTTTTTGATTTTGTTTACCCTCTATCTTTTATACTTTGGTTTAGTTTGATATCTACAGCTGCTCGGCAGGTCTACGGGTAGTATCAAAATTGAAACAAAGGTGTATGTCATAAATCAATGAATATTTCATAATTGACTATAATCAAAACGGAGTTTCGTTTGATCAATTTGACTATCATTATATAATGACGCGATTGCCAATTGACGTAAGAAACGCCATAAATTATACCGGGAAAGAATAAAGATGTACATTGTAATATAAATATTATTTATACATCTTTCAAATAACGTGTCTTTAATTGTGAGCATTCCAAACAATACCGTAATTCGCAATGGTATTAGAATGGTATATGATAGCACGATCAATGCGTCTCTATTAAATTTAAAAAATATATAATTTAGGCCCCTATGTGTGAAATATTCTTTGATTGACTATGAGCATTCCATACGAATGAGTTAATTCGCAAAATATAGCAACAACAAAAGAGAAAGGAAAAAGAGAAAATTCCTTTACCCTAAAAACTGGAAAAATAATTTGTTTAAAAAAAATTCAAATGGGACACTTCATGTATTGATTTAACAGTTGCAAGGGGTTAACCTTACATTTTAGCAAAATTGGGAAAAATCAGATGTTTCTAGAAAATTGCAGCTTGTAAGGGGTTAACCTTGCATTTTTAGTAAAATTTAGATGTTTATGAAACATTTCAAATTGTAAGGGGTGAACCTTGCATTTTTTAGCGAAATTGGGCAAAATCAGATCTTTCTGGAAAATTTCAGATTGTAAGGGGTTAACCTTGCTTTTGTAGTAAAATTTTGGCAAAATAAGATGTGTATGAAAAATTTCAAATTGTAAGGGGTTAACCTTTCTTTTTTAGTAAAATTGGGAAAATTTAAATGTTTATGAAAAATTTCAAATTGTCAGTGGTTAACCTTGCATTTTTTAGCAAAATAGGGCAAAATCTGGTGTTTATGGAAAATTTCAGATTGTAAGGGGTATACTTTGCATTTTTAGCAAAATTGGGCAAAATCAGATTTGTATGAAAAATCAAAAATTGTAAGGGGTTAACCTTGCCAAATGAGGGCAAAATCAGATGTTTCTGGAAAATTGCAGATTGAAAGGGGTTAACCTTGCTTTTTTTAAGCGAAATTGGGAAAAATCAGATGTTTCTTGAAAATTGCAGATTGTAAGGGGTTAACTTGGCATTTTTAGCATAACTGGGCAATATCAGATTTATATGAAAAATCTCAAATTGTAAGGGGTGAACCTTGTATTTTTAGCGAAATTGGGCAAAATCAGATCTTTCTGGACAATTTCAGATTGTAAGGGGTTAACCTTGCTTTTTTAGTGATATTTGGCAAAATAAGATGTAATGAAAAATTTCAAATTGTAAGGGGTTAACCTTGCTTTTTTAGTAAAATTGGGCAAATTTAAATGTTTATGAAAAATTTCAAATTGTTAGGGGTGAACCTTGCATTTTTTAGCAAAATAGGGCAAAATCAGGTGTTTATGGAAAATTTCAGATGGTAAGGGGTTAACATTGCAAATTGGGAAAAATCAGATTTGTATGAAAAATCAAAAATTGTAAGAGGTTAACCTTTGACCAATTAGTGCAAAATCAGATGTTTCTGGAAAATTGCAGATTGAAAGGGGTTAACTTTGCATTTTTAGCAAAACTGGGCAAAATCAGATGTTTCTGAAAAATGTCAGATGTAAGGGGGTTAACCTTGTTTTTTTAGCGAAATTGGGAAAAATCAGATTTGTATGAAAAATCAAAAATTGTAAGGGGTTAACCTTTGCCAAATTAGGGCACTAAAAAAGCAAGGTTAACCCCCTTACATCTGAAAATTACAAATTGTTAGGGGTTGACCTTGTATTTTTTAGCAAAATAAGGCAAAACCAGGTGTTCATGAAAAATTTCAGATTGTAAAGGGTTCACCTTGCATTTTTAGCAAAATTGGGAAAAATCAGATTTGTATGAAAAATCAAAAATTGTAAGGGGTTAACCTTTGCCAAATTAGGGCAAAATCAGATGTTTCTTGAAAATTGCAGATTGAAAGGGGTTAACCTTGCATTTTAAGCAAAATTTGGCAAAATCAGATGTTTCTGAAAAAAATTCCGATGTAAGGAATTAACCTTACTTTTTTTTTTAGAGAAATTTGGTAAAAATTAGATGTTTATGGAAAATTTCAAATTGAAGGTGTTAACCTTGCTTTTTTAGTAAAATCGGAAAAAATTTAAATTTTTATGAAAAATTTCAAATTGTCAGTGGTTAACCTTGCATTTTTAGCAAACTAGGGCAAAATCAGGTGTTTATGGAAAATTTCAGATTGTAAGGGGTTAACTTTGCAGTTTTAGCAAAATTGGGCAAAATCAGATTTGTATGAAAAATCAAAAATTGTAAGGGATTAACCTTGCCAAATTAAGGCAAAATCAGATGTTTCTGGAAAATTGCAGATTGAAAGGTGTTAACCTTGCTTTTTTAAGCGAAATTGGGAAAAATCAGATGTTTCTTAAAAATTGAAGATTGTAAGGGTTAATTGGCATTTTTAGCATAACTGGGCAATATCAGATTTATATCAGAAAAATTTCAAATTGTCAGTGGTTAACCTTGCATTTTTAGCAAACTAGGGCAAAATCAGGTGTTTATGGAAAATTTCAGATTGTAAGGGGTTAACTTTGCAGTTTTAGCAAAATTGGGCAAAATCAGATTTGTATGAAAAATCAAAAATTGTAAGGGATTAACCTTGCCAAATTAAGGCAAAATCAGATGTTTCTGGAAAATTGCAGATTGAAAGGGGTTAACCTTGCTTTTTTAAGCGAAATTGGGAAAATCAGATGTTTCTTAAAAATTGAAGATTGTAAGGGTTAATTGGCATTTTTAGCATAACTGGGCAATATCAGATTTATATGAAAAATCTCAAATTGTAAGGGGTGAACCTTGTATTTTTAGCGGAAACTTTACATCTGGATTTATAGAAGCATCTGATTCTGCCCAATTTTAGTAAAATATGTTCAAAATGTTGCTAAAAAAAGCAATGTTAACTCCTTACCATTTTAGATTTTTCATACAAATCTGATTTTGCCAAAGTTTACTTAATATACAAGGTACACCTCTTACAGTTTAAAATTTTTCATAAACATTTCTGTTAAGCCCTAACAATCTGCAATTTTCCAGAATCATCTGATTGTGTCCTATTTTGCAAAAAAAAATGCAAGGTTAACCCCTTACAATTTGAATTTTTTCATGAACATCTAATTTTCCCCAATCTTATTCAAAAAGCAAGGTTAACCCCTTACAATCTGCAATTTTCCAGAAACATTTGATTTTTTCCCATTTTCGCTTTAAAAAAATGCGAGGTTAACCCCTTTCAATTTGAATTTTTTCGTAACATCTAACTTTGAAAATTTCACTAAAAAAACAAGGTTTAATAATCCCTTACATCTGAATTTTTTCGGAAACATCTGATTTTGCACAATTTCGCTAGAATATGCAATGTTCACCCCTTACAATTTGAAATGTTTCATAAACATCTAACCTCATACAATCTGCAATTTTCCAGAAACATCTGATTTTTCCCGATTTTGCTAAAAAAAATGCAAGGTTAACCCCTTACAATTTGATTTTTTTTCATAAACATCTAATTTTGCCCAATTTTACATCAGCTTATGCTAACAAATTATCAGGTAACTGGATCATTAAACGGGACAGGTGCACATCGGCCTTGGAGCTCAGACCATGTGTCATGCACTCCTCAATGCATAGATGATGCACATAACACTATGGGTAGTACAGGCACAGCTGGGGGTACTGCCCAAACAATGATGAACGCATTGCGTATGCTTACAGAATTACCCACAATTCCGGTTTTTACCGTTTAGGTCTGGCTAATCACTTTACGCGATCCCCTGACGTCTCATACACTGACTTTAGGCAAAATAGTCAGACTTTCGCGGTCTAGTAACCAGACTTTTGACTCTTAAAGAAACATCGAATGAAAAGGGAAATATCAAATGCATATTGCAAAAGATCGAATGCAAACATACCGATGAAACATCGAATACAAATAGCTCGAAATGTCAAACATATGTGTGAAACATTGCTCACATATTTGAGAATATCGCAAATATATTGTAAAACAACACACACAATTGTACCGAAAAACATCGCACATTTAATGCAAAAAATCGAACATAATATTGAAAACATCGCACATATATTATCTTGAAAATCGCATATAAATGTAAAACATCGCACACATATATTGAACATCGCACATATATTGTAAAGCATCGCACAAATATATTAAAATAATATCGCGCAAATAATGAAAAACATCGCACACTTATATTGAACATCGCACATAAATGTAAAAGATAACAAACACATATTGAACATCCAACATATATATTGCAAAATATTGAATATTGCAACGTTTGACACGCCATACTTAGTTAGTCTAAAGTAGCTGTCTTGTGTCTTTGTTTTTTAATTTGCTGTATTTTTTTTTTAAAGTTTGAAGGTGAGCAAATTTGTAAACGAAGCAGCTATAATATGCCAACACGGATCGCTAACTGCCACTTGCCGACCGTGTCCTACACTCACCCCCCCCCCCCCCCCCCAACTCACCGCCGGCAACCGTGGGTATCCCCCCCCCCCTCCCCTCGGCCGACGCATAGGCTCTATAAAGTAAAGATCAGCCGGGTTCACAATAATGCCAATGCAAAGTGACGTCATGAAACAGTCGCTGCAAAATTCGCCTTAGTGGAAATCATATGTTCAACTTTTACTGATGACCCCCCCCCCCCCTGCAACAAAAGTCGACAAAACTTCGACAAAAGTCGCCCATGGTAAGGAAAGGGTTAAGAGACAAAGAAAGATGTACTGTCATTTGACAGCAAACTCGAGTTAATGATGTCAACATAAACGACAAAGAGTCAAAGTGGAGATGGGCTGGGCACTTGGCCAAAACGGATGGACAAACACGGGACGGAAAATTAAGAAGATGCAACCAAGGACGACTGGAAAAAGAAGTAGAGGCAGGCAAAAACAAGATGGAGAGATGACCTCATTGAGACATGGGCGAGACAAGCAGAAGACATATCAACTTGGAACTTGATCATGAAAAATGATTCGAGTCAATGACTCGACTCGAGTCCGACTCGAGTCACAATTTGATGACTCGACTCGGCTCGAGTCGTTTTGGGTAAATGACTCGACTCGATTGACTCGAGTCTCTCATCAGTTAGATACTTCGACTTGTTTTGATACGAACAAGTCATTAACCTAGCATGGGTGCGGCCGACCGTTCCGTGCAGAGGGCGCACTTCATTCACGATCTTACGACGTGATCATGTCATCATCGTCATGAATCACGCGTATGTGATGTACTACGAATCCCGTACTATACACTATGCACTGGGTGTACGTGTTTTCAACCCACACATGACCATGAATAACCGGACCCGATATTGCACATCTTCAACGACGTAGACTAGTGTATTGCAACCCACTATTCCACTAACAAAGTAACAAAATCAGTTATCATGATAAAACCCTGACGAGTGGGGTTTTCTTTTAATCAATTTGTAATCGATAATCTCGGTCTAGTAAAAATATGGATTTCTGGAATTTGTATTTGACGTCGAATTTCACTTTAGGACTTGCCTATTTCTTCGTGTGCGTTGAGATTGTGTGCTTGTATGTATTCCACTTGGTTGCCATTCTCTACATGTAAGTATGGCCTATGGGAATTTTTGGTTGTGTGCAAAGTCTATGGAGAGTTGAGTGCATTTTTAAAGTAGTTTCTAACAAATTTGGAAATGTTTCTCAGTCCCAGGTTTCAACATGTTCAACATTTTGGCGATCGTGTAGTGTAGGGCCCCTGTTTTGATTAGGCCTAGAAGTAGAATCAAGATTTTTTTTTATTTCTAAAAAATGGCATTGTACAACAACGGAAAGATTTCCATATACGAAGTTCACTCAACACCCTGTGTACAAACCCTATTGGACTGAAAAAATCTAAGTTTTTCTAAGAAAATGCTTGTATTTTCTCACTGCTCAAATTGACTTTGATGACATGAAATTGCTATCTGGGGGCTTGTTAGTCAATACAGAGGAAAATTAGTGAACTTCGTATATGGAAATCTTTCCGTCAACGTCAACAACCTACATGTAAAGCAGACTTATCTCAATGTAATGAGACACCTTTTTGGTAATTTTTGAACAGTTTCTTGGGGTAGAAATTACAATTTTCCTACGCGGTTTACAGGCCGGTTGGTTTGGTGCCGTGCAGCGTGTCTTGCTTGCGTGCTTACGGTGCACATGACATGGTTCATCACGCGGTGATCGCCTTTATTTCCGTGTTGCCTTTTGTCGTCATCGTCATTTTACCCCCAAAGGAAAGAATGTTGCAACCTGACGCTGCTTTTTCTTCATCATCTCAATGAAGGTCATTCAATTACTGAAAGGATAATGAGACATGAATCTGGGACTGAGAAATATTTCCAATTTTGTTAGGAAATACTTGGAAAATTTTCTTGACTCTCCATTGACTTTGTAAACAACCACTGAAGTAGCGTCAGGTTGCAACATTCTTTCTCCCCCCCCCAAAAAAAATTTCTCTCAAAAATTCAAAACCCTGCCCTTTATCTATTTCATACCTGTATGTTCCAACAAGTTTGGTAGGTCAAATAATTGAAAAGTGGATTTTGTTCCCTTATACTGGCTTGAGATACACAATCTCAAATGTTTCTCAGTCAGCAGTCCCAGATTGCCAGACATTTTCAACATTTTTGCAATCACTGACCTTCATTGAAGTAACAGATGAAAAAAATGGCCTCAGGATGCAACATTCTTTCCCCTATCATTTTCAAAACACATTAGGGGCCTACATCCACGATGTCCAGATCCAGATATTTAAAATAAAATGGAGAAATGTGCATAGGGAGATATTTCTCAAAAATGTCCTGCATGGTTTCGTGTTCAAAACAACCAATTGAACAATACGTTATTTTTGTGTATGAACATGTACAGTATGTTTTTTGTTTAACTTTCATACTGTCTTTGTTTATATTCGTTCTTGTCATCCTGTATCTTCTTTGTTGTTTGTGTTCAGGGGACTCACACTCACACAAGCTTTGCTTTTTGTGGGTCCCCTGCATCTCTTGGTGGTGGTGTCACGCCCCAACTATCGCATCGGTCCCAACTATAGTTGGGCCTGTCCCAACTGTAGTTCCACAGTTGGGCTGGCCCAACTATAGTTGGGCCTGTCCCAACTATAGTTGGGACGATCCCAACTGTAAGTTCCACTGTTGGGCTGGCCCATCTATAGTTGGGCCACTCCGATCTTTTTATTTTGCGGTGTCCCAACTATAGTTTACATTGATGTACAACTGTAAAACGTTCCCTACAGCTCTGATACACGTCTGACTTTACTGGGGACCACTGAAATTAGTTATTGATGGGGCGAATCTATAGTTGGGCCACTCCAATCTTTTTATTTTGCGGTCCCAACTATAGTGTACATTGTTGTATGATTATAAAACATTCCCTACAACTCTAAAATACACATCTGACTTTACTTGGGACCAATGAAATTATCTATGGGTGGGGACCATCTGTAGTTGGGCCACCGCAATATTTTTATTTGGCGGTCCCAACTATAGTTTACATTGATGTACGACGACTATAAAACATTCCCTACAGCTCTGTTACATACTGTCCGACTTTACTTGGGACCTTTGACATTAGCTATGGGTGGGGCCCATCTATAGTTGGCCGGCCATGGCAATCTTTGAATTTTGCAAAATGTTGCTGGACAATCAACCCAGCAGCTGGACAACTCATCCAACTAGGCAGTACCACGTGACCGGCCAGCCTTGCGGCATGCATGCACGACGAATACACGGTGCCAGCGCCGCGGAACATTTAATCCAACAAGATCTATCAAGCATGAAGCATCCGGCGCAACTCCAGTCCTAACTATAGTTGGGCCGACCCAACTGCCGCACTATAGTTGGGACAGTCCCAACTATAGTTGGGACCGATGCGATAGTTGGGGCGTGACAGTGTCATTTCAATGTTATCTTTATATTCTAAAAACTACATGAATCTTAGTAAATTCTAAGTACAAACTGTATTCTTTTATGTCTTGAGATGAAATGAAGTAAAGTAAATTCAAATACTAGTCAATACTAATTACTATAGTTCTTTCTTTGTCAGTGTGTCATGGCCTAGCGGTTAACATGGTTAAGAGCACCGCCCCAGACTCATGCTCTGGTGTTTCAGAGGCAGCAGCATGTGGGTTCGAGCCTGGGTCTTGACAGTTGTGCCCTTAACCAAGGCACTCCTGATAGCTTCGTCCTTTCGGATTGGACGTAAAGCCGTAGGTCCTGTGTGTTGTGTAATGCAATACACGTAAAAGAACCCAGTAACACTTATGAGAGAAGGGGTTTGCCCGGTGTTTCTGGCATCCTGTTGAAACTCCCCCGCGAAGTACCAAGTACATGTATCTAGTCAGCCAGTTAATTAGATAAGAGATACAATATCGTTGACAGAAGACAGAAATTTACATGTTGAATGCTGTACTGTAATAGTTTATGCTATTTGCTTTCAGAAAATTATGCATGCACAGAAAACCAAGCAACGTAGTGAGGGAAGAACTCCCTGGCGTCTCGATCCTGAAGCCTCTAGTCGGTGTCGATGCCAACCTAGAAGACAACTTGGAAACCTATTTCAATTTGGACTATCCAAAGGTAAGATTGAAGCAATAGCACTGACGATGCTGTCTTATTTTCGCAGACGATAATTTTTTCCCGTCGGTGATACGAGAAATTAGCTCGGGAACTTGTAATAAAATATTTGTCAACCTCTGCCTAGGGCAGACACGCCCTTATGAATCTATTGCTCCAAAGTATTTCCGGTCATTCGTGACCGAAAATTCATGACGTGTTTTGCGTGCCAACGAGAAAGACAATGCTGAACCATGAGCAACATTACGACGGGAAAAATTGTGATGTCCTGGAATGCATTTTGCGCCTTTTACATTTGCGAAGGGCCATCACACATGTATGTAAGTGCATTGTGGAGTATGCTCAATCCCAAAACTTGTAAAACAAATCTGGCCAACTTTACCTGAGCTGACAAAAGTCCCAAGAAATGCTTATGAGGCAAAGACAAGGTCCTCAGTATTTCACCAGCCATGTTTGAAGTCTCAGTTCAACTTTTAACCCTAACTCCCTAGGCCTGTTTGCTAGGATGCAGCCTCAATCCTGCAAAATCCTCCAATTGGCCTCATGGAAAAATAGTACGTGTAAGCCTCAATCCTGCAAATTCCTCCATTATTTCTTGAATATGGTCCGTGGAGAGGTGACCACTGCCTGAATCCTGCAAAATCCTCTGGCTATGACTGTCAATAGGCTGAGGCACAGGCAGTGACATCCTGGAGCAGTGCGGAGGATTTCAAGTATAATCAAGGACTAAATTTATGCACTGCTGAGCATAAACAACACAAGGTCCGGCCCAAGACCTTGACACAGTGCGTACTCCGAAATTAGCAATGCACTTTTGCCATGTAACCTCAATCCTGCAAATTCCTCCAATTTGCAAAAAAAAGTTTGGAGGATTTGGGATGGTTATGGTTAAAGGAGATTTTGCTTCAATAATTTGCACCTGAGTGAGATTTCAGTTTAAAGCCTTAGACTAGACTGGTACAGTCCGTGTATGTTTTCACTATCTTGGTTTTTTTGGACTCTTGTACACAGTGTCGAGAGTTCAATGTTTGGACTAGCATGGAACATTGCAGGCATGGATGCATAGTTTTGAAAACTGACCATCACACTCACTTGTCCACAGTGTTTTTCTGATGTTATTTATTTGTTTTCTTATTTGCTGTAGTTTGAGCTCATATTTTGCATACAAGATGAAAAGGACCCCGCTTGCAATGTAGTGAAAGCGCTCATGGAAAAGTTCCCTCATGTGGACGCCAGGCTTTTTGTGGGTGAGTACACATTTCAAAGTTTGCAGTTTCAGACTGACACGGTAGGGCTGTAAGTTGGTCTGCCGACTATCGTTAGAAAAAAGTGACTTCAAATTCTGCCCCTAATTTACCACATTCATGATTTACCAATCTCCATAAAATGAGTTGTTTACGTCTTACTTGCGAGCTGGACACTTCCACAGTACAGTGGAACACCGCTATACTGAACATTCGGCTATACCGAACATCATCCTTGGCTCCCGGTTTTAATGTACACAACGTACCGAAAATTGTTGTTGAAAAAGGTCAACAGATTAACAAAAGAATCTACCAGTTGTACATGTATTAAACACTTTTTGGGCCACTTTTAATTCCCGAACATCAAACGACCCATAGTTACATCGTGTTTGAATGTTCAAGATAGATAGATCGCTATTATTTCCCCAAGGAATAAAAAGGGCAAACCACCCGTTGCTAAAGTTTCGTGATGTGGGAACTGCTAGTTCACTATTGGTCAAAGAGCGTACCGACGGCTCAAAATCGCTATACTGTACCATCCTTATTACGAACACTTTCTGTGGATCCCACGATGTTCGTTATAGCTGCGTTCCACTGTAGGATATAGCTAGAGGGGTGATTCGAAAAACTTGAAGTAAAATTGTTGAGCCAAATTTTTCAAAACTTTTAATTTTCAACTTGTTGTGACTTTTGGACTGAAAAGTTTTATTTTTTTGAACGAAAAGGTATTTATGATGGTGGATCCTGGAAAGATATTTATAGTCTGGATGCTGAAAATTACCTTCGCTTCAGGTAATTATCAGCATTGTTTAAAGGGAATGTACATCATTGGCTTTTGCTGTAATTGTCAGAAATGAACTATTTGAGAGGTTAGTATAATACATGTAGATCAAATATTGTTACACTGACATTTTTGAAGTTTGGTGTTCGAAAATGCTGGAAAAACCAAGAAAAACAAAAATGTTCAAGTAGTCTGGTTCCTTGACTCCACTAAAGATAAAATGGATCAATTTATAGATGCCGGAAAATTGTAAGGTAAGGGAACCAGTCTAGCTGGCCTGCACCCGTTCATGAACATGTAACCAATAGCAAACAAAATTTTGACTGAAAAAAAGTGTAAAGTTGGAGGAGTAGTTGAAAAATAGGTTTTTCCAACGGTGGTTGGCCGACCACCGTTGGAAATGTATAAAAAAATACCATTTTCTTGAAAATGACTTCACACCAGGTGCCATAATTTTACAGGATGCTTTAGACTGTCATTTACCAACATCCTAGAAAGGTATTTCGTAAAAACATGGTAGTTTTATTTTTTGATGTTTGCAAATGTATATTCCCTTTTAAACATAGTGTTTAACACATCCCAAGCACACGTTTATTCCCTTACTGAATGGTACAATATTCACTTAGCTATAACTATCTTTACAGGTGGGTCTAGGGTCGGAATGAATCCCAAACTCAACAACCTGATGCCTGGCTACAGTGCGGCTCAGTACGACCTCATCATGATCAGCGACAGCGGCATTAGGGGTAAGTGTAGCAGACATGTCTATCAGAATCCTGTACACAAAAATTACCACAATACGGGATTTTCACTGTACCTATTTGTGCATGTCCTAATCCTTACAAACAACATGACACATAATGTGACAAGAGTACAAATGAATTCGATGGAAATACCGGAAAAAAATGTTGCAACTTGATGCCACTTCCGCGATTGTGTACAAAGTCTATGGAGAGTCAAGACAATTTTCTAAGTATTTCCTAACAAAATTGGAAATATTTTTTTAGTCCCAGATTCATGTCTTATCATCATTTTTGCAATGAAAGACCTTCATTGAGATGATATATGAAGAAAAAAGTGGCGTCAGGTTGCAACATTTTTTTTCCAAAATACCTTTTATTTTCCACCTGAACAGGTATCTCATCCTTTTTAGTCCTATTTTAAGCTCTTTCACCATCATAAATACTGAAAATACTGAAGAATTTGCACAAATGAAGGATAATTGCACAGTAGGCGTACAGTAAAATGTTTCACTGTTTGAAGTACTTGTGTACAGGATGAAAAATGACTACTTTTACATAATTGGCATTTTTTTCCAGCAACCCAAAGTGCTATTTTCATGATTTTTTTCTTTATTAGAAAGAAAAAGCTCTCCGCTTTAATCCAGTACTCAAAACATAAAAATCCATCGATCCCTTTTTTTTTTTTAAAGGCAAATGTTTTAGGGTTGTATTTTTGGGGTCGCCCTGCATAATGTGGGCAATTGTTAAGTGGTGGTTCTTAAAGTCACTGAAAGCTACATTCCCCATAGTATTTTCGAGTTTCTTCCCCCCCCCCCCCCAAAATAGATTCCTTTTTCTAATTTGCTATTTTCTAGCAGTACAAAAGATGTTTACTTGATGACACTTCAACCGAAAAAAATCCGCCCTCTCTAACCCTATCGTCAGGATTAAGGGCTCTTTAGGGGTCAAGGACGAAATACCACAGAAATGTGTTGTTCACACTTGTATGGAAAGAAATGCATACTACAGGTTACTACTGAGTAGTATATTGTAGATTTACGTGAGGTTAGGGCTAAGGTATTGCATTTTACTTTACGAACGTCTAATTACTTCGTGCCGGACTGTAATTCCATTCGTTCTGGGTAGGCTGGTTCCAGCCTCACAATCAGTATAGATAATGTATGGACAGGGAACCAGTCTGCTTGGAAGCCAGACCTATCTGTTTATGCCCAAAATAAAAAACCTTTTTCGATCGACGGATACAGATATGCGCTTAAGGCCTAAACGAAAAAAAAGAAGAGGTTTCGTGTTTGGAATAAATGTACACGTACAATAGAAACAAATTGAATTTGTTGAAGAGAGTTGGGAAAGCAACCTTAAATAAAAAATAAAAAAATGTAAAACTCATCCAAAGATTCCCATTACTACTGTGGTTTTTGTGCCTTTGAGGCCCGAGTACGTTATTTTTCAAAGTATTGTACTGTCATCAATGGTCCATCGCACATACTGTTGCATGCAAGTTTGCCTCACTATTTTTGCATTTATAAGAGATGAAAGGCATCAAGAACTGTGGGAACCACGAACAAAAATTATGGGCTCCACATTGGACACTCTGATCTTTCACATGTTCAGCGAAGCTTCACGCAACACAATGAATAGACGTGTTACCATGCCTGCGCCGACATCACTTGCGATAAATATACCAAAATAATTGGCACCCTGTGAAGACTTACACGATGTATGCATGTATGCGCATATGTACAAAATGTACATGTAGGCTGCAATCCTGCATGCAGAAAAGGCAGGTAATGCTTACATAAATACAAAAATGAAGGTACATTGTATTTGTACATTGTATGTAGTGTCAATAAATGCAGGTACTCGGTATCTGAATGTGCACAAAGCAAAAGCGTCTTCACATGAGCATTAGTCATCATCGGATGATCGGCAATGCATTTGAATGCCTCTCCCGCTGGTCTCCCCCGACTCTCTCTATCTTGCCGTTGAGGGGGTACTTGTGCAAGGAGCCAATAGTGACCTAAGCTGCCCTCACTTGTTTGAATACAGAATTACAATATACATGTACCGGTAGTTACTTTGGTATAAATTTACCCCTAACCCCCGAGTAGTTCCTCAGGACTACCCTGCTAAATCCAACAGAGTCCAACCGGAGTTTTTTGCTCAATCCACTGTGCCTTATTTTCAGTTGTCTGCTGAATCCAAGGGAGTCCAACTTGGTGTTATAATGCGGTTCAGTTGCCTGCTGAATCCAACATTTTGCATCAGGAATGTACACAAGGGGTTTACTGCTCAATCCAACAGGCTCCATCGGGTGTATGATATAGTTGGATCCTGTTGGATTCAGTAGGGTTGGGGTTAGAAAGTGTTGTGCTTTGCGTGTTGTACGGCGCCAAGGAGCTGGAGTCTTACAGGGACAATAATAGCGCGTAAGTCAAGTTGGGTTCGATGCCAGATTCAGACTGAAGCCTCGAGGCCATCAGCTCGCTCTGGCTGGCCACTCACACCGTTAAGCCTGAGTGACTTTATTCCATACACATTCACCACATAAGAATGAAAATAATGCAGTACACATTCCAGGGGGCGCCTCAACATCTATAGTTACAATCATGCCCAGCTGGGGGCAAGTTCGCGCAAGGACTATAGTTAACCATTGGTCGACTAACGCTTGCCCGAACTCTGTCTAGTCGACGATGGTTAACTACGCTAGTCGACTATTTGGAACCAACCTACTGGGGCTGGTTGCATCCCTGGTAACCAATAGCCGCGCGCGTTCATAACGTACAGCAGGGAGCCAGGATCCAGACGTTTTGCAATGACATTTTGACCAGCGTTCGACAAGAGACGTTCGCACTTTGCTATTAGTGCGCAGGCGTAAGGTACGTCACAAATCAACTACTAGTCGACTAATGGTCCTTGCCCGAACTTGGCCTTGGATGTACAATGTAACTGCACAATTGCATGATGACAATAAACTCCTATTATGGACCATGGAACAGTAAACCCTAACCTTTCCAAATCCTCTTTGCAAAACGGAGGATCTTGCAGGATTGAGGCTACATGTGTATGACAAAAATATGTGAAATACTCTGCAGTGCTCCAGGATGTAACTGGCTCTGCCTTGACATATTGAAAGAGATTGATGGAGGATTTTGCAGGAGTGAGGCTGTTTTGGGGGGCAGTTGGAGGATTTTGCAGGATTGAAGTTGCATCCTAGCAAAAATGCCTAGGGAGTTAAGGTTAAAGGGAAAATACAACATTTGCAAACATCAAAAAAATAAAACTACCAAATCATTTTGAAATACCTTGCTGGACTGTTAGTGAATGACAGTGTAAAGCATCCTGTAAAATCATGGCACCTGGTATACTGTCATTTTCAAGAAAAGTGGTATTTTTGTATCAATTTCCAACGCTGATCGGTCGATCAGCGTTGGAAACAACTGGCTTTTTTTTCCAAATACTGTCCCCAATTGACCATCGCACTTGTTTGCAATCGATTACAAACCTATGAACGGGTACGAGCCAGCTAGACTGGTTCCCTGACCTTACAATTCCCCAATGTATGTAAACTGCTCTGTTTCTTCTTATATGGAGTCAGGGAACCAGACTACAGGAAAATGATCGTTTTTCTTGGTTTTTATAGCATTTTCGAACCCAAAACCTCAAAAAAGTCAGTGTAACTATATTTGCTATATATTTCCAACCCCCCAATTCCATCCATTTCTGAAAATTACAGCAAAAGCAAATGATGTACCGGTATATTCCCTTTAAGCAAATGTACTTGTTATACCTCTGTCTTGAATAATGTATTTTCATTGGCCTAGAAGTAGAAGGATCACGTGTTTAGTTTATAAAAAGTCATGGCACACTCCTTGTCTGATATCACGTACATGTACGTGATATCCCACAGGGAGCATGCTATGACTTTGTACCTAAACGGCACGCATGGTGTGAAACGCTTGTATCGTTGGTACCCACACTATTTTCACCATTCTTTCATACACGAGTGGGAGCAGTGAACTAGCAGACAATTAGCTGTTTCGAGCACGCAACATGGCATGTGAGTTGGCGTTGGATTGTCATGATTGTTGTGTTTACTGCTGTTTGTTTTCGTGATTTTAACATCCAATCCAAAAAAATCCAAGACAGAGGTATAACAAAACAATTGTTGACTGCTGTGATGTGGGATATGACGTTTAGCGACCCTTGGGTGTTGAAAATGTCATATCCCACATCACAGCAGTCAACATACAATGTACGTTAAATGTACCGGTACAGGAGACCAATAATGTACAATATATAGCCTGTACATGTACCTTCACTATCTAGGAACATTACTGGCAATGTGAGACATTCAATAAATGTGGGGTCCACTTTATTTCCTTCCCCTGTTACATAGGTCTGAAAAATAAGACTACCTACTCAACAAATAAAGATATCATTTGAAGCTGTTAAAATTACAATATACCAAGGTCTGAAGGTGAACAGGATACAGGAACAGGAAAAATGTCACACTTATGGACCTTGAGTTGACACAGTGACCCATATATGCATTCTGGGCTCGCGGCTGTCAGCTTTCAGTGGAAATGAACGTTGCAGGATATACCGGTATGCCAAATCTAAACTGACAGGAAATTGGAATGTTCTACCTCCCTGTGGCAAAGCCACCGGGCGCCACAGTAGGGATAAAAATGCAAAAAAAAAAAGGGAAGCAGAATTTGACTGTATGGAATGGTATGGTTTATATAACTGGCATACAGATCCTTGTCATTTGATTGGTGGAACTCACATCACGTGACATTCGTTATTGCTCCCATTCACGCCGCGGCTCAAAAAGTCCCATTCGCCCATGGGGAACGGGAAATACTATTCAACAGTTAGGATCATTCTTGTTCCATTGACGCGGTATTTGTGTGCAAATGCATGCTGGTGTGCGCGTTCAGCGTTGCGCGTAGCGCGTATTGTTCCAAAAAGCCAGCGCTACAGAGTTGGGTTCAAACATTTTCGTGAAGGGGTAGTTTGGAAGAGAGAAATACATTTTCTACATATTTTGTATCAAAATAAAAGTTCAAGTATATCAAATGACAAGGATATATGTCAGTTATATAAAACAAATATTGAGTGCCTTTCAATTGTGAAATGGGAGGAATATTATCGCTCGGTAAAATCTGGACTTTTCCAGTTTACTCGGCTTCGCCTCGTGAAATTGAAAAGTCCAGATTTTACCTTGCGATAGTATTCCTCCCATTTCACTCTGAGCCGCTCAATATTTGTATAATATTTTATTCACATTATCACATTGTGACCCAAAGGTCAAATTGCATGACAAGTTACAATTGTTTCAATCGTAGGATAGTTCAACGGCAGGTGCGGTGTAAATGGTAACCATGGTAACAGGCACAACTTGTTTGTGAGTTTGTAGCAGTATTGAAAGCATTGCCACGCTCATTCATTGTGCACAGTATAAAGACTGAACTGATTCACGAAATGAACACGTACACAAATCCAAGGCCAAAAAAAACCCACATGTTTTTACATTTATCACATTGTGACCCAAAGGTCAAATTGCATGACAAGTTATAATCGTTTCAATCGTAGGATAGTTCAACGACAGGTGCGGTGTAAATGGTAACAGGCACAACTTGTTTGTGAGTTTGTAGCAGTATTGAAAGCATTGTCACGCTCATTCATTGTGCACAGTAGGTTCACGAAATGACATACACAAATCCAAGGCCAAAAAAACACAAAACATGTTTTATGGTACCCCCCTAGAAGGAAATCCTTTCATTTTGTAACTTCTTTATGTTTGTCTGTTGCCAAGCAAAAAAAAAACCACAATTGATCGTCCCAGCCCGCATCCTTGTTTGAAGCCGCATCCTAAAAAAAAAAAGTTTAATTTTTTTCTCACCTCAAAAAGCTACCTGTTTCTTGTATTTCGCTTTAATAAAATGCATAGAACATGTTTAACATGAATATTTTGACTTGACTTACTTTTAGGATAGCTAACTAAAAGCTGGCGGTCATTTTGAATCGAACTTGGCGAATTTAGATACTTGGTAGCCATCTTGGAAAGAAAATAAAATATAAAATGGCCTTCATCCTCCTCTTTTTGAAAAAAAACCCCTGACGATCAACTGTTGTCGGTTGTGGGTTTTTTTTTTTACTTGGCCTTACATGTACTTTTTTTTTTTTTAGGGTACCTTTTACGATATTCTGTTTATTTAACCTGTTTAATTGTTAATAAACCAATGACACACTACACAACTTGCATAGAGGGAAGACTTTTTATTTTCAAAATAAATTTCATTTCCAATATTTGGCCAAATGTGACATTAAAAAGTTTGGGCAAAAAAAAAAAACCCAGGTAGGTCGGATTACTGTTTGACACATTTTTTCGGCTGAAGTATTGCAGAACTTTTGAAGTTTATTGAGCACTACATTTTGTAAATCTCTTGTGCATTTGTTAGTGTATACAGTGGAACGCCGCTATAACGAACATCGTAAGATCCACAGAAATTGTTCGTAATAGCGATTGTTCGGTATAGCGATTTTAAGCTGCCGGTGCTCAGGTACTCACTTTTTAATAAATAGCACCCTTCAGAATTACACCCAGGTAGTTACTGAAAGACGACTTTGAACATGTGCTCACTATTGAATTATGTAATTACACAATTTTTGAGCTTACTACCTACAGCAATGTGTGGCTTTTGTCGCTCTTTTGTTGCCATTAATTTCTTCAACAACAATGTTTGGTAAGTTTTGTACACCAAAATCGGGGGCCAAGGATGATGTTCGGTATATAGCAGAATTTTCTGTATAGCGGTGTTCCACTGTATAACATTTTTTTTTTTTTTTTTTCAATTCATGAATTCTGTAGTAGATGTACTCTCTAACGCATTTCTTTGTTTGTCCGACCCACAGTATATAGCAACACTTTGACAGAAATGGTGTGCAAAATGACGCCCGACGTGGGTTTAGTTCATGCGATACCATATTGCTGCAACAGGAAAGGTTTCGGCGGCACACTCGAAAAGGTGAGTGCTTGTTTCAATTTCAGTTTATTACGCAAAGGTAGTCTGATCTAGATGAGTTTTGATACCGCAAAATAAGGTTTTATGTTTTTTGTCACACTTTATACGTACAGTCTCTTAAAGGGAATGTACAACATTTGCTTTGCTGCGATTTTCAGAAAGAAATGGATTTGGAGGATTAGTATGTTGTAGCAAATATTGTTACACAGACTTGTTTCACGTTTTGGGTTCGTAGATGCTGGAAAAACCAAGAAAACCAATCCGATTCTTGTAGTCTGGTTTCCTGACCCCACTTAAGATCAAACGGAGCAACTTATAGACTTTGGGGAATTGTAAGATCAGAGAATCAGTCTAGCAGGCTTGTACCATTTCACAGGTGTGTAATCAATTGCAAAGAAAATGCAAAAAAAAAGAACACTTTTTGAAAAAAAAAGCCAGTTTTCTCCAACGCTGGTCAGTTTTTCTTGATAATGTCAGCACACCAGGAGCCACGATTTAACAGGATGATTTAGACTGTCATTCCCTAACAATCCAGTAACATATTTCTTGATTATTTGATCATTTAGGTTTTTTTTTATGTTTGCAAATATTGTATCTTATAATGTTTGCTTCTAAAATGTGAACTTGTTTCCTTCTTTTTTTGGAGGGGGGGGGGGGCCTTGGTTTTTTGTTTTTTGTCTGTGGGTCATTCAAAGAATGTATGGGTTCCATTTTTTCCCCATCCCTGTTACATCTAACATAGATATTATGTAATTCTGGATCCCCCCTTTATTTTATTCTGTGCGGTGGAGCGCCGTGGCCTTGTGGTCTGGAGCATTGAATTTGTGGTCTGTGGGTAATTCTGCAGGTTGTGGGTTCGGTGTTTGTGTTCAAAATTCCATGACTGTAAAAGTACATTCACATGAGCGATTCGACTGATTCTTTCACTAAGGCCAAAAAAAAAAAAGTCTCCGGTTTCTGGTATGCGCGCGCGTCGCCGTAGCCATGTGCGTCGGCAAAATGAAAAAGTTTTTTTCAATGAAAGATGATGTCTCAAAACCGCCAAACTCACTGGTTTGACTGGAATCCTGCTGCTGCACAATTTTAACGTGTTTTTAGATGGGGTTGTGGTCAAGAATAAGCTTTATTTGGCCTCTCTGGACTTCCATATATTTTGCACTAAATTTAGTCGGGCATCATTTGCAGTCATCAGCCGACATTTGAAGCAAAAAAATCAGGTAAAAAAAAAAACCAAAGCCACTTCGCCGCACCACTTTTTGGGCAAGCTCCATACCAGAAACCGGCCTAAAAGAAAGCTTATTAATTGAGCTTTCATATCCTAGATCCAGAAAGCGTTACATATGCAGAAATTCTTTTCAAAATATGGAGCATCATTTGGGTTTCCAATTTTTTTTTTTACTCACCCTGTACACAACTTATTTAATTTTGAATTTGAACAAACCAGTAGCGTCTTCGCGTCAGCGTCTGCCGTAGTTGGAGTTGCATTCAATTGTCTCTCCCAGTGGTCTCCCCCAACTCTCCCTTTGTAAACACTGAAAGGGTACTTGTGCGTGGACGTTGTGGAGTCCATAAAATGGGGAAATGTCTTTAAAAACTGGATTCATAAATACCTAAGACAGTTTACCCATTCCTATTGGGCGAGAGCCCGTCATGTGGCTGGTCTTAAATGGATGATAAAGACATGGCTGGCTGGTCTTAAACACTTTCCCAGTGTCACATGAAATTTGGACTCCTATGAAATCCAGTGCCTTTTATCGTTTTATTGGTTGAACGTTCACAATCCTCACATAGGCATGCGCAATACTACAAGTGAGTCAGTATTTCAAAGTCCTAATTCACAACGCACTCACCACAGCTGCATCTGCGCGTAATCGCGCAGTATGCGTGACGCGCATGCCAATCTCCATAAAGGGAGTGGTTTACGTCTTACTCGCGAGCTGGACACTCCATTATATAGCTAGAGGGGTGTTTCAAAAAACAGAATGTAAAATTGTTGAACAAAATCTTGACAAACTTTTAATTTTGGACTTGTTTTGACTTTTGGACCGAAAAGTTTTGATTTTTTTTTGACCGAAAAGGTATTTATGAATGGGAATAAATATGTGCTTGGTCGGTATTAAACACTCTGTTTAAAGGGAATCTACATCATTTGCTTTTGCTGTAATTTTCAGAAATGGATGGAATTGGGGGGTTGGAAATATATAGCAAATATAGTTACACTGACTTTTTTGAGGTTTTGGGTTCGAAAATGCTATAAAAATCAAGAAAAACAATCATTTTCCTGTAGTCTGGTTCCCTGACTCCATTTAAGAAGAAACAGAGCAGTTTACATACATTGGGGAATTGTAAGGTCAGGGAACCAGTCTAGCTGGCTTGTACCCGTTCATAGGTGTGTAATCGATTACAAACAAGTGCGATGTGTCAACTGGGGCCAGTATTTGAAAAAAAGCCAGTTTTTTTCCAACGCTGGTCGGCCGATCAGCGTTGGAAATTGATACAAAAATACCACTTTTCTTGAAAATGACAGTATACCAGGTGCCATGATTTTACAGGATGCTTTACACTGTCATTCACTAACAGTCCAGCAAGGTATTTCAAAATGATTTGGTAGTTTTATTTTTTGATGTTTGCAAATGTTGTATTTTCCCTTTAAGCATAGTGTTTAACACCTTCCAAGCTCGCATTTATTCTTTTATTCAACTCTTAATTCTAAACCTGCCTATTGCTTCCCAACAGGCCTACTTTGGCGGGTCGCACACTCGGATGTACATCTGCTGCAACATGGTTGGAGCCATATGCGTGACGGGGATGTCCAACTTGATACGAAGGACCGTGTTGGAAGAGGCTGGGGGCTTCACGGAACTAGGCAAATATATATCCGAGGACTTCTACATGGGAGTTGCTGCTGTCAGAAGGTAAAAGTCAGACATGAACCCCGTAAAACAATGTTTTCAGGATCAATTCAGAATGGTGCTTTGCCCTCTTGTACTTTATCATACTTAACCAGTTCATGCCGGGATTACTTTGACGAGAATGGAACAGGTGCGGGATTTATTTTCATTCAACCTCAAGCCAGGCGGGTTGAGGCCATCACCCTCGGGCAGCACACTCATATTTCCAGCCTCGCTCGCTGCGAGCGGGTCGCTGACGGATATTTCCGGCCTCGCTCCCTGCGTGTTTATCTGTCATCCGTTCCAAATACCCCAAAACTTTTGCGTGTAAACACGGCCTCATAGGCATGGGCGTCGCCAGGATTTTTTCTAGAGGGGGGCAAAAAATTTGTTGGCCAAAAAATGCTTGTATTTCTCAACACATTCTCGATTTATCAGTTTTAGAGGGGGGCAGGGACATTTTGCCCCCTCCCCCAACTCATTAAATTTACACCACTTTGTCTTCGCGCCTCTTTTTCTTTTCTTTTCTTTTCTTCCCTTATTTATTTTTTTTTCTTCTTTTCTGGGGGGGGGGGGCAAGTGCCCCCCTTGCCCCCCCCCCCTCGCTACGCCCATGCTCATAGGTAACATAATCCAATTATGAAACTCTCACAAATCCATCAAATCTTTTTCTTGGGTGCAATATAAAAGGATCCAACTAATTTCCATTCTACATCTACTGCTGTTGGCATGGATTTTTCATGGAGAATCTCCAGTTGACGCTACTGGAGTTGTACTCAACTTGAGACATTGTGACTAATGTTTTTTTTCAATGCTTGAGATTCGTCTCAGCCATCCAGCTCGATCCTGGGCAGCACAAACAGCCTGATTGTGTTAAAAGCCGATGGCGTTAAGGCGGCCTATGATCTGTGTTGAAGGATCAATTCAATTACAAGCATTGATGAATGAGCTTGTGTATTTTCCCCTATATTCACAGTGGTCTTTCTACCAGAATAAGCAGCTTTCCTGCGATGCAGAATTCAGCAAACACATCGCTGGAGTCCTTTGCTAAACGCATGGTCAGGTAGGACGAACATGCTTCATTTCACCTCAATAAAATAGGTCATTTCAAAGGAATGATACAAGCGATGTGAGTTCGTAACAGTTCAAAACAGTCACTTGATTGATTTTGACTGCTGTTATGGTTTAGCTGAATTTGCCAGCCAGACCTTTTTTTTTTCTTTTTTAATATACGATAATTCAAATTTGAGTTTTAACCTCATTTTCATTGATAAGAAAATTGATTTCCAATTCCATTGATTTAGATGGACGACGGTCCGCACCTCGTCCGTTCCTTCCATTCTCATACTGGAGCCGTTCTCCGAGTCAATCCTGTGCGGGCTTTGCTGTACGTTGGCCGTCTATTACCTATTTCACTGGGATCCTATTGTCTTCTTCATGGTGCACATGCTGCAGTGGTTTCTGCTCGATTATGTACAGCTGCGTACCATGCAGGTGAGAAAACGTACATTCTTGGACTAAGATTAAGTTTACTTCACCTCATACATATTTATGAGCCAAAGTGCTTCTTTCATTGGTCGATGTTCTGACGTATCAGGGAAGTAAAGCTATCCATGATGCGTAAGAAATGTTGAGTTCCCCTTCCCCCTCCCCTGGGTTCTTTTCAGAAACTTAGAAACTCATAAAAGAGATTTGCCACATAGTGCTACCAAAAATTCTTTATCCTAACCCAAACCACCCCAACTCCATCAAAATCCACCCCCCCCCCCTCCTAATTTTGGTGGATTTTGGGGGACATGGTCCAGAAGGCCTAATGTGACTAAATATTGATGGAGTATGATGGACTTTGGCCTAATGGCCTGAAGCAGTGCTAGTGGTATCCAATTGATTTGGCCTAGCTTCCTGTACTGCTATTGTGATAAAAGCCATGTGTAGCAAGTCCATGAATGTCAACCAGTTCGTCAGAAACATTGAGTTTGTTCCCAAGGGGTTAGAGTATACTCTGTGCCTTTAGGCCTACATGCGTACATGTAGTAGAAGATTGTGCGGTGAAATTACCTTTGGTACTGCCGACACAGTGGGAATTTCTTTCAGACTTTCCCAAGTTTTATTTCTCTGGTTATTAAAAGGCCGTTTCACATATGCAAAACACGAATGTGTGATGCCACTGCAAGCGCTTCACTTGTGCCTGCCCAAGTTCAACACATGTTGAGTCTGGCGAATTTCAGTGTCCCATACCCTTTGCATTCACACGAAGAAGCATTCAGACCGCCCGTTCGGTGATTTTGATCAATTTGATTTGACAGGTGGAACCACTTAACTGCTCCAAATTCGACTACATGGTCGCCTGGGTCTACCGGGAATGCTCCACACCGTATTACTTCCTGAGAGGATGCCTCGGCAACAAGGTCAAGTGGCGGACGGGAACGTTCCGTGTCAAGTGGGGCGGCTATCTCGAAGAGGTTCATTGACCCCGGCTCATGTTGTAAGCACATATCTAGGTACCCATTTCACAAGCTTTAGTTCCGTCTCCAACTATGGCCAAGTTCGGGCAAGGACCATTAGTCGACTAGTGGTTGATTTGTGACGTAACTTACGCCTGCGCACTAATAGCAACGTGCGAACGTCTCTAGTCAAACGCTGGTCAAAAATGTCATGGCAAAACCTCTGGATCCTGGCTCCCTGCTGTACGTTATGAATGCGCGCGGCTAGAGGTTACCAGGGATGCAACCAGCCCCAGTAGGTTGGTTCCAAATAGTCGACTAGCGTAGTCAACCACCGTCGACTAGACAGAGTTCGAGCTCACTTTAGTTGAACTTTGGTTAACCAATGGTCAGCAATAGTTCTTGCGCGAACTTGCCCTTGATTGTTGGAGTTTATTCCATTAGTCCCTGTACTGCCCCAAACCAGCCCAAATCGCCCTGCACCTATAGTGCCCTCTATGGTTTTAGGGAGTCATCAGTGAATAAACCCAATGTAATTAGTGTAAGGGTTAATGGGTTAACCATGTGGTCCAATGCCCGATACCTTGACGTAACCGTTTCACAATTTCTGGTCAAATGCTGGATGTGTGACATCTTGGGGTGCGTTCCACTTAATGTAATTATTGTTAACGTTTATCAACGATGGCAACATTCACGCAACATTCTTGATTGCTATACCTCATATTATATTATGGTGGCATGGGTGGCTTGTGCGTAAAGCGCTCGCCTCTCACCAATGTGTCCAGGGTTCAAATCCTTGCTGCGGATCACATGTGAGTAGAGTTGTGCGTTGGTTCTCTCCCGTGCCACGAGGGTTTTTCTCCGGGCCCTCCGGTTTTCCTCCCTTCGGAAAAATCAAACACTTTCGATTTCAGGCTGTGCTCCGTGGTCATATATGGGTCGATGTGGCCGGCAGCCTTAGGCGCCTTTACGTGCCAGCGGCCCGACCACGTTGTAGCCGCGTCCTTCGCAATTCAGCGTACCAGCTGCGAGTAAGGATGATTAGCCTCCCAAATTATTATCATTATTATTATTATGTTCCTGATCGAGAGCAAAATTCTCACTGGTCCATTCCCCATCATGTGCCAGATGATATTCTCGCTGTCTACCTATTTGAAGGGGACATATTTAGCCGTGAATCCTAAATCCTAAATTGCTACTCACGAGTGCTTGCTTCTGCTCGTGCCAGGACGAGTACTCGAGTAAATAAAAAACCACGAGTAGAATATACTACTCACAAGTAACCAAGTTACTGGCCCAGCGGTATTGCTGTCGGTGAACAGTGTTTCAGATATTGATCTTCTATGAAAATCAAAATGCAATTTTAAAACAAACAACAAAAACAATTCATGATGAATCATTTGTTCCTGGTTTTAACAGAGCAGGCTACATGTACAAATGTATGTTCTCCTAGTGATATCTTGCAAGTTGTGACGTGTGTAATCGTGTGCAGGAACTTGTAACTCTTCCTGGATGGTGTGATGTAGAGGACAAATGTGGCCGGCTCTACAAAAAAGGGTATTAAGTCGCGTATTAAGTCAAAATGTGATTTTCATTTTTTATCACGAATGACATCTTTAACCCTAACTCCTGGGGCTCTTTTACTTGAAATTATCCTGAATCCGCCAAAATCCACCAATTTTGTCATGCAAAAAATGCTGGTATCCTGAATCCATCAGAATCCCCCAGTGTAGATTCTGGAGGTATCCTGACTCTGCCAGAATCCACCAGCAAAAGTCTTGATGGATTCTGGCGGATTCAGGATACCATGGTGGCATAAAAAAAAATACAGCATGTTTTTCCATAGAGTCTTCAAAATCCATCACCTAAATTTCTGGTGGATTTTGACGGATTCAGGATACCATGCTCGCATGAAAATTGTGATGTGTGTTGTTGCATAGAATCCGTCAAAATACACCAATGCATGGCGACCCCAGCATGGATGAGTACCGAAGTGAATACGTCTCGCGCACAAAATTTGTGTGAAAGACATTAGCGCATGTTTCAGCCCGTAAACCATAGATATAGAATGAAAAGACTAGATCGGCAGCGCGTCTACACGCGCCCAGTCACTGTGCGATAAATCTCCGCCATTTTGGTTGTCTCTCATAGACGCGCAACAAATTAACGTAAAGCAATGGAGCTAAATGTATCTTACCTCCAGCACGTGACCTAGCTCAACACGCGCAAAGCAAGAAATGCGCACCGAGTATTTACGCGATGCGCACACATAATTATTAGCGATGCACATGGTGTTCTTTGCGCGTAAACGGCGTTGCGTTCGTCACGTTTTCGCGCATTATTTGTATCTTTCCTCCAGCAAGCAAGTGACCCTCCATGCAAGTCCACCCAGTACATGTGTGTACATGTTTGTACAGTATGTGACAGACTTGCCAGGGCTAGTGCCAGCAGTATTTACTTGACCACAAACATTGCAAAAGAGTTAAACTGTTGAGATCCTGAATCCATCAAAGTCCCCCAATAGCTCAATATGGAGGTATCCTGAATCCATCAAAATCCGCCAGTTCCGCTAGGCTTCGAATCCTGAGTCCATCAAAATCCCCCAATTTGTTCAATATGGAGGTATCCTGAATCCGCCGAAATCCCCCGAAACAGGGGGGTGGATTTTGATGGATTTAGGTACGTTAGGGTTAATACCTACAGTTTCAGGTTTCATTCACAGAAATGTTGATTTTGATGAACAAAGTGGGGAAAAAAAACAATTTTGTGTGCATCGTTTTGTTGTTCTACATCAAAGCCAGCTACATGTATTTCAAAGCCTGTTTTCTCAGTTGTGTAATTTGAACTCTAAGGAAGTAATTACATGTAATATGCAAATACCTCACATCTCCAGAACGGGAGGAGCTATGGTGCTCTATTACGTGTATATACCAAATGAAAGCTTACATTGTGTGCTTTCCAACCATGTACATGTTGTATATAACTCAATTTCACTTTTTTGCGACATAATACCCTTTTTATTGTGGAGCCGGTCACAAGTGTGAATGTAACGTTTTAATTCCAAAGTGCAGTGTACAGATAAAATATTCCATGATCTCAACATAATTAAAGAGGCGTAGCTTTCTGGTTTACTGCATGTACATGTACAATGTAGGATTTTTATGGTAGATCTAGCAGAGGCAGCTCACGAAGTGAATTTGGATCTTTATTCCTCAAACAATATTAGGCCTGGCCCGTACTTCACGCAAATGTGAATATGACGCCAATTTGACATGAAACGCTTGCTGCAAAATTTGCTGCAAAATTGAAAATGTGTTCAACTTTTGCAAATTGGGTGCTCGAAAACTTACCGTGACCTCACAAATTTATCATTTCACAGGGTTTTTTTATACCAATCTTATCACTTTTAGCAAGCTTTCTGTCATAAAATTGATGAGTACTTTTCTGGGTTTAAATTGCAAATGATCCTACCGTTACATGGCTGTTAATCATGCTGAATGCGCCTTTGAAGCTTCCGTTTGGTGTTTGAATTTCTCAAATTCAGGGAAGGTCCTATGAAAAATGCCCATTGCATGTGCTTGACTTCATTGTTTGGCAAGTTTTTTAGTCGAACGCAAGCCTGATCATTATTTGGCAAAATTAGTGCATGATATTTGTTCTTGTACATGGGTAAAGATACTGGTACTACCTCGAAATTTATAAATTTACTTGTATTGAGTAAGATTTTATTGAAGACATGTACATGTAGACTTGTATAATTTTTTCTAATACATGAGCTCACTATATATCGCACATTACATTCACTTTGTTTTGAGTGCTGGAAACGGGTACAAGTGTTTTTGATGGAATGCAGTTACTGAGTGTAGGATTAGAGATGGAACGATATATTGTGTGTAGAGTTCGTTATGTTGTTTAGGAACATTCAAAGGGATGTCGTCGTCTGTGGTAAAAGTCAACCATATCAGGATACCACATTTGAACATCTCGCATCTAAATTAGTGTTAGATTGTTCGTAACTTCATTTATGGAAACAGTTACTCAATAACTTCCTTTTCTGTTTTTCCGTTGGGCAGTTAAAGTTACATGTAGAGGGTGAGTAAAAAAAACAAAAAAACCCAAATGTCGGGACTATTGTTTTATTGAAGTTCTGCATGTAGCACTTTCAAAATCTAGTATATGAAAGCCCAATTCATCGGCTTTCTTTTAGTACAAGAATCATTCAAATCACTCATGTACTTTTCAAGTTACGGAATTTTAAACACAACCACCATTTTAAAGTTCTGTCCACAGATCACCAAAAAGGTGTGCGTTCTTTCAGCAAAACAAAAACAATTCACACACATCCCTATGTGATTTGTTTTCGTTTTGCTGAAAGAACACTGAACTTTTTTTGCGATCCGTGGACAGAACCTTAAAACGCATGTGTTTAAAATTCCGTAACTTGAAAAGTACATGAGTGATTTGATTGATTCTTGTTCTAAAAGAAAGCTTATAAATTGGGCTTTCATATCCTAGATTTTGAAAGTGCTACATGCAGAACTTCTCTAAAACAATGGTCTCAACAGTTTTTCTTTACTCACCCTGTATTACATTCGACAAATTTACTGTGATTTGGCCATATTCACATCCAGTTCTCCAGCTGGTTTTAAACGTACTTGTTTAAAACCAGCCAAGCACATATTGATTCCCTTGTTTAACTTCGTCACTTTGAAAGCCGCTTGAGGAATCTTATGTTGTGGAGAAATTGATCAATGGAAGATGACTTGTTATATATCGGTTTAATTAATTGAAGTATGTTTGCAGTAACGGTGTGCACATATTTAGGTCAGTTTAATTTGCATTAACAACTCTAACAAGGTATATGGGTAGGTTATGTGCAGTACTAATAGATTTAATTTATACTGTGTATATTTTTTTTTTTGCTGAAAAAGGAGGACTTTTGGTATTGAATTCATGAAGAGGCTTTTTCATTTTATTTGTAAGGTTGTTTTTTGCATAAATATGTAAGGTATTTTTAATGTTTTATTTTAGGATATAGCATACAGATATTACTTGAATGATTTTGGAATATGTACATATGCCTATGTACATGTACACTTACATAAGTATGTACCGGTACATGTAATTAACGGTGTGGGTAAACTGCACAAGTCACATGAAGTCCCCTCTCAAGCTTAACAGACTGTAATATGTCTCATACAACTTACCGTAACATGGTGCTTAACCCTAACAGAACTCAACCCATCAAACCCCAACGGCATGTTTTGTTGGAATCTGTCAGGATGGGTACAGTACCCCTAAACTGACAGTCTTTTACATTGGGTTGGCACACCTCCAGAATCAAAGTCAGAAATATGTGTGTGCAGTTTTCCATACGGTGTTGGA